GGGATTCGAACCCACAATCATAGGTTTCTGGCGTGTCCACGGGAAGCAACTCTGCACAGCGAATCGCAGCGCCTTAGACGACTGGGCCACCCGTGCCCCTTGCAGTCCCAGAGATCAATCTTTGTATAATCATACCGATCTTCCCTATTGACGAAACAAACAGACAGAGAGACAGACTTGTATTACACTTTTACTCCAAGTCGTCACAAAATTGTAACAAGTACAATACATGTATGACCACTCCGAACGGAGTTCGGAGAGACTCTTCTGAAATGTATTTACCTATTGCACATATCAAAAGAAAACAGAAGCTGATCAGCAGCTGTGTAAATCATTTTATTTTTTTGGTAAAATGTTATTGCAGGTTTTGGTGGTAAGAGGACATAAAATTTTATCTGTAAACATATAGGCATGTATTTCCTGTATATCTCATGATCACGAGTTGATACAATTTGAGAAGTGTGGCATTTGTTAAGGAAACTACATCGCTCAACATTATACACAGGACAATTTTAAATTATAGCATGGCATTCGTCTTCCATAATGTTCAAACACTGAAAACACTCAGGAGAGGGGTTGGGAAATTAATTTGTTTCAGCAAATACTGGCAAATATTTATTTTTGCTTCAGGTTTTACAAAAACAAGTATTTGTTTGATGGACACAAAATCGTCCTTATTGCTATATATATTAACGGCATCTATGAAATATCCAAGGATTGAGACTCTACGAGGGATAATGGCACACTATATGTCTCAGATAAATATTATTCGAGAACACTCGTTCAGCATTCTAATCTGAGCCGAAAGCCTCTGTCACGTCACTATACACTACACAAAAGGAGGAGTGATCAGCTTGGAACCTTGCTTGATATTTATACATAATCCAGTGATAATAATTTATACCTGTCTCATATTATCTTTGAAAACATTGTATTAGTGCTACGGGGTTATAGACAAAACCCGTTTAATCGGATATATTGAACAAATGGCATTTGTGCCAACGTTTAGCTACGTAAAGTTATATTGAAAGATATTGTGTACTTACTATGTGAATAAACAATATATTATTTTATCCAGGCCTGAAGCCTATTCTTTGTGAATTTCGTTGAGTATTTAAGCTTACACATATGAGTGAAATGGTGTTTAAGGCGGCGTCAGGTCAGGAGGCTATTACACAAAACGTCAAAGATCCAGCTTAAAATATCAAATAAAAGGAATTTATTCACATACTACGACAGGTCGTGTATACGTACATGTATTGCTATGGTCATAGGTGAATAAAATGGTGAATAGAATTTTCGCTGTGATATTTTTTATACTATGTTGTGTACAGGAAGTTGACAAATTTCGAGGCGGAAGTGTCATGGTGTGGGGTGCTTTCTGTGGCAATGCACGTTCCAGGCTTCTTGTCATCCGTGGCAACCTCAACGCTGCTGCTTACGGCGACCAGGTACTGGCACCAGAACTTCTGCCTTTTATGGCAGCACTTGGACCCGGTTTGATCTTCCACCACGACAATGCCAGACCCCACACAGCAATTTTGACAAGGAATTTCCTTCAGAATGCGGGAGTCAACGTCATGGACTGGCCGTCAAAGTCTCCCGACCTCAATCCCATCGAACTCGTCTGGGATGCTCTTGGCAGTAGTCTGCGCACTCTCCAGAACCAACCACAGAATTTGCAAGATCTTGGCACCATTTTGCAGCAACAATGGCGTCGTCTTCCAAATCATGTGTTCACAAGCATCACAAGGTCAATGCGGAGGCGTTGTATGGCAGTTGTAAACGCACATGGTGGCCATACACGCTACTGAACTTGTGTGCCATCAGATTCTCGTGCTTGGGACTTATCATTTAAACTGTTGATGTTATTACCGAATACCGTAGGTGCTTGGAACAAATTATGGTTACCATCGTTAATTAAAATCCTTCTTTGGACATTCATGATTAAAAATTACCTTCTCTGATACATTTGTCCGTTGTATATCATATATGGGATTACTTTTAAAAATGTATCTCATGATCACGAGTTGATACAATTTGAGAAGTTTTAATTTGACTCAGTATATATTATCAAACCAAATTTGTACAAAACGCTTAATCTGACAGGGATCAAATATCAACAATGAATCATCTAAATGTGGTATAAGGAAATGACAAATAATAATAGCTACAGTCACTCTGACCAGTGACAACTTCAGCCTTAGCCACGTTTTGTCGTCAACGCACATAGATCACGTTCAACTGCATCCTGTAAGAGGTGTGTCAGGTGTTGATAGGGGACTGCATGATTCACTTCGAGTCATTTGATATCAAGTTTGCTGTCAAGCAGGATATGAGATCTCTAATGTGTGTACATCGTATGTATGTATACATGTGTAATATATAATTGCCAGTTTTTATTTCAAATTTGAAATATATTCCAAATTCTGATTGTGAGATGTCGGTACATTGGAGATAACGGAGTTTGAGATAATGAGATTCGGCTGTATATACAAATAACAATGTTGTGTCCTGTCGTGGCAAAACAATGTTCACTCCCTTAAATTAATTAGTTCACCCAGTTCCGTTTATTAAAATGAACATGTATCGTATTTCTTATCAGACGATGAAAGAAGGTTTTGTCATTTACTGACATTGTTTTGCATTCAGAAGTGTGGATTTCCTGGTCAATAGTTGTTAAAACTAAATTTTATTGCAGCGGGTACAGTCATAAATAACTCCAAAACATGTGAATTGTAACAAAGGAACCAATTGACATGGTTGACAAATCGAGACATTTGAATGTTGAGAAGAGGCATTTCTAAGACTTTTTAAGTAATCATCCTTTGCATCCAAGAATACAGTGCCCATAACTTTCTTCACTGGTCTTGAAGATTTGAATTTCTTTGGTGCCGGAGAAGTGTTATGGTGCCATTCCATGGATTGACGTTTCAACACGGGATCATAGTGGTAGACCCATGTTTCATCACCCTATACTAATCTCTTTTTTGAATTTGACGAAATCATCATCAAATTGCTCATTTCATCTGGCAATGTCAGTTTTTTTTTCCTTAAGATCAGAATTTAGAAACTTTGGCACCTAACGAGTAGATGTGTTATTCATCTGTACATTTCATAAATAATATTTTCAATGGATCCATGGTTTAGACCTGAGTCTTCCTCAAGTTAAGCAATGGTGTCTATCTGAAAGTATAAGTTTTTCTGCCTCCTTGATTGAATCTTCATTGATGGAAGTTGAGGGACGTCCAAACCTAGGCTCACCTTCAAGGCTTGTTCTCACAGCCTTAAACATAGCTGCCCAACGTTTAACAGTGGAATAGCTAGGACACTTCCCCGCACACACTTGTGACATGCGGTCAGGAATTACTTGGGGTGTACTTTACTCAAAAGTCAAAACTTGATGACTGTTTGGTACTCGTTCTTTTCCATTTATGTGGAACCCCTATCATGTTCAACTTATAAACAAACGACTTTCACTTTTGGCAACATATTCAAGATTGAAAACCACAGAAATAATTCTCTTTTTTAAAACGGAGTGAGTTTGAGAATTGGCATTACCCCTTAGGTCACAATGTCCGACATTCTGCATGTACAACAGTTTTACATCATCATAGTGAAGCGTAGATCATTTTCTCAAGCTATGACGTTTGGAAAATTCAATTGTTATCTGTTTCTATAAATTTAAATGCAATGTTAATAGAGACAGTACAAATTATTGCACCTCTTGTTCATGGTAGTTTTCGTTAAACCCGTGTTGTAATCACAACAGCGTAAAACAATACTCTTCATGACAAGAGTATATCGATCGTATACATTGCAGTGAAACCATGCTCTACCACATTCCTCATTAAGCACGGTTGGTTCATGCCTATATTGTTTTCATTATAGTTGCCCTCCTTAAAACGTAGAGGAATTTGGGGAATATTCATTTATTGAATGTGCATATGGACCATTCGTTCCACATCTAGATCTGCAAAATTGCACATTTATTAACCCTCGCAACACAAGTCATGCAGTTTTGAATAAAGCCTCGACTAATGTCCAGAGTGATTTCAAAGTGCATATCGGTAGACTAACGATCACAAAGCGTGAGTGCGTGAGGTGGGTTTATCGCAAGCTATGAATACAATTTCAACTTGACGTAGGAGGAACACCTTACACGACATGGTTACATGTGCTGTACAATTTAACTTTCTCTTCTTGGCGGACATGATTTCCTATTTATTACTGATCATGAACTACGCCTTTCAACTCGCTGGTGTTGTTTTAACATGATTACAATCGTGAAACAGGCCATGCCTTGTCAGGGGAATTGAATGTCGACCCAGACGTAAAGACAAATAGTCCTTTGTAATTATAAAACCTTTAAGTCTTTTGTGGATGAAACAATATTTGGACGGTCCTAGGTCGTTTCGGACCAATGCTCTCCCTTAATGAAATACATGTATATGTATTGTCATGTCATGATTACCAGCCTAATGGTCAAATGGTCACGCCGAAGACCCGGGTTCGATTCCCGACGTGGGTACAATGTGTGAAGCCCATTTCTGGTGTCCCCCGCCGTGATATTGCTGGAATATTGCTAAAAGCGGCGTAAAACCATACTAACTCAGTCATGCATGATGACCACTTTAAACAACACGTAGTCATGTCCAGGCTGACAATGAGGAACTAGTCAGTTGTTTGTCTTCTTCAGTCTGGATTACAATTTGCATTGTATTGTTTATAGTTTACATAGTGTCGGCTCATGCAGCCCCTCCATAACTACTATGAAATGCATGCTTCTGGTGTGTTTTGCCATTCAAAAAGGGAGTCCTGTGTGTCTTGTGTCATTTCTGTTGGTCAATATTTAAATCCGAATTACTGTCTCATACACATGTAACAGAGTCAGAAATGGATTCAAAATAGTTGTACAGCATCGGTTTCAGATTTCTTGTTTTAAGTTTTAGCCATTTGCTGAAGGCTCCGAAAACTGACAAATAACAATTACACAACAGTTTGTTCTGCAATAATTTATTTTCAGGCATCGGATAGAAACACTGAAATATTATATCACTTGTAGCACTAGTGTTGAAAGCATCTACTCGTCACCTACAACAAAACAAAAACACATTGCATATGAGAAAGACAGAAATTACACGAATAATTAGAGAAATCACGTGCTATATTATAAGAAATTACCCGTATCCAAAAAGAACAACACCCACCCTGTGAGAAAAGGTCTTCCATTCCTCGGATGAACTCATCATGACTGACAACTGAGTCACCTGAAAACACCATCACAAACAATGAATGCCAGATAAAAGCGACAGGAATATAATCAAATCAATGCATGACTCTGAAACATATGTATTAGAATTGAAGTTATAAAGCAATTTAATAGCAAGGACCCCTGAGACTGTCACGATGACGGGATGACCACTCATACACAGGTTAATTTCAGACAGCAATCTCAATAGCATATTTCATTGTGATAAAAACATACACATGACAGGTTGAAATCTATACATCTGCTATTTCGTTACTTGCCATCTATGTCAACCAAGTTTAGGATTTGTTCCGCATCTCGTTTGTCGAATAGATTCTCAGCTTCTGATTGGTCAATGTTGCCATCCTCATTCAGATCAGCAGAGGCAAGGTCATCTTGCACATCTTGGAAGATTCAAAGAATCGTGATTTAATAAATTGCTATAGAATACTGTAGTTATACAGCTATATATTATCGTTTCCTGTTTTGAAAACATACAAAACATACGTGATTAAATTGTATGGTTCTGTAAAACAGATTCAAATAGTATGATTTGTTGGTTTGTTTGTTTGTTGTGCTATATAGTCAGCAATATTCCTATTTAACGATGTACATAAGCCGTCCTAGGCCGGACAAATAAGTGGTTGACGTTATGTGCAGCGGCTCATGCCGACGTGGTACGATAAATGCAGTCAAGCAACTGATCCAGTTTACACCTAATTTCAAATAATTAATGAAATTGGTCGTTTCATGACAATTAAATTGCAAGGGTAAGTCATGTGTTCACGTGAATAATCACGGGACCATATGGAACAAATCAATATGGTGCATAGGATAACACTTTGGTCAGTGGTTCGTTCAAATTATCCTCCACGTGTCTATATAAAAGATTATAAAAGCTTTGCTGAGGCCTTGAATGCTAAAAATATATGTGATCACACAAGTTTCAAGCAACAGTCGTCACATGACACCAATAACATTCATTATTGTCATAGTTTTACATGATTGAATGAGTAAGTGTGTGCATCACGATTTAATGCCATATTGGTCATATGACGACTGTTAATATGTTTGCGAATAGTTTTCATCGTTAATTTGGCAGAAAAAAAGTCGTATAGACAGCAGTTGCAGATCGGATGGTTGTCAACATAACTATCCTCTTACCTCTCTTTCCTAACAGTCCCAGTTTGGCAGCAATGCCAATTCCTTTCAGAACCTTGCTGCCTCTGATACGGAGCCATCTGCGACGACGACGACGACGGAATAGTCCTTCCGTGGGGAGAACAATCAAAGCCATCAGGAGGAACACCACGAGCAGTCTCATCTAGAAGCAAAGAACGTCAAATAAAGAAAAGGAACAGTAACAGTATTTCAGTTATACAATGGTGCTAACTTGCCGTTGGAAGAACGCCCGAAATAATGCATGTTTCGAGAGCTGACAACTAATGTCAGTGACTGTAACCAAAGCGTCCGCCTGTATTTTGACATGGAAGATTGGAGTTATGTTTAAACATCGAAATCACACTCATACGCTTTCCGTTTTGAGTGAAATTTTCATTTACTGAATTTGCGCTGATAAGCTTTTCATTGAAAATAAAGTTGTATTTTTTTTAAATCTGCAACAAGAGGAACACTACATCTGCCATATGGACCAGAGTGACAAACAAATACAGACATTTTTAGGACAGGTTCTACATTGTTAACCTATATGAGTAGAATTAACACAATATCATCAACGTACTTTTAATAGTATCTACACACAGTAACTTACCTTGAGTAGCCTCTCGAAGTCAGATGCCAGGGACATGCTTGTTGACTTTATATAGAATGTATGTGATCATTGCCACAGCTGAGGTGTTTGACGGGATCAACGTTGATTAATGTATTCCACAGCAAAACAGACACCACAATATGTGTAGCTGTCCAATCAGCGCTGAGTAATTGATAGCAAGATATAACTGTCAATTAGGGTAAGTTACATTTTCGTGTCAATATGACAAATACGAGGCGACGTAACCGATTGGGTGGATATGACAGAAATCTTGGGTTCTGATTAATATAATGAAATGTATGCTTTGTGTCATTACACCACTGTCTTGAGTTAGGAGAGAGGGGAGTGAGTTAAAATTAAACGTCGCATTGGCATTATTACAGCCATATAGCAACGAGAGGGGGGAGAGAGAAAGAGGGGTGGTGGCGATTGGGGGAGTGCGTGCCATATGATATCAATCACTGGTTTGTCTGGTCAGCGCTCGATTATATACAGATCGCTGCAATACAGGTGGAAGACTGTTCAGCTTAGAACATCCAACAAATGAAATATGACATTTCTAGATGTTCTTTCATATATGGTTTCACATATGGTTTTTGTGAAATTAATCAACAATATATTGTCGCACTGACATGTCACATGCTAATGACATTAGTCACTCATCTAACGAGGCAGGTTTAACCTGTGGTTCACATGCAGCAACCCATACCCAGCTAAACCCATCTTTTCACGTCAGTGCATAAATCATATTCTGTTTATTATGGCCACCACATCCTGTTCGAGGTGTGTCTGATGCCAGCCAATGAGAGTGAGAATGGGTGAACGGGGTTCACATTTAGGATTTACAAGTTTGCAGTCCCAGAGTGAGTGAGAGAGTTGTGTTTAACGCCGCTTTTAACAGTATTCCAGTTATATCACGGCGTGTCAGCTTAATGTGGGAGGAAAGCCCGAAGTGATGCAGGTCTCAGACTTTTACCACTTCGGTGAAACCCACGAGCACGGGTATGGTGCTGACAAAGCTTGAAACATAATCGGGGCGAACCGGGATTCGAACCCACAGTCATAGGTTTCTGGCGTGTCCACGGGACGCAACTCTGCACAGCGAATCGCAGCGCCTTAGACGACTGGGCCACCCGTGCCCCCTGCAGTCCCAGAGATCAATCTTTGTATAATCATACCGATCTTCCCTATTGACGAGACAAACAGACAGAGAGACAGACTTGTATTACACTTTTACTCCAAGTCGTCACAAAATTGTAACAAGTACAAAACATGTATGACCACTCCGAACGGAGTTCGGAGAGACTCTTCTAAAATGTATTTACCTTTTTAGCATATCAAAAGAAAACAGAAGCTGATCAGTAGCTGTGTAAATCACTTTAATTTTTTTGTAAAATGTCATTGCAGGTTTTGGTGGTAAGAGGACATAAAATATTATCTGTAAACATATAGGCTTGTATTTTCTGTATATCTCACGAGTTGATACAATTTGAGAAGTGTGGCATTTGTTAAAAAAACATGGCATTCGTCTTCCATCATGTTTAAACACTGAAAACACTCCCTGTCCTCAGAAGGCATGTTAATATACCGTCCTAGTTCAATTTGGATAGAAACATTATCAACATCTAGCTTTAGCCAAAGCGCTACTTAAGTTATATAAGTCTTACTTAAACAACACCGTCTCCTAATGTCACCTCTACAGGTATTCAGGAGGGAGGTTCGGAAATTAATTTGTTTCAGCAAATACTGGCAAATGTTTATTTTTGTTCGATGAACATGCTGGATATCCAGACACAAATCGTCCTTAGTGTCATATATATTAACGGCGTCTATAAAATATCCAAGGATTGAGACTCTACGAGACACAATGGCACACTATATGTCTCGGATAAATATTATTCGAGAACACTCGTTCAGCGTTCTAATCTGAGCCGAAAGCCTCTGTCACGTCACCATACACTACACAAAAGGTGGAGTGATGAGCTTGGAACCTTGCTTGATATCTATGCATAATCCTGTGATAATAATATATACCTTTCTCATATCATCTTTAAAAACATTGCTTAGTGCTACGGGATTATAGACAAAAAACGTTTAATCAGAAATATTGAACAAATGGCATTGATGCCAACTTTTAGCTACGTAAGGATATATTGAAAGATATTATGTACTTACTATGTGAATAAACAATATATTATTTTATCCAGCCCTGAAGCTTATTCTTTGTGAACTTCGTTGAGTATTTAAGCTTACACATGTACATGTAAGTGAAATGGTGTTTAAGGCGGCGTCAGGTCAGGAGGCTATTACACAAAACATCAAAGATCCAGCGTAAAATATCAAAATTAAGGAAATTTATTCACATACCACGACAGGTCGTGTATACGTACATGTATGGCTTTGGTCATAGGTGAATAAAATGGTGAATATAATTTGCGCTGTGATATTTTTTATACTATGACGTCCTTGCATTGCAACCTCGTTGCACTGCATGACGCCATAAAAAGAATATCTCCGCATATTAGACGTATGAGGGAATTAAAAAGTTAAAAAGTTAAATGCCATCATTTATAATGTTATGCAAAACTGTTAACGCGGTGTGTGATTTCCTGATATACCGCTATGATAAAAAGTGAATATGGCGCAGATATCCTCTACTGACCACCATTAGACATTTCATTGAGCAGGCTCGCTGACTTGGTTGATGCATGTCATCGTATCCCAATTGCGTGGATCGATGCTCATGATATCAATCACTGGATTTTCTGGTCCAGACTCGATTATTTACAGACCCCCCGTCATATAGCTGGAATATTGCTAAGTCGCGTAAAACAACATACCAGCTGACCAATCAACTTAATGTCAGTCAGCAGACAAATCCAACAAGAACCGAATGGTATTGTTAATGAAGATTATCAAAAATGTGGAAACACGAAGACAATAAAAACTAGTATTGAGGTCGTCATATGTCAAAAAGGAAATAAAATTGACTTGATTTGCGCCAAACAAAATATTGCAAAGGTTGGTTCAGCAACTGTATTAAATCAAGAAGTGCTTCATGGTTAATTCCGAATTGTCAAACTAACCAGTGTGCCATTTAAAAGCATGTTTGGAGTGAGCGATCTGTAAGCCTTACTCTTGCTTATTCTGACTTGTATACTGTTGTGTTGATACATTATGGTACATCAGAGTCGCTTCCCAAAATATGTAGTCCTAAACAGAGTCGTAGTCCACCTTAGGACATGCCAGTTACATTCAATTAGGAAAGGGTTGTGACACGGAGGATCGGACCAGGTCAGATAAAAGGACGTACATTGAGAAGGCATTTCAGGGCACTCTTACGAAGACTATATGAATGACCCTGGTCTTGAGGAATGTAACTAAACACATCGTTTTTTTGAGAGTTGTGGACATTTTTTTTCAAATGTATATACATACTGACTCCATATTTTATCCCGCGGTAGCCTGGGAATAAAAATGGGTTTTTCAGATTAAAAACGATGTTTTATTGGTCTGTTTTCAGTCGTACAAATGGGTATCTCTCATACCCTCACGTCTAATCGCACGTTTAAGAGGAAGCCAGAAGCTGGAATGTAAACATTAAACTTGTTTCCGTCCGGTTGCGCACGCACCTCCCTATGACATGTCACAAATCTCGAAGAATAAGCCATCAAGCAGGACTGGACTGGATTACTTCCCTGTGGGGATGGCTGGGTGGGAACGTACGACTGAAAACAGACCAATAAAACATCGTTTTTAATCTGAAAAAAACATGTTTTAGTCTGTTTTCAGTCGTACAAATGGGTAGAATTCGACGGAACACTGGAAGGAGGGTCGGGAAAGCAATCAGGCAGTGACCACTTTCACGTCGAATGTACCAAGTTCCTCACCCCTGTAGTGACAATAGAACATTCAACCAGATGCACGGACGAGACAAGTTTTTTATCACGAACGCACAGCATGGTTAATGCTCTTCGACACACAACTAATTATCGATGCGACAGGCCAACTGCACGCGTCAGTTGAACTGCGATCGAAGTGTGGTCGACGAATAGTTTAGTTACAGAGCAACTCGCAGTATACAAGGTAACTAAAACAGCATGTTTAATGCTCTTCGACTCACAACTAAGTATCGAAGCGACAGGACAACTGCACACGTCAATTCAATTGCGATCGAAGTGTGGTCGGCGTATAATTTAGTTACAGAACAACTCGCCGTAGACAAGGTAACTAAAATAGCATGGTTAATGCTCTTCGACACACAACTAATTATCGATGCGACAGTACAACTGCACACGTCAGTTGAACCCGGATCGAAGTGTGGTCGGCGCATAATTTAGTTACAGAGCAACTCGCAGTATACAAAGTAACTAAAAAATACGAGCAGTACTATAATGTATGGGAAGACGATGCATACACCGAATAACCATAATAAAAAGCAGAAGTACTGCACGCAACATAAAACCATAAGAATGCGTACATTCACCAACAGCTTTTATTGTAACCTGTTATATGTCACGAAGTGTCGAGCAAAAACTCCAAAGTGAATAAAACACAAATTCACTGTCTTTTCTGAGAGATCTGTTGTGCCACCACGAGTGGACCAAACTGTTTGAGTCCTTCAACATCTTCTGTGGAGATATCTCTAAGATAATGCGAAGCAAACACTGAAGTAGATCTCCAAAAGCTGCCCTCCATAATAGCTTGTAGCGAACAATTACTGTGGAGTGCTAGGGTTGAAGCGATGGCTCGAACTTCGTGCGGATGAGAGGAGGTGGGAGGTGCGAGTCCTTGCGCCTCGTAAGCTCTGAGAATTACCGCTCTCAACCAAAATGAGAGAGTATTACGTGTAATCACTTTCTTTGCATTGGTTGTGAGCGGTATGAACAGCCGTCGAAAATGTTGTCGTCGCTGTTCAGAACGCTGCAGGTAAATACGAAGCGCACGAACTGGGCACAAGGTGAGATCAGCGTGATCATGAGGGCCCATAATGGCAGACAAGGAAGGAATGTGGAACATTCTCGGATCTTGGCCAGGAAGTTGATTTTTCGCTAAAAAATCCCATCTGAGACCAAGATGGACGTTGCCATGGTTACGCTGATCGAACGTAATCCGACCGACGTCAATGGCATGTATATCCGAAATTCTCGCAGCCGTAGCCAGCGAGAGAAGGAAAGCCGTTTTCTGAGACAATAAGTCGAACGCGACCTGATCGAGAGGCTCGTAAGCCTGATTAGACAGGTTGCGCAGAACGACATCGAGGTCCCAGGCCGGCGGTCTGAATTTACGTGACTGATCTTCAACCATGAAGGCACGTAGGATCTTCTGCAACTCCGGTACTTTAGTGAGCTTGTCGCCCGTAGGAGACAGCACCACCGAAGCCAAAGCTGCCAGATATGTCGAGATCGTCGACCCTTTCAGACGCCGAGATGACCGGAGAGAGACTAGGAACTCCGCCACCTGTGGTGGGGTCGCTACCGCCGGGTTGAAGCCATGAGACCTGGCGAAAATGGAGAAAGTGGTCCACTTGTCATCGTACAGCTTACGAGTCGTAACTCGATGTGCCGACGAGACAAGCGCTGCCGCTTTAGCCGAATAGCCTTTCTTCATTAACGAGGTCTTAAGCAAACCCAGGCGTGAAGCTGGAAGTTCTTTATCCCCGGATGCAAGTCGTCGGTGTGAGGATGAAGAAGGAGGTCGTCTCGATCTGGCAACGGGAACGGTGGTTGATCGATTATCTGAAGAAGTTCCGGGAACCACCTTCTGGGCCGGCCAATAAGGCGCGACCAAAAGCAGACGTAGGTTGGCCGTTTGACGAACTTTCACCAGTATCGATGGTAACAGCACCGTTGGCGGAAACGCGTAAGCGTCTAGACCCTCCCACGATATCGCTAGAGCGTCGTGGTCCCATGCCCGTGGGTCTGGAACCGGCGACACGAATCGAGGGAGGCGGTTGTTGTACCGGGTTGCAAAGAGATCTACTTGGGGCAACCAGAGTCGATCTGTCAGCAGATGAAAGACTGTCGGATGGTTATCCACTCCGTGGGAGACGGCCTCGATGGTCTCGACAGGGCGTCGGCTATCACATTCTTGGCCCCCGGAATGTGATAGGCGCGTACGCCCATGTCCAAGTCGTCGACGAGGGCGAAGAACCTGAATGTCCGGTCCAGAAGGGCCGCCGACCGAGTCGTTCCCTGTTTGTTGACGCAGTGGACGACTGTGGAGTTGTCCGACTGTATCATCAGCCGTTTCCGACGGAGTCGAAGTTTCCAGAACTCGACCGCCCGAATCACTGCTTCCATCTCGAGGCAGTTGATGTGGAGGACCTTTTCTACTGGCGACCACAGCCCGGCCGCTTGGTCGTCCCCGAAGTGCGCTCCCCAGCCTTCCAATGACGCGTCTACGAATAGGTGTAGTATGAACGGAGGCTCGCTCATAAAGACGCCTTCGCAAACGTTCGACGGCTGGAGCCACCACTCCAGATGACAACGTAGCTGCGCCGGAAGTGGAACCAGGAGATTGGGAAACTCCAGCGGACGAAGTTGAAGACGACCTCGGCGAGTCAGGTCTTGGGCCGATGTCAACAGACCGAGGACTTCCTGCCACGTGTGCACCGACGCCGGGGCATGTAGAAGTCTCCGAACGCTGCTGACAATCGTGTCCCAACGGTCTTGAGGTACCATGACCAGATTGACTCCCGTCTGGAAGCGTATCCCAATGTACTGTAGATCCCGAGTTGGTACCAAGTCCGACTTTTGAAAGTTGACGATCCACCCGAGGTACCGTAGTAGACTCAGGGTGGTCGCCAACTCTTCTTGAAGGGCTTCTGTGAATTGGTGAGCTTGGAGCCCGTCGTCAAGGTAGAAGGCGACCCTGATCGCCTGCCGATGGAGCCATTCTACGACCGTCTTCATGATCCGTGTGAAAATGCACGGGGCCGTAGAAATTCCAAACGGGAGGGCCGCCCACTGGTAATGAATACCTTGGTATTCGAATCGGAGGTACTTCTGGAACTCGGAAGCTATTGGTACATGTAGATACGCGTCCTGAAGGTCTATCGAGACGAGGAAGTCGTTCGGTAATATCATCCGACGCAGAGAGCTGAGGGATATCATGGTGAATGTGTCGGGTTGTTGGAGGTATGTTGCGTTGAACTTTTTGAGATTGAAAATAAGCCGCATCTTTGTGGAGTTTTTTCTTGGGTACTAGAAAGATGGGCGAGTAGTACCCCGGCGATGGTGGCGAAGTACGGCCGCCTTTTCCACCAACAAATCGATGGCCTCCGTCAGCCGATCCGTTGGTGGAATGTGGAATGTCGGGGATGACGTCAGTGGTGGCGTCGATCTCAGGCGAGGGGCGTAGCCTGTTGTCAAAATGTTCTGAACGTAAGGGTCGTTGAGGAAAACCCACTTGTGGGCATAGTGATGAAGTCTCCCCCCTACCGGTAGCTCGTCTAAAGGTAGAGTCACCGGGGGGACTCCAACCACGGCGACGGCGGGGGAAGGGACCTCACTTCCTCCCCCGCTGGCCCTTTCCACCTCTGGGATACTTGGAAAAGGAGACCTGGCGACCTTTCCTGTCAGAATCTCTCTTGCGGGACGGCTGTCGAGGAACGTCCCTGCGGAAGGCCCGTTGCACATTCTCGTTTCGGTAACGTCGTCGTGGGGCGTTCGAAACCGGTGGCCGTCTGGACAGGTTGTGTGAAGCCGAAGTGATGATGTCACGCTCGGCTTCCCTGGAGTACTTGTCCAGAACGTCGTTGGTACGACCGTCAAACAACTGTTGCGATGACCACGGGGCCCGTAGGAGTGACCTGCCATGACGATCAGGTAGGTCAGTGCAGTCGATGTAACCATGGCGACGTGCCGTAGTAATCTGGCCCGATACATATCGGGACTGGGCGAGGACGTCCGAGATCCACCCTTGCATACAGGTGAGAACCGATGGCACCGTCCTGCCGTCCTCGTCCTGGGGTTCTTTCTCCTCAAAGTACACTGAGAGGGCCTCGATCGCTGTCGACGTCATAGCAAGCGGTTGTAGCTGGTGACGAACAGCAGAGTCCATGGATTCCAAATGCCTGTCTTCTACAAGAATTTTGGAGGGCGCTGGTTTCTTGAAGAGTAGCCCCCAACCCAAATCCCTAGTCATGGGTGACGAAAACGGCATGCCATAGATCGGGTAACGAGATCGACCAGGCGGCTTGCAGAAGCTCTGTCCAGGCAGAGCAGAGGCAAAGTTCTGGTCCATATCGTGAGCCATGGCCCTGAAGACATCGGGAGGAGAAAACTGAAGAGTCTGTGGTGTATCTCCGACCTTAAAGCCCGCACGCGTCGGTTTGTCATCGTCTTGTGATAACTCAGGTAGAAAGTTAGATAGCCAAGCAAACAACTCAATGTCTTTGGGAGGCCTAGGAGGGCTGTCGTTACAATCCATCGTCGACGTCGATTGTGGAGGCGTAGATGAAGGAGCTGGTGTACTAGTTGACGGGCCATGGACCCCCGACGTAGTCGTATCCTTCTTGGTCGACGCCGTCGAGGCGAGGACCGCCGCCGTGATCTGGGCTATCAAAGCCGGGTCGATATGAAAGTGAGACGAGGTCGTCGTTCTGTCACTATCTTCACTACGACGCTGAACTCCCAAACTCTCCCTGCGAGAACGTCGCACGTCCCCGTGGGGACGAGGGCTACGATCTCTAACAGTAGAAGTACTACGATCCCCATCGTAGTTATCGTCCGTCTCGTACCTACGACGACCACGATGGCGATGAACGCCCTAGTGTCGTGTACTGTCTCTCGACGAGGCACTCGACCTGTCGTACCGACTTAATCGGGAACGACTTCTGTGTCCACTGTCGTCCCGCACGACGTCCCTATCGTCGTTGGAAGAACGAGATACGGACCGACTGGGGACCGTAGTCCCCACATGGTCTTCGTCACCACCCGGTCCCGTCGTAACAGGGGAGGTTGAGTGACGCTCTCGATCAACCGATTGACGAAGATCGGTCGTGCGGGTGGTATCATCAGCAGGCGAACGGTCACGTGACTTGTCGAAAACAGAAGTTGACTGAGGCGGGTCTTTATCAACTGATTTCTTAGGTGTGGCCGACCCGCCACCCCCAGGGCCTGATGTGGAGGGTGCAGAGTCCAAGGATCCAACCGATGTCCTTCTCTGCTTGTAGCGCTTGTCAGCGGCCCGCTTCGCCAACGCACGAAGATACAAGTTAAAGTTTATTGAAGACAAGTTCTCACATTCTTTACAACGTTTAAACGTTGAAAACCCGTCCTTAATGATGCAGGAAGGACAATACTTGTGAGGGTCCACTTTAGACAGTTTTCGTTGACACGAGGCACAAATGCCCGACATATTGCCACGTGTAGAATCACTGTCAACCAGCGAAACACGCGTTGAACACAACAATGGATTACCAAGGATTACATTCCAGGAGTCTACAGGTAAGACATATTATTATTATTACTTTATTAGAACAACTGTAGATAAGCGATAAGCACTAGTAGAATACAAACTAGCAGTCTACCGCGAAAGACTTTCTCGAGCGTCCAGCACAGAGGCGCGCTGAGAGATTTGTTACATGTCATAGGGAGGTGCGTGCGCAACCGGACGGAAACAAGTTTAATGTTTACATTCCAGCTTCTGGCTTCCTCTTAAACGTGCGACTAGACGTGAGGGTATGAGAGATACCCATTTGTACGACTGAAAACAGACTAAAACTTGTAATTTGTTTGCAAAACTACGTAGTGGGGCCACGGTGAAAATTGTTTTGTCTAAGTATCACCTGCGTAGGACTTAGTATCTTCTACGTAGGACTTACTATCTCCTACGTAGGAGATACTTAGACACACAAAAATTCACCGTGGCCCTACTACGTTCCGTAAAAAACCCGTCATGCACATTGGACTGAAAAGTTTACAATGCCCGAGCCATTGGATCGATGTTGAGGATTATAACATCGTTATAGTGGAGTGGAGCTTCATGTTCTCAAGGTGTATCGTTGCAACATTTAATATTATACATACTCTATGCATACAGCAAACGAAACGTCAGTCCTATGTGATGTAACAACACATCTTGTTTAAAATATTAGAATACGTGTGTGGAAACAGCGAATGATGAAGATGTTGTGCTACTGTTGTGCTACTGTTGGAAGTCACTGTATATGGACGGGCGTTGTCCAGCTGGAATACGTATTTCTAGTGACGGACGTAACACGGCAGGACCTACGGCCCAAGAACGTGGCCGGAGTTGTCAGATAGCAATGACACCATTACCCCTGCCTTGTCCAACGTTCTGAAAGACCACACGTACAGGTCCAACTCGCTGGTTTCATCCTATTCCTCCCTAAAACATGTTGCATGGACTGTCCCTTATACAATCGTTCGCGTACCGTTCGTCCCCCTTTCGCCTGCCCTGATTCTACCATCCGAGGTTGAGATGCAATATCGACTCTCTCATCATTGTAGATGATGGTCCTCCATTGCGGATGACGCCAATGTTTATGCTGTGTTGCCAATCAAAGTCGTTCCTGTCGGTTAAGGTTTGTAAGAATGCGGACCTGAGCTGGACGATGGCATAAGACGTCGTTGGTCCTTCGACGACGTCGGACTGTGTCGGCACTGACTGAATGTCCATTGTTTGCCAAGCTGTTTCAGTGGCACTGGTGAATCGATTCTGCAGGTTCTTGCGGATATGACCATCTTGTCCAGGTGTGGTGACTGTGGGCCGACCACTTTATGGCCGTCGATACTTTTTGTGGCGTTATTACCATAGCTACCATGTGTTAAACATGTTTACAAGAACCTTTCGCAACGAGCCCACACCAGCGTTTCGGACGTTGCGTTTGCGCGAATGATGTTGGTCGTATCCCATTTGCAACTTGCGTTTCATTGTAATGATACGATTCAGTAAGACGTTACATTGTTTACTTCCAACAAAAGTATATACCAGACCCCATCACTGTTTAAAACTTGACGTTTCTTTTTCTGTTCACTTTTTATTTGTCCATCCACTAAATACTTTTTAAATGCACCTCCTGTATACTCATGGTACTTTTCACATACATTGTAATTTGCTACCGCCTTAAACATTGCTATTCGTGATAAAAGTCACTGATTGCAGACATTTTAGTAAAATGTAATATAAAAAATACGATGTTATTTTATCACGATAGATGCCCATCTTGCAAACACATTGAACAAAATAAGGTATATTTATATGTTTCTCTGCAGACTTATGCTCCCTCGTAACACATGCCATGTGGTTTTAAATAAGCGGCGAATATAGAATGCATGGGCTTAGAACATTTCCAGAGTACCTCTAAGGTGCATATCAGTATCGAGGTTACAGACCACCGATGACATGGAACATTTGCCCAGTGTTTGCGAGTTCATAAGGTGGGTTAAACGCCGCTTTGAACAGTATCTCAGTCATGTCAAGGAATGTCGGCATCAGTCATCTTGACGAGGGAGCAAGGCCCGAAGTGATGTATGGCCAAGGAGCATGCGTATGATGCTGACAAACTCATGCTGATGAACCAACAGGATGAACCGGGACTCGAACCTACGATAACAGATTTCTGACACATCAAAATGCCACCTTGGCTCCCGAACATTTTCCTAGATGCTCATAGGAACATGTCCAGTATCAAATGTTCTGCATGCATGTTCTGACATCAGCATGTAATAAGATTCCAAGTTCACCGGATTCAGCCAACTCTCTGATGACCGTGCTGGGCGATACAAAACGACAATCCTTCTGTTGGTGTTCTGTGGTTAACAAGGGAGCTTCTAGGTATGTCATCTCAAACCAACAATTCATGTTCTTACGGTGCACCCTCCTTGTCAGGTGTTTGCGAATGGGTTTCTCCTTACAGAAGATTTTCTTTCCAAACGCAAGTCCAACACCTATTGTGATCACTTGATTTACAAGTGAGACCTGGCCCTTGCCTACATTGTTTTGTCGCTTTTATTTCTATGAACATTTGATATTGGAAGGGTTTTGTAGTATTTATTTACGTGAAACACATGGAATCAAAATATACGAATCTTACACAGATTCTGGTAGTTGAATATGATATTGGTCTTTTCAAAAAGGTTAATTGCACTGTGACTGTCAGGTTAGATGACAAATAACAGTTGTTGAAGAGTTTGTTCAGCAATGATTTATTTTCAAACATCAGTGTAGAAAAACTGACATGTTATTTCATCTTGGATTTGTGTCGAATGTATCTATGCAGCATCTAAAACAAAAAACGAAAACATTCCTTGATAAAGAGAGAAGTAGTTCGCATATCATCATTTGAGAAATTCATGACATATGATGATTATATTCGATAAAATAGAACACCCACCCTGAGAGAAAAGGTCTTCCACTGCTCGGATGAACTCATCATGATTTACAACTGAGTCACCTGTACACAGAAAAAGGAAATAAGGAATGCTTAATCAAATTGGCAGGTATACAATAAAAAAAAGTCAAGACACTGCAAGATATATAATGTACGAGAATTGAAGCAACACAGTTCAGTTGCAAGGACTCTGCAACGTTTACAGTCATGGTACACTGGTGATCAGGGATTTTTTTATAAACTGCGTTACAAGAAGCACCCATTATGTCACGGTAAGTACATTGTACTCTTTCACATGTTATGTTCAGACGTGAAGCACAAAGATAAAAAAGACATTCCCAAGGCATGCATCTGCTATTTCGGTACTTGCCATCTATGTCAAGCATTTCAAGGATTTGTTCCGCATCGCGTTTATCGAAGAGATTCTCAGCTTCTGTTTGGTCAATGTTCCCATCCTTATTCAGATCAGCAGAGGTAAGTTCATTTTGCACATCTAGAAAATACGTGAAAGATTACATGAATCGTGAGTTCGTTAATGTCTTCATCAGTACAGAAACAAGGCAGTTCTTCCACAACAGAATAATTCATTATTATACCTAGCTGTAAAAACGATGTTTTAATTGACAAACAAGACACGTATGTTATTCAATGGTATGTTTGTTTGTTGTGTTATGCTGCAGTCAGCCAAACAGTAAACTACGGTTATAACGAATGCAAAGGAACCATTAATTTTAGTTCGTTATAAGCATATATACATGATATATACAGCAAATGCCCGGGACAAAAACAACAGTACGTTTTATCCGTCAAATCGTTATAAGCGTGTTCGTTAAAATCGTAGTTGACTGTATATCAATTTTTCAATGCCAGCCTGTAAATATAAATCTCTAGGCAAGATTAACCACTGGTTAGCATTATGTTCAACGTCAGGTTACAATATTTGCAATCAACCAAGACATCGAAATTCACGGCCGATCCCATTTAATCGCCTCTTATTATAAGCAAAATATAATGCGTGCTATTGACCTCTTTTAATCTGTGTCCCTGAGGTCTTGGGACATTATTATTTTCTACAATATGATATTGTTCTCTACATTATAGAACAAGATCAACATGGTTGTTTATAGCGTTTCCGTCGCAATTATACTAGAGTGCAAAGTGAACCTGACCAAACACTGTAACAAGTTGGACAAGTCAAAAAAGGGTACTCCACTGGGCATAACTTTGAAGCAACACTCGCGTGATATAACTTGTTGAAACGATTTTTAAAAAGTGAGCGAGTGAGTTTGGTTTTACGCCGCTTTCAGCAATATTCCAGCAATAGCATGGCAGGGAACACCAGAAATGTGCTTAACGCATTGTACCCATGTCGGGAATCGAACCCGGGTCATCGAGGTCATGACGAGCGCCCTGATTTAAAAAGAAATGAAATGAATAATTACTCTCCGTCATTGTTTTAGATGTAGATAACTGAATGAGTGAGTATGTGTTTTAGGATTAAACGCCAAATCTACCATATATAATGACTGTTACTATATGTATGTTAATAGTTATCATCGTTAATTTGGCACTACAAAACTTGAAGATCGGATGGTTGTCAGCATTGTCTTGCCTCTCTTTCCTATCAGTCCCAGTTTGCTAGCAACAGCAAGGCCAGTAAGAATCTTTCTGCCTCTGATACGGAGCCATCTGCGACGACGACGACGACCCTCGGTGGGGAAAACAATCAAAGCCATCAGGAGGAACACCACGAGCAGTCTCATCTTGAAACAGAGAATGGCACATAAAAGAATCAGTTATGCATTATAATTACAGGAAAACCAATGGCGGACAACTAAAAGCAAGTGTGTGTGTGTGTGTTAGTGTATTTTGTTTTAATGCCACTCTTAAAAGTAATTCAGTTATACATATTGGGTTTAGATGGATGTTCAAACAAATTCCAAAGTGAGAATAAAAACTAATTATAATTATTATCACCAAGGACTTCGGTTATCTGCGGTCATTTTGTCATGGTAGATTCAAACCAACCGTGTTTCGGGTTTTTTTAACTTGAGGTTTCTGAATCAGAATCCAATACAAAAGCTCACTCTCGCGAAATCCATTTTGAAGGAACATCACGTGTACCGAATCTACCCTGACACCCGCTTATTTTAAAGTACAGGTCTGTTTCCAAAATAACCAACATCAACATGAATACCGACCAGTATTAGGAAGAATCTGGCTACGCACAGTAATCAATATTTGAGTCAATTCATATCATTGTGTGTGTTTTTCTCATCCCTGCTCATCTTCATAGAGAACAGCTGTGAGACAAAAATGTATATTTAATTATCTTTGTTTGAGAATATGGACAAACGTGGTTCACAGTTTATTAACTCCGTAGTTTAAATCTGGTTCATAAAAAAATATAAATAAAAAACAACTTTCAAAAGTGGGATGATATCTATTATCTAATCGAATGGGTCGTTATAAACGAGAAAACATTTTCATTTTCAGCGGAAGAGTCGGTTGGAACTGCGGAAGATCATAAAACATAGGCTCAGTGGGAGACTGAGGATTTTCGTACGCCAATATAACTGCATGAAACACTAACCAAACACACAGGGAGAAAATAACCACAAAACTATGGATATCATCTATTTCTTTAACAGAATCATTGGCGAACACTTTGAACTTAGCTCTTCATGGGCATTCTTATTTTTCTTTAAGTTTCATCTGAACAAATACATGAAATACAAACATATATTATTTTGTGTTGTTGGTTTGTTGTTTAACACCGCACTCAGCAATATTCCAGCTATATGACGGCGGTCTGTAAATAATCGAGTCTGGACCAGACAATCCAGTGATTAATATCATGAGCATCGATCCACGCTATTGGGATCGATAAGATGCATCAACCAAGTCAGCGAGCCTGACCACCCGATCCCGTTAGTCGCCTTTTACGACAAGCATAGTCACCTTTTACGACAAGCATGGGTTGCTGAAGACCTATTCTAACCCGGAATCTTCACGGGACTATTATTTTGTGGGATTATTTTGTGTGGTGAGGACGAATATGGCTACGTATTGTAATCGCTGTGTTATGTTTGTAGGTCATACTATTAGGTTCAGCTTCAGCTTCAGCGGGAGTGGCCGGGCGAAAACAATGAAAAACAAGAAGCACAACTGTATTGTTTGGCATTTGGTAACTGTTTTGTCGAATATTTGGAAATGGACAGAATCATCCACAATTGGTCTTCAACACATTAAATAGATTTAAATAGTTTCTGACAATGGCACATGTACGTTCACATAAACTCTCAGCATCGTTATTGTTGATGAGGTTGGTGCATCAGTCCTGGGCGCTTAAAAAGCGGAGTTCTTTACAAAGCGGGATGGTACACATATGTGTTCAAACGAGGAATTGGATTGATATAAAACACTTTTTCGATCATTGAGCAGGATGGAAAGATGTGAGATGAGCTCAGAAACGCAAACAAATACAAATGTCTTAAAGGATGTTTGCTTGAAACTCCTGTTACCCTACGTGACGAAAATATACGCACAATTCTGAACATCATCAAAGTATCTTCCTAAACAATCGGTGGTGAACACTCGCGTTATGAAAAACTATTAGCATTTCAATCAAATCAACACAACGCAACTTACCTTGAGTAGTCTCTCGAATTCGGATGATATGGACTCATTGTTGGCTGGTTTATATAGAAGGTGTACGATCACTTTCACAGATGAGGTGTTTGGCATGACAAGCGATGAATAATGTATTTCAACACGACGTCAGTTCCAATCAGCACTGTATAATCGATAGCAGCCTTGCATCATCACCATGTGTTCGTGTGATTATAAATTATGTTTTGGGGTTGTTTTATTTCATTCACAATGAACATTGCTAAACTAGGCACAGATTATGCATGCAACTTATGCGAGGCTACTGAAAGGATCCCGTTGCCATGACAGGAATATGAGATTCTGATAATGCTTTCTTGATAATCTGATATCGTTCAACGATGGTCAACTTTGGAATTCCCTTCATACTATTTTTCGCGAAGACCTAGTATCGCCAATATTTGACAGTGATGCATAAACACATCTTTATGTTGGATGTTCTTATGATTATGATTTTGTGACTTTCATTGAGTTCTGTGAGAGAAAGGGTTGAGAGGTGTTTGATAGTAAAAATGGCATACGATGTGACTTTTTGCCAAACCTTTGTCTAATCCAAACGATCATTTACAAGCCGTTGCAATATACATGTAGATTAAAGATTGCTGAGTGTGGCCTAAAGCATCAAACAAATCAAACATCGCATATGACCTTTCTAAAAATTATTGACAACATATGGTTTCTGATAAATAGAATCAACCATTAATTGTAACATTGACATGCCCCATGTTGATGACATCTGTCACTATGATGTGGCAGACTTAATCTGTGTGCCCCATACAGCAACCTATCCCAAGCCAAACCTGTAAGTTCACGTCGGTGCTTATACAGGTATATTATTCTGCTAATAATAGCTGACTCACCACCACCTGTAAGAGTGTGTCTGATGCGAGCCGGTGAGGTTTTGCAGTCCCAGTGTTAATTAATCTAAGTAAAATTACGAAATATGTTATCTTCTACATAAACAACAGTCTCCTTATTTCACATCTTAAGTTATACAGGAAGGAGGCTGGTACTTTTGTCACAAAATAATTTGTTCCAGAAAACGGTGGAAAAAATAATTTCGCCTCAGGTGTAACACAAACAAATAATAGTTCTATACTCATGCTGGATAGTCACACAAAAATCGTAATTGGTATCATTTATATTAACGGTGTGTAATGAAGTGTCGCTTTGAAACCTGCTTGCTGTTTGTACATAATTCCTGTGACAGTGAATATTTAAGCTTCCTCATAACATTTCGTTTGCATATTTTGTCTTGGAGGCACACAATTATGGATCACAATACCGTTTAAACGGAACTATTGAACTTATAGTTACTTTAATATATTGAATGAAAATGTATATGCCTACGAATGCCTACGTGGTCTAGTGGTAGTGTGTCTGCCTGGAGAGCAAAGATATGGGGTCCGATCCGCGGCAGCGTCATACCAAAAGACGTTACACGGTGGTCCATGTTACAGGCATTAAGGGGCTAAAACGATGTCAGAATACAGTGTCGGAGTGTCGGAGTGTCGGGGTGGCCATGGAGTATTCATGTTAAACTGCTGCCAATATTTTGTGGGCTTGCACTATAAAATCGGCACGTGTCCGGGACAAGTAGAAGAAGACACGACGTTAAACCATATTTTACCTGACCTAACCTACTAACGGAATAAACAATATATTATTTTAACCGGCCCTGAAGACTTCTTCTTTGCTGACTTTCGTTCAGTGTTTATTATGGTACTTTTGGATTTTCAAATTTTCTGGGGGGTTTCATATTTGATGCCACGGATATATAATTCTTCAGTGTGGGCGTACCCCTTTTAAGATCAGAGTAAGAATAGGTCTTCAGCAACCCAATACATGTTTGCCGTAAAAGGCGACTATGCCTCGTAAGATACGGCTAGCGGGATCGGGTGGTCAGGTTCGCTGACTTGGTTAATGCATGTATCCTAATTGCGTAGATCGATGCGCATTATGTCAATCACTTGATTGTCTTGTCCAAATTGGAATATTGCAGAATGATACCGAACGTTAAACAACAAACAAACAAATCCATGGGAGCGTCACAGGTGAGTGACCCTTCAAATTGTAAAACAACACAGCAAGTCTCACCAAAGCGAACTGTCGCATCCCTTTTGAGACAATATATGTTTTGATGATAGGAGGTAAGCGATCAACAAACGAGCAAACAAGCTTTGAAGAGACAGTGGTGTCACATTCCTAGTAACACACAACGGTGATGCTGATAGTATATATTGTGAAGGCACATTGTTTGTTTGTCCCTGCCTCTTTCATCAACTGAAAAGCAGAACAAATTGAAACCACGAGTAAATAATGGAAGTAACGGCAAAATAATTGAAATTTACGAAAATATACCCGAAATGACGACCAAAATAACAAATTAGTGAAAATAAACCAATAATTGTAATATCGCGAAATTTCGATTTAAAAATAAATATATAATTATATATATGCTACCAAAGAGGCACCATTAGGCCGTCGTACCGTTAGGCTTTCGTAAAGAAACCTTGGACAAATGATTCGAAACGTGATCAATGCTTGTATCCGCTAGCTTAGTTGCTTATAACAAAGGTGATTGGGAGGCACGGTGGATATTTCAAATATATACATTAGCTACAGTCTGAATGTTGCTGACTACGCATTTTCAATAATGGCTTAAATTGCATATGATCCGGTTCAACCGTGTCCTTTACATGCAGTGGCTCAACTAGCTGAAAAGCGTCAACTCCAGCGATAAAATAATCGTGTACACTTGAACCCTGCTCAGATATGAAGGTACATTCTCATTCGGGGTCCGTTGAGAATATGAAAATTTAAAGTATTACACAGCTTTAATAATATTCTTTCAAATCTATTGGTAATATTGTCACTTGCGATAATATTGCGACTATTAAGTGGCACCGCTTCTTCTTCTGGAAAAAACGTTCCCGGCTAAGTCAGATAAACTCTCGGGAGGGGTTGTCACAGCGTCCATCGGTGAGCTAGGATATCTGGGTTGTCATCCAACCACTGCTCAAGGAGTTCAATACCAACGTTTTTCCAACTTGATGTATAGTATAGGGGCCCCTCTGGTACGTACATACCTATCAAGAAATATCATTTTTACTTTGCTGTACCCGTTTAAGTATTCTCAGAGCAACAGAATTATCAATACTAAGCATTACATGTACAAGTGTGCGCAATGGTTCTGATGTATTTTTGTCAAAATATACAAACCGTCCGACCGTCGTCCATGTGAATTTCGCTATATAAGGTGTAAACACTAATAAATATGGAATTGAATAGTAACTTATCACTGACTGTTTCTAGTAAATACAGAAAGTCAAACTCAGATAAATATTTCAGAAAATCAAAATCATCGAGTTATATGATATACCGTTAATATTCCATGTTAAAACGTTATGATAATGAATAAGTAAATATTCATCTGATAAGGAAGTGGTAAGGATTGGTGCGTGACGGTTCTCTGGTCCATGGCCTCGCCCGTATTCAGGAGCATCACTGGTATTGCTAAGTGAAGGTTGTGACTTCTCCTCCAGGTTGAAGGGCACGGGTGGCCCAGTCGTCTAAGGCGTCGCGATTCGCTGTGCAGAGTTGCGTCCCTTGGGCACGCCAGAAACCTATGATTGTGGGTTCGAATATCGGTTCGTTCCGATTATGTTTCTAGGTTTGTCAGCACCATACCCGTGCTCGTCGGTTTCAACGAAGTGGTAAACGTCTGAGACCTGCACCACTTCGGGCTTTCCTCCCACATTAAGCTGACACGCCTTGATATAACCGGAATACTGTTTAAAGCGACGTTAAACCCAACTCAATCACTCACTCCTCCAGGTTGGCATTTGGGGTCGGCTGTCTACCGTCATTAATGACCCTTTGATCTCGATCTTCTCGCTGAAGTCTGTGTTTGCCTTTTGTCATCTGTCTTCAGTTGTTTTCGTCTGGAGGCGGCCGATCTTGAAAAGTGACAATCAACCACGACATCGCATTTCTGCAATAAACTAGATCTGTCTTACACTATTTATCACATGGTTTGAGATGCCCATGTTATCTGACGAGAAAGGATTGGTGTTTACCGACTGCCTAAATTTTGTCATCAGAATATGAAAACTTGACAATAAGGGGGCGGGGCTTACTTTCAATCCCAGTTCACTTTGATTTTAGTCGGCGTGCTCTCAATATAATTCCTGAATTTGGCATACTATATTCGACACGTTGAGAAGAGTAATTACGGTATTCGCATAATCGTCATGAGTTTCCCTCTCTGGTTCTGGAACACCGTGGAACCTTCCGTTGTCCCTCTGACTAAATGCTGCTAGACCTGTGAAGATCCGGGTTAGAATAGGTCTTCAGCAACTCATGGGATTGGGTGGTCAGGCTCGCTGACTTGGTTGATACATGTCATCGTATCCCAATTGCTTAGATCGATGCTCAAGATTTCAATCACTGGGTTGTCTGTTTTTTTAAGACCCGATTATTTACAGATCGCCGTCATAAACGAGTAGATTGGATATTGTTGAGTGCGGCGTAAAACAAACAAAACAAAATGCTTCTAGACTCTCTCCTTTAGCCGATTGTTCTCTAAAAAATGTTCGAGTTTATTCATCTGACCCTGTAATGCATCAATATCAATGCACATCATTTCTTGATCGTGTCTAAAGTTCTCTATTTCTTTCTTGATGAAGTCGATTGTCATCTCAAAAGATGAACATTTCCTCTGTGGTTGGTCGTTCTTTCCTGCAATTTATGTCTTCAGGGATCCCGTTTGAAAAGCGCGCAACTCATCAACTGTTGCTGATTTAACCTCATTTATGACCAGGTATTTCATTCATAAACCGGAGTTTAATTCAACAATATCAGAATATTCAAGAGAGAAACATCCAATTCTGGCTCTATACAGTCAACTACGGTTATAACGAACTCGCTTATAACGAACTGACGGATATGAATGAATGAATGAATTTCTTTATTTCCTCCAGAGTTGAATCCGAAGATTTTACATGGGCAAGTACATTATTTAAAATACATCAATGAAATTACTTGACTATATACAAAGAAATCATGTTATACACTGCTATGAATAAACAATTTACAATGTACATTTTGAGAGCAGTAAGGTATCTAGTAGATATACATAAGGTATTTCTTTAAATTCCATACGAAGTGGCAGAAAGACAGTATGATGCTTTGCCAAGTATCGTAATCAAGTTCGTTTGTCAAGTCATGGACATCTGCACCGAGAAAGAAAGAAAGCATATCATCATCGTCAAGCATATCTATTTTCACGTATACATCTACATCAAGTTTATCAATTAGGCATGAGAAGAAATTATTTCTGTCAGGCATAAACATTTCACAGTGCAAAATAATATGGCAATCATAGTCATAGCAATGTCTATTGCAATGGTTACATTCTTTCGACACTTTTGCTCTTGATCCGATTTTAATACAAAGTTGCAGGGGTTGTCTTAGATGTGGATAGAGATACATTACATTATAAAGAACATGCATTTGTAACCGTTTATGAATTTTATGGTATCGTGAAAGATCCGGTCTCTGTGCTAGTCTCTCTCTCCAGATGTACTGTTCATTCTCTGATAGACGTCTGATTACAAGAGCTCGCCAAGCCGATTTTGTTGGGAACGAACCGCTATCAGTATATCCCTTTATATAGTTATCCAAATGGTATTTTTTAGCAGTATATAGAAGGATGTTGCATATGCTTACTGGACGGCTAATATTGACAAAAGCTTTGGTAGCAATGTGAGCACAAAATAGGTCTTTTGTTATTGAGTTACAATCGTTATTGCAGAGCCTTCCTAATAATTGTAGTCTACATTTATCAATGTAGCCATTCATTGACCACATACCCAAGTTAGAAATAGACGAATCGGTTGGATGTCTTTTACCAAATCCTTGTATATGACGAGCAAAGTAACGTTGTGTACATTCAATCATTTCAAGTTCTTTACCGTAAAAGGCTGGTAACAATTCACATCCATAAAAGCTTGTAGATAAAATCATTCTTTTCCATATATTGACACATGCAACTGGGTGGAGGTCTGAGTCGTTGAGGCCGAGTGATCGTAGTGAATTAACACTTTTTCTTGCTTTTGAGCAACATGTCATGATTCTTTCTTTACAGGATAAATTATTGTTTATGATTATTCCGCCATATTTGACGGAGTCGGAAGTGTCAATTATTGCATCGCCAAATTTGTAGGTTACTTTATTATGACGCTGGCGTGTTTTGCAGAATACAAGTGATTTACTCTTGGAGGCATTATAGGTGAGTCGCCATTTGTTGGCATATAAACGAACTGAATCAAGGGAAGACTGTAAGCCCCGTGGGGTTGTAGACAAGAGCGTTGTGTCATCGGCCTACAAATATGTAGGTGTGTTGAGTGTTGTGTACACATCAAAGGTCGGGTAACTCCACGTATGCCCATCTTTCAAATAGTATGATTTGATTGTTTGTTTGTTGTTTAACGCCGCACTCAGCAATATTCCAGCTAAATGGAGTCTGAACCAGACAATCCAGCGATTGACATAATGAACATCAATCCACGCAATTGCGACACGATGACGTGGATCGATGTTCATGATGTCAGTCACTGGATTGTCTGGTTCAGACATGATTATTACAGTATGAATCAGCTTATGGCATATTAATTTCAATTGGCTTATGTACATATACAGCTTATGCAATATTAATGTACCTTTACAGATTTATACACCCCTCACAATGATATATACATGTATATATATATATATATATATATATATATATATATATATATATATATAGTCATAATTAAATAAGTGGAGTAAGATTGAACACAGTTTTAATAGGCTAGCGCTTTCAACTCGTACCACGTACGAGTCTCATCAGGCCATAACTGAATAACGGACATGAAGTAGTATATATATATATATATATATATCCATCTTTGCCCCTCGTTTGTATTACAGTGATGTCTTACAGGTCATGTCATTCATGAAGACGTAAACCTCGCTGTCAATATGCAGTAGAACCAAATTAATATGACGTAAGTAACCCTCTGTCCAGCATGTTCTGAATAGCAGCATTCTGACAGCCTCATTCACGTACGTCGAACGTTGATTTTGGGGGTTTTTTTTGTAACCTTAACACACAAAATCTAGTCTTCATAAACTTTTCTTTCACTTAAAAATTTATGAACGACATAAGTCATTTCCACCTTAAACAACTAGGCCGGTTGGATGTGTTATTGAGTGTGGGTTATAATTTGCATTGTGTTGTTCACAGGTCACATACTGTGGCCTCTTGAAAAAAAAACTATTCACTTCCTCCCTCAGTGACTAAATGTAAAACACAACACACACTTCTCTTCCGTTATATACTGCAGTGCTATTTATTTTACTTTAAAATAACAACGTAAATATCAAAGCCCGAGTCATAAAAAATGTAACACAATGGATGGAATCAAAGTATGCGAATGTCATCTAATGTAGATCCGTGTAATTGGTCATTTGCTGAAGGTTAAGTGAACCGTATGCGACTTCCAGGTTAAGTTGGTTGGTTGGTTGGTTAGGCCGCACTCAGCAATATTCCAGCTTTATGACGGCGGTCTGTAAATAATCGAGTCTGGACCAGACAATCCAGTGATTGATATCATGAGCATCGATCCACGCAATCGGGATCGATGACATGCTTCAACCACGTCAGCGAGCCTGACCACCCGATCCCGTTAGTCGCCTTTTACAACAAGCATAGTAGCCTTTTACGACAAGAATGGGTTGCTGAAGACCTATTCTACCCGGGATCTTCACGGGTCCTTTCAGATTTAGTGACAAATAACAATGATAAAAACAGTTTGTTCTGCACTGATTTATTTTCAAGCACCGGTGTCGAAAATCTGACAGATTATTTCATCTTGCTGTACTTTTGTCGAAAATGTCTACTCAGCATCTAAAACAAAAGCAAATAAAGCCATGAAAAAGAGAGGAGTGGTACGCATATCATCATTAGAAAAATGCAGTGATATTTTATAATTATATTCGATAAAATAGAATAGTACACACGTTGAGAGAAAAAGTCTTCCGCTCCTCGGATGAACTCTTCATGACTTACAACAGAGTCACCTGAAACACACAAAGACGAACCAATGAATGCTAAATAGAGAGGGATACAATCACAGCCATAAATGTTGTTTTGTTTTTTTGTTTAACGCCACAGTCAGAAATATTCCAGCTATATGACAGAGGTCTGCAAATAATCGAGTCTGGACCAGAAAATCCAGTGACTGACATCTTGCGCATCGATCCACGTATTTGGGATACGTTGACAAGCCATAAATGTAGTTCAAATGCAAGGAACCCTCAACAGTCCTACTGAGCATGTGGCCAAGGCAAAATCTGCGTTTAAGGACACCCTACACTACTCAAACAAAGTTTATTTTCAGAAGTGAATCACAATGGACTCTCATGATAAATACATATGACAGTTTTAAAACTATGCATCTGCTATTTTGTTACTTACCGTCAATGTCAGCCGATTGCATGATTTCTTCCGCATCGCGTTTGTCGAAGAGATTCTCAGCCTCCGATTGGTCAATGTTCCCATCCTCATTCAGATCAGCAGAGAAAAGGTCATCTTGTGCCTCTGACAAAAATACGTGATTGGTCGTGAATGTCATTAATAATCGAACAATGCAGTTCCCCGACAACAGGAAATGATAATACCTAGTTACGTGTATATACCAAAATATCTATAATTGACAAACAAAACATATGCATGATTTTATTCTACTATTTTGTAAATCAAATTGGAATGGTATGAATTTTGCGTGTTTCTTTGTTTGGTTGTTGTGTTATGCTGCATTCATCAATATTGTAATTGTAATGGCAGCCAGTAAATATACTGGTCTAGGCCTGAAAAACCAGTGGTTGGCAGTATATGCAGCGTCCCATGCCGACGGGGAACGCCAGCGGCAATTAACCATGACACCGAGCTTTACCACCGATCCAATTTGTTTGCCTCTTACAAGCAAAATGTAGAGCAATGTGAACCTGTGCCTAACCTATGTCCCTAGAAGCAATAAAGATGTGACGTTATGATATGTAAATAGGATATGTTTCAATCTTATAATTCTCAACATTTCAAAAGATTAAGTAATATGATATGGTCGTTTATAGCGTGTCCATTGCTATTAAATTTTTGCAAAGGCGCGTCAATAGTTCAGGGCAAAGATGATACAAGTCAACGTAGAGAAGAGTATCGGATATCATTATAGTCACGGAGGGGTCAAATGTGGAATTGTGCTCCACATGTCTATCGTAAAACTTTATGAAAGCTTTACTAAGGCATTGAATGCTGTAACCCTGATGAAACGAATTTTGAGCAAGAGTCGTATGACGCTTCTTGAAATCGCCACATCGGCCTTAACGACAGTTAATACCTATGTGAATATGTCACATCGTTAATTTGGCAATACAACATTCATATAAAAACGGTTACAGGTCGGATGGTGGTCAACATTTTCATCGTCTTACCTCTCTTTCCTATCAGACCGAGTCTGCTAGCAACAGCAAGGCCAGTGAGAACCCTACTGCCTCTGACACGGAGCCATCTGCGACGACGACGACGACGGAACAGTCCCTCCGTGGGGAGAACAATCAAAGCCATCAGGAGGAACACCACGAGCAGTCTCATCTGGAAACAGATATGGGCACATAAAGCAATCAGCTGTGCATACATTAGTTATCACATTGATTGAGGTGAGGTTAGGTGAAATGGTGTTTAACGTCGCGTTCAAGCTTATTGCACTTAAATAGCGACGTACATTGTGTGTACAGACTCCGAGCCGACCAGTCCTTGCTTTTGCCCCTTAATCCGAGATGATTCAGGCAGGGTAACAACAAGTACCTTCTATTAACGTATTTTGGTGTCTGACAGCTACTTTGACCAACTCGAAAGCTCATTCTGACAGATACCGATTCTTCGTTGAAACTTCTTCCTTGAAATTACAGGTGAGCTTCCTAAATAACCAGAGGAACACCAACATGACTTGTCTCGTATGGCCCAGTTGGAGAAGCATTTGGCTACGTGTACTAATCACTCTCTAGTGTCTGAGTCCATTCTCAGACAATGTAGAAAACAATTTCTTTAACATAAAAGTATTTAAGGTGTCTGCTGTATGTTTAGATATGTACAAACATGATTCACAATGTTATCCCCAATGAACTTCTGGTTGCAAGAAAATACAGCTTTGATTGTTGTAGGATACGGCTAAGCAGTAATTTTGGACTGTGGAAAATGAAAAACACGACAAATGTACAGACTGACTAAAACTATACTCCACGGGGGACTGAGGATTCTCATACGCCGGATGTCAAATTAAAAACAGTGTTAAATTTCTTCTGTTTGAAGGAGAAGACAATTGGTAACCGTTCAGGTGACTTTAATTAGATATGAACAAAACGTCAAGACTTCAGAACGAGTTACACTTTTTTTCAATAATGCATGTGCTCATAAACTCGCATCGCTATTGTTGATGAGGTTTGTGTATCGGTGCTGAGAGATTAGAAAGCAAATATCTTTCAACATGGGAGGATACACACATGTATTCTTTTGTTGTTGTTGTTGTTGTTTAACGCCGAACACTATTCCAGCTAACGGCTGTCTGTAAATAATGGAGCCTGAACCAGACAATCCAGTTATTGACACCATGAGCATCAAACTACGCAACTGGCATACGATGACATGCATCAACCAAGTCAGTGAGCCTGACCACCCGATCCCGTTTGTCACCTCTTAAGACAAGCATAGTCGCCTTTTACGACAAACATGGGTTGCTGAAGACCCATTTAACCTGGATATTCAAGGGTAATACACGTATTCAGACGAGTGCTTGGGTTCATATTCAACGTATTTCATCTACTGTTGAGCCGTCGGGTACACGGAGATAAGATCAGCGACACAAACAAATACAATCTTAATCAAAGTATCTTCAGAACAGAATCGGCGGCGAACAATGAAATCTATTTGAATTTCAATAGAACCTGCACAGATTGACTTACCTTAATAGTCTCTCGGTTCGGATGCCAAGGACTCAAAGTGGACTGGGTTATATAGAAGGTGTATAATCACTATCACAGATGAGGTGTTATACACGGTGAATAATGTAATCAACACCACATTAGACACCACAAGTCATGTAGATGTCTAATTAGCACTGTGTAATTGATGGCATCATATACACGTAGCTATATGTCAGGGTTGTGATATATATTTATGTATACACACATGGTGTTGTGTGATTGTTTCATTTCCTAAAGAACATTCCTAGCATTGGAACATATATGCGTGTATATAGGGGAAATAATACCAGTTGACTTAACAGATCATGCTAGGACAGGTTTCTGAGGATCTGATTTAAAAACGGAATGTGTGCTTTGGTTTACATCACCAAAATACTGACGTTTGGAGAGAGAGAGAGAGTGAGTGAGTGAGTGAGTGAGTATAGTTTTACGCCGCTTTTAGCAATATTCCAGCAATATCAGGGCGGGGGACACCAGAAATGGGCTTCACACATTGTACCCATGTCGGGAATCGAACCCGGGTCTTCGGCGTCACGGAGAGAGAGAGAGAGAGAGAGAGAGAGAGAGAGAAGGTGTGTGGGGGGGGGGGGGGGGGGGGGGGGGGGGGAGGCGGCGTTGCACATGATATAAATCAGAATCGATTATTTTCAGACCTTTGCAAATGAGATTAAAGTCTGCTATCAATCTCTCGTCCAGACTGGATCATTTACAGGTGGTTGCAATATAATTGGATGATTTACTGAGTGCGTTTTTTACAAATCAAATTGTCGCATATGACATTATTCCTTCATCAAATTGGACAACATATGGCTTCTGTGAAATTAATCAACCGTGTGTTGCAGCACTGACATGTCACATGCTAATGGCATTAGTCACTCAAATGAGACAGGCTTAACCTGTGTGTCACATACAGCGACCTATACCGAGCCAAACCCATCTTTTCTCGTCAGTTCATCAATCATGTACCGATAAGTAAACCCACCACAGGCTGTTAGAGGTGCATCTGATGCCAGCTGCTGACGGCGAAAATGAATGAATGGCATCGGACGCACTTCTTTGAAAGTTAGTTCGTATTGATATAATACCGATCTATTGTATAGTCGAGCTTGCTAAGTTTTACATGATGAACAAGACTGTCTGCTAATTTTATTTTAGAGTATTCAGGATGGATGCTCACATTAAATGTGGAACAGAAGTAGGTAATTGCTCGATGGAAATGCTGGATGAATCGCCTTTTATAGTATTGACATTAGCGGCGTCTATGACATCTCCGAGGATTCAGGGGCTAGGGGGACAATGACAAACTGTGTTTCAGTTGAAGTATTAATCAAGAACACTTGTACACCATTCTTTTCCTAACAGAAAGCCTTTGTTATGCCACTATACGCTACAGCTGCTGCCATTTTCATTATTTTCTGATTCCTTCTTCATGTTGTTCGTTTGTTTGTTGTTTAACGCCGCACTCAGTAGTATTCCATGTATGTGACGGCGGTCTGTAAATAATCAAGTCTGGACCAGACAATCCAGGCGAAACAAGAATAACAGAAGAAACATAAGTGTATTGTTGAACATACAATTGGTAATAGTTTTGTGGATTTTTTAGCTCTGGACAAAAACGTCCATAAATGGACGTCAAGACTTCAGAACAAGTTACACTCATTAACTCTCTGCATTGTTATTGTTGATGGGGGATATGTATCAGGGCTGAGAAAGCAGATATCCATGCAAAAACAGGGATACACACATGCATTCATTTTTTGTTGTGTTTGTTTGTTTAACGCCGCACACAGCAATAATCCAGATTTATAACGCTGGACTGTAAAGAAGGGACCTTGGACTAGACAATCCAGTGATTCACCTCATGAGCATTGATCTACGCAATGGGGATACGATGACATGCATCAACCCAGTCAACGAGCCAGACCGCCACCGATCCCGTTCGTCGCCTCTTGCGACAAGCATAGTCGTTTCTGAGGGCAACCATGCGTTGCTGAAGACCAACTCAAACCCGGATCTTCACAGGCTACTTCTGGATGAAATGTGGAGGGATCAGCTTTGACTGTGAAGCCAACTGGCTATTTGTATATAAACATGTGATAATAATATTTAAGCTTTCTCAATTTATTGATGAATACATATTATTATTGATATTGTATATTATAGATTAAAAACAAGGTTAGAGCACATATATTGAACATCTCTGCTAATTTGACGTAATAATATATTGAAAGATAACGTATATGCTTACTAATGGAATAAATAATATATTATTTTATCCGGCCCTGAGACTTTATTCTTTGGTGGTTGTCGTTTTGTTTTTTTGTGGGTTTTTTTTGTGTTTTTTGTGGTACTTTTAGGACTGAAATACCTTTTAACTTTGCCGATTTTGACGATTTGGCACCTGGAATATATATCTTTTTAACTGACGGAGTTCTCGAGCCCTCGTTCTTCGTCGCCGTTACTTTTTAGAATGGACATAAACTCGGGCTTTGTCCTCTACTGACTGCATGTGTCGCCATATGGTATCTTAAAAAAATAAGTGTTCTTTAATGGGACAAGTTTAGAAAGTCGAAAGCACAAGTTGGTATTTATATTTTGAAAGGTCATAATTAGACAAATATCTATCATGTAATATACCAAACACAGATTATGAAAAAGATGTTTTAAATTACGTTAGATGGTGAAAGATTTATTTAAGAGTACTTATTATAGCCTGTAGTTAGTTACAAAGGTTAATTTACCATGTCGGTGTGACGAAACAACGTGTTTTGGTTCTGTAATCTTTCACAAAAGTGTCTGTATGATCTGTATAAGACTAAAATCCCTACAATGATGCACCGTAAACTTATGTGAGTTTGAGATTTGTCACAGCAAGACATACAAGTTACACATAAGTGCATCCTGATGTTTCAATGTTTTTTTTTAGATGAACTTGTGCATGTGTTTGTGACGTCAGAAAACGATGGGACAGGATGAGCTCACCTTTTGGCCAACACCTAGCAGAATCACATTGTCAATATAATTATGATTCATAAACACATACTGATGATATACATAAAGACGAAATCGTACAAAGGATTTTGCTTTTAATAGGGATTTGATATTATTATGGAAGGGGTTCTGTCGCTTTCATTTCCATCTGTAGAACGTAATGATGTCATAACTGATGCATGAAGAATCTGTGTGTTTACTTACCGCGATAGGTGCGCACGGGTGGCGCCGCGATTCGTTGTGCAGAGTTGCGTCCCTTGGGCACGCCAGAAACCTATGATTTTGGGTTCGAATCCCGGTTCTTCCCGATTATGTTTCTAGGTTTGTCAGCACCATACCCGTGCTCGTGGGTTTCTCCGAAGTGGTAAACGTCTGAGACCTGCACCACTTCGGGCTTTCCTCCCACATTAAGCTGACACGCCTTGATATAACTGGAATACTGTTAAAAGCGGCGTTAAACCCAACTCACTCACTCACTCACTCACTAACCGTGATATATTTCTATGTGTCAGTAGATAGCATCATACCATGAATCACTGACAGCACTGCACATGTGGTATCACAAACACATTGTCTCGAAATTGTTGGTTTAGGTCACATCTGTCGCATTGCCTCTGGTAATTAATTATACGATCAAAAGGAGTAAGGGATACATTAAGGGACGAGGTGATCGATTGTCTGATGGGAGTGCTAAATCCGTATTAACACTTAGTCCTTATTTGTAATTGATGAGTAAAAAATTGATAGCATAGTTGCATAAACAACAAAAAGGCATTTAAACGTGTCTCATGCTTCAGTGTCAACAAATCATGTTGTGGGGAGTAATATTGTTTATTCAGCATGAGTGAGTAAGTGAGTGAATATGGTTTTACGCCGCTTTTAGCAACAGCCTAGTAGTTAAAGCGTTCGCTCGTCACGCCAAAGACCCGGGTTCGATTCCCGACATGGGTACAATGTGTAAAGCCCATTTCTGGTGTCCCCCGCCCTGATATTGCTGGAATATTGCTAAAAGCGGCGTAAAACCATACTCACTCACTGTGAATGAAACTTCCTTTGCAACATTCGTTACTTTATGACTGTGCGTTGTAACCTGATGGCATATCGCTGCACGTTAGAGGGAAATGCCTAGAAGCGTACGTTTATATATTTACTCACACACTAACGCATATAAGTTATGATGTTTTCTTACATATGAACGTTTGTTCCTTGAGTGGTTATGATATATTACAAACCCGTGTAGGTTCCCCTGTGTATAAGTCCCCAGCCTCTTATGCTTGTCGTGAGAGGCGACTGAATGAATCGGGTTGTCAGGCTGGGTGTCATCGTATCCCAATTGCTTTGATCGATGCTCATGATGTAGTCACTGCATTGTCCGGTCTATAAACACACATTCCATTATTTACAAAACGACGTCATATATCTGGAATATTGTTGAATGCGGCGTTAAACTAACAATCCCTCAACTGATATATTTGAACAAGTTAAATTCTATCAGTTATACTGTAATGGGTCAAAAACTGTTAACGGGTAATAGATTTCATGACTGTGGTAAAATGTGATTTTGGCGTCGATAGTTTTCAACTGGCAATGTGTAACTTCACCTAAAGCAGTCCTCAATCTGTAGCCAAATCTGAAACAGATGTGACAGTTTTTTTCAGATATTTTCATTATACATTATACATTCTGTTGGCCCTGCATCGTATTTAGCTGCGGATTCAGAACCGTGTAAAGTGAAGTTACAGACTGTTAACAATGCAAGATGACATCCGAGACAGAAGTGGCAGATTTTTTCACTCACTCGCCTCGGATTTCTCTGCAGATTCTGGACGCTTAAGGTGAGGTTTAAAGATTGTCAGCAGGACATATCCCATCCCGGCGCGGGCTATGTCAATGATTGAAACTTTATACAACACCACACTTGACGTAATAGTATCGGCCAATGTAAATTATAAACGTATTACCACTGTGAGAGAAATCGGAGAGTTATCAATCAAGATTCGTTGCGGTTTTTTCCCGTTACGTTATATAAAGACCATATTGTTTTATAATCCACAAACAAATAGTCACATCACAATGTATTGCGTCTATGAAAATTATGTACTTAATTGACAATATAATTATGCTTGTGGACATTTCACATATGTTAATATCGGATGGACCGAGATTACCAAGCCAATGGCAGATCACAATCATCGTCACATTGTACAAAGGGTTACATATTAAATTTATCATAATTATTGTGCATCTCGTGGAGAATCCTGTTAGGATAGGGGGCACGGGTGGCCTAGTCGCCGTGTAAGGCGCCGCGATTCGCTGTGCTGATTTGCGTCCCTTGTGCACGCCAGAAACCTATGATTGTTCGAATCCCAGTTCGCCCCGATAATGTTTCTAGGTTTGTCATCACCGTACTCTTGCTCGTGGGTTTCACCGAAGTGGTAAACGTCCAAGACCTGCTTCACTTCGGGCTTTCCTTCCACATTAAGCTGACACGCCGTGATATAACTGGAATACTGATAAAAGCGGCGTTAAACCCAACTCACTCACTCCTGTTAGGATAGGCCCCCACCAACTTGTGCTTTTTGTAAGATGTGACAAAATGGATCGGGGGTTGTGACTTGGTTGAGTACTAGTGCAATGGAGGACACCTTTGACCAATGTGCCACCACAACACCATCCCATCCGACAACAGGTGGCATCAGCTTGTTGCCTGTTTACGTAGACAGGCTTGACATCTAGCCTCGCTTAATCATACCTTGACGTCAGTTCACTAATCAGGTGCCAGATGGATGGATCATTCAGTGCGCAGCGTTATGAAGTAATACTGTACTATTTCAAGAATACCATATGTTTGCATAGTCGCATGTGGCATAAAAAACGGACCAAAACGAATATTTTGATCTCAAAACATCAAATAGTAATATATTAAACAATTGAATAGACAATAACAAAAAGAATGGATGTAAAAAGAAACAAACATAATTATTGCTAAAATCTATGACAATGGTTTTCGATAGAATCAGACACGCAAACATACACACATACATAGATACATACACACCAAGAAACGTTATATACATGCATTTTACATGGAACTTACGTGCTAATATGATGTCATGAATGGAATTGCCCTTAATATCATTAGACCCGTGAAGATCCGGGGTAGAATAGGTCTTCAGCAACCCATGCTTGCCGTAAAAGGCGACTATGCTTGTCGTAAAAGGCGACTAACGGGATCGGGTGGTCAGGCTCGCTGACTTGGTTGATGCATGTCATCGATCCCAATTGCGTGGATTGATGTTCATGATGTAAATCACTGGATTATCTGGCCCAGACTCGATTATTTACAGACCGCCGTCATATAGCTGGAATATTGCCGAGTACGGCGTAAAACAACAAACCAAACCAAACCAAACCTTAATATTACACGTGCGATGGGTCAAAATACTTGCATCACCTATTTTCAATGATATTCAAAGATCGGTTTCAGTGTTTTTGGTTACGTAAGAAAAATATGATGAAGTTACGAATAAAACTACTGTTATAATGTGAAAAATGCCAAAGCAGGCAACCATCGATGATGGCTTTAAATGTTCAATACGTTCAAAGTAATTTAGTCTGTGTTTCCAAATAAGGTAAAATCCAAGCATTATGTCATAGGTCCTCATTTTCGCATAATTGTTTTGACCGACGGCCATTGGTTAATCAATGAAATTCAAAGCTTCATAATAGCTGTATAACAATTTTGTATGTATGTTTTGACAATATTGTTAATACTCTGTGTCCATAATCGTTTCTGACATTTATTTCGTATTAACACTTGTGCGAGGATATCGCCTTCATTTCAACTTATTCAAATCTACAATTATATCATTTGTAAACATAGCTATTGCTGCTTGTGTTTGTGCTTAATACGTTTGGGTTATAAATCGCACACGTTTGTATAACAGGCAGGCATAACGTATAATTGATACGCACTGGCATTATTTGTCTGTCACACAGACCCTGAACGAAAAAAATCCAATAAAGCCCATGCAAGTCTATAATATTTGGTTAAGATTACTGCAGCAGCATCTGAAAATGAAAACGTTTCTTGGCTCCTTTTGATTATGTTTTATTACTGTAGTTTAACAACTGTTTCTTTCTGTAAAATATTTTCATTTCAGAGACGCGATGTAACTCTATCACATTATTTCAAAGTACACGTTTCCTTTGTGTTTTACTAAATGTGCCGTCACGATATGGCTGAAATATTGCCGATGTGACGTAAAGCTGTAACTCACTCACTCACTAAATGTGCAAACTGTTAATTATTTAGGATTCATTTCCATGTCCAATGTTCTTCGTTGTGTACTCTTTCCGTTCTTGCACGTGAGATAAGAGTACGAATACATTTAAAGCTCTGACGTATAAATAAGTATGCAGAGAATCGAACCGATTTGTCTCACTAACGTACTACCAGAGATAAGGCTTAAGATATCAATTGATCGTGACTCACCGGTCGGAATTTTCCGATCACGACGAAAACAACATGTAACCATGGTCTGATATGTTTTAACCAATCCAAACGAAACCACAGGGCACGTGACAGGCACGTCGGACTGTAACACCTTAAAAAGAGCTTCGCGTGGTGATTCAAGCAGTGCGGGCTTTGTGGTCTCGAGGTCGAGTCGAACCTCGCCCATTCCGTGACGAGCCCTTCATTTACAGTTGGTTTGAAGTTTAAAAAATGTTTATGTCAGTTTCAAACCGTGTGTTGCGTTAATGTCTGTATGGTTGTACGACGATACATTAATGCCAATGTAGGTAATTAGAAGCTACGGCCCGTGGACCCATCGCTCCAGGACCTTGAGAAAGTAGCATCTGACGGCAGTGCTAGTTGCAGATTGATGTCTTTGACTTCCCATGGCGACACGGAACGACAACACGCATAAGTAGCTGCTGAAAGGTCCCTTGGTAACCCCGGGCCCGAAGCCAATTACAACAACACTCACTGATTCTGTGGACGAAGCAGTAAGGGAAGGACACGTATGTCTTTATCGTTGGGCCTTCGAATCGAGCGACCAGCACAAAAAAAACCAACCACAAGACAAAATATATTTGGGTTCATTTTTTATTTCTATTGATTTCTTTTTTATTTTCATTTTTCCGGGCTCTCTTTCCTTAAGAAAAATATTAAGCTAAAAAATCAGGATATGGGTAACTTTTGACCCTTTTAAATAATGTTTGATCAAATGCATTTTATAATTAAAGTATATCTGGCCTTTTCATATAAATTTTAAGTATGGGAATAACATGCATCCTGCACTTAAAGATAATGACATGTTTTCCTCACTAAAGCGACCGACCAAAACATATGTATCAGAAATATAAAATAGAATTATTGTGATAACCGTTTTTCTTATTTCGGCATACTCAAGCTAACTGGTTGTCACAAATGACAACATAACATGTGTCCTAATGTATGTGATCGAACACAAAGTGTGATGGGACAAGCATATTCATATTTATTTCATAGTTACTTCAATATGCATGTTACAGATATACAATTGACACATGACACAGGTAAACAATGTCGATATGGCAAATTACAAATGGGAATATAATTAATAACATTAAAACGTTATCTCCAGACTCAACTTTGTCCATAGTTCATGTGAATGGGTGTATTATGTGTAATTTCAGGATTTGGTATCACACAATTATTCGTCTAAAACCACATCCATCTAGGCCACAATACTACGAGGGGCGTTCAAAAAGTTTTGCAACTTCAATATAAGACCAAATGGCAGAATATCTTTTGCACTTTTATTTTTCAATATAATCTCCATTCACCTTACTAGTCACTAAGGGCTAAGTCGGTGCTATACAGTTACATCACGAAGACGAGGATATAAAGGCTGCCACGGAGGCGTGGTTAGAGGGCCAATCTGCGGATTTCTATAAAAGTGGTATTAAAAGCTTCAAGGACAAATGGAATACGTATATTGAGATGAGTGGAGATTATATTGAAAAATAAAAGTGCAAAACATATTCGTCGACTTGGTCATATATTGAAGTTGCAAAACTTATTGAACGCCCTTCGTAACAACCAAACAGATTAGTTTATTTCAGTAGTGAGGTAGGATGAAAAATTATTTTTCCTGAGACATACATGTATGTAGTAAGCACATAGTTTCTAATAATAATACAGGTCTCTTGATACAAGCCATTACATATTTTAGTAAATTGTGCAAAATATATTATGGTTTCCACATCCGTACTAATATAACCTGGCATGTTCGTTTTTACGTTTATGCTTTAAGGCACCAATTCATATAAATTCAGCATTATCTCTATGCCTTAGGTAAATAAATACATTGTGGCATTATTAGATATTTTTACATTCACATCAGCTTCGTTTCTTTGCCGTAGGTAAATATACTAAACACTTCGTGGCTTTATGGTATATTATTAACATTCAATCAAGATTGTTTCTTTGCCGTAGGTAAATATACTAAACACTTAGTGGCTTTATGGTATATTATTAACATTCAATCAACAATGTTTCATTGCTGCAGGTAAATATACTAAACACTTAGTGGCTTTATGGTATATTATTAACATTCAATCAACAATGTTTCATTGCTGCAGGTAAATATACTAAACACTTAGTGGCTTTATGGTATATTATTAACATTCAATCAACAATGTTTCATTGCTGTAGGTAAATATACTAAACACTTAGTGGCTTTATGGTATATTATTAACATTCAATCAACATTGTTTCATTGCTGTAGGTAATTATACCAAACACTTAGTGGCTTTATGGTATATTATTAACATTCAATCAACATTGTTTCATTGCTGTAGGTAATTATACCAAACACTTTGTGGCATTGTTGTAGGAGTGACATAGTTCTTTTGTATAGACAGCCACGGATAGGTCGCTCCATTAGATTTGACTCTGTAATCACCAACAGTAATGAAACTTTCGATGTATGAGAACTCACTCTCATTTAGCATAAATGTTGTCCAAATAATTATTGGAATATGAATATATATGCATTTACATGTATAATACGTATATAGAAATGTTCGTGTTTATTTTATTAGGGCAAGGTATATAGAAACTAAGACAACTGTAAAGTCTACGATGTAATGTGACGCTGCAGATAGAAAATATTCAAACCTGGGTCTAAAACTTGTGTGCATTTTTTTGTGGGGTTACTGTTGTCCTTTTCCTGCTTTATTGATTTCTTTTACTTGGACCTTTCTTCACGTAGAATGTTTATTGTTTTTTTATCACCCAGCATAAGTAGTACATGCTTTATCTTCAATTCGATCAACAGATGAACTTGATTACATGATGCATCTCGACGATCTCATAGTTATATTAGATGTGCACTCTTCTATGGCTTTACTGATATGTGTCTCAGGCTAACACAACTCGGTATCACATACCAAAGGCTACGTTTGTCTACATGGCAACACGAATTCATGTAACACATTGTTCAGTGTGTTTCAGATACATTTCAACTAGCACAAACTCTTCGGTACTAAATGCTAAGTTCCGTTCACATAACTATTTTAAATGCAAATGCATACTTATGTAAGCCGCTCAGGTAATCGCTATATCGAATTCTGGAGTCTATAACTGTAAATGCTCGCAAAGTGGTCGATGGTTATTTTACATCAATGCATGCACAAATCTGGGCCAACTTGCACAAAGCAACCAAAGCTCTGCGATCATTTTTATTTTATCTCCCGTACTTTAACATAGGCTTACAAAAGTCGTAACGCTAAGGTCGCTTTGTGAAAGTGGGCTCTGGTGTATAAAGGTCAACAGACAATAACATATATCATTTGATACCATTGCGTGCACTCGAAGAGTAAGTAATGGTTGCTATAAGAAGCGGTCGTACAATCCTGTAACACAACCACACCTGAATCTTATGTTAAAACGCAGGCTTGTCGACGCATTGTTGTATTTCATCTCCTTTGTCACCTTGGAATACTTCTTAGTATTTGGGTGATGGTATAAGTGATAAGGTGCCTTTTATATACAGTACGAAGAAATAAAAAAAATGGTTCCCAATATGATTATTGCCCTTAATAGCATGAACATTTTCCTGAATTGCATATGCTCATAAGGCCCCTGAAGATCAGGGTGGGGAATAGGTCCTCAGCAACTCATGCTCGCTGTAAAAGGCGACTATGCTTGTCGTAAGAGGCGACTAACGGGATCGGGTTGTTAGTTTCGCTGACTTGGTTAATGCATGTCATCGTTTCCCAGCTGCGTATATCGATGCTCATGATACCGATGCAATTATTGTCTGTTCCAGGCCAGATTATTTACGGACCGCCGTCATAAAACTGGAATATTACTGAGTGCGTCGTAAACCACAAACCAACTAATGCATATGCCCATGAACTCGCAGACATCCTTATAATGCTATGTTCGTTGCTGTATCGGTGTTAGTGGGGGTCCAAAGAAAGAAAAACAAACTGAACCAAAGGCGAATCTAAGGGCAGTGTAAGGCCACTTATTTGCGAACATCATTCCGATGACTCACAGCGAAGATTTCCTTAGTTAACCCGGAAACCGTTCACTCTTTTAGGATCGGGGTGACATTTATATTATAACAGGAGAATAGGGAGATACATAAGCCTATGGGCATTGCGAGATAATTAGGGACCTCAGAGGTTGAAACACAAAATGATAACGGCATATGCAAGCACTAAATACATAACCTTGTCACATCCCTATCACAGTGAACCAAGGTAACCGCTGTGACTACGACTTCGTGAATCAGCAAGGATGCTTCTGGGCTCAGCCTTATACCATCTTTCCCTCTTCATGAATGCCTCCTCTGCCGTAACAAATTTGCCAGATTGCCTTTTAATGCTGTTTACTCTGGAGTTTGGCTGAGAGCTGTATCCACTGCCTGTTATGGCAACCCTGGTGATGTACCTCCGCTTTGCCTCAATGGTCGCTCCACTATTGACCCTTTCCGCATTCCTCTTCCCTTCCTTGAACACATCCAGTTGATGCTGGCGAAACACCTTCGATGTCTCCTTGAAGAGGTGTCCATCTGCCGTTATGGCGTGTGCAGGGATGTGACTGTCATCAGCTGCAAGCATGTTTGGTCGTGTACCTGGAGGGCTTGACTTGACTCTTCTCAATTTATCTTTATTGGAATAGAGAGTGGCGGGATGGACGGTCGTGTAGTCTTGATTAGAGCTTGGGACGACTTCAGTCATGGGTTTTACGTCGGGTATCTCATGTGGTGTATACTTTTCAACTGGCCTTTCATTTCGGCAACATAACCTGTACCAAAGAGGAAGAGTGTGTGAATTCTGTGTATCCACCAGATGGGGAGTATTTCAATTTTATTCCGACCTGTCAGATTACTGTTCTTGGAAAGTCCAAAAAAAAACAGGTTGTATATATTATCACTCTCGTTGAAGGCACGGTACACGAGTGACAGGTCACGGATAATAAACGACGGTCTTCCAAAGGATTTAGGTGTTCTTTAGTATTCAATAGAGTGGAGTAACTCAATGTGGAAACGATTAAGTTTATAATGTTTAGAAAAGGGGGTAAGATAAGGAATATATACAAGTGGTTTTATGACAATTAAGCAATCAAGGTGGTTGGTATATTTTCATATTTCAGAATGTTTGTAAGTATAAATAGTATATTTACTTTTGTTGAAAAAGTTGGCGGATCAGGGTAGGAAAAATATAATGTTGTCTAGATCGCAAAGTTTAATCATTCTTTCTTCGTGTTGAAACCATGTTATTATTATTTGACAGATATGTTGGCAGTGTACTGTGTTATGCTTACGGAATTTGCCCAAGGCTTATAATATTGTGAACGTTTCTCTCGAGTATTGTAAGAATATACTTAGAGTAAAAATGTGTACATGTAATGATATGGTTTATTTGGCGATATTCTTTGAAATATATTAGAATGTTTGATATGGTTAAATACTGGTGTAAATATTTCGATACTGATAATTGCATATAAAAAGGTTGTTAAGATTTTTTTTTATATCTGAAACCTGAATATGAATATATTAGCAAGAGGGCAAATAGGCTCATATTAGCCAGTTTTGGATACAAGTATAAAATGTAAAACAGAGATGTAACTTATGAAAACGTGCAAGTATATTAAGATTTGAACTAATTCATTTAGTTTCTATTTTCTCCACTTGAAAATTAAAAGATGTAAGCCCCTCTTGTTAAAGGTAAGTATTGAATTGAATTAGGTGCATCTCCGATTATGGCAGCATTTCAGTTATATTCCGACATGTCAGCTTTGCTTTGGAAAGACCAAACTCATACAGGTCGTAGATGTTATCACGCGAAAGGCACGCTACACGAGTGACAGATCACTGATCATAACCGTGGAGATTCTGGAATTCGAACAAACGACAAGCGGGTCCTGGCAATGTTAAGGGGTGCAACTCTGAACAAGAAGGTCCTACATGGTCGGTGTTACCCTTTCTAACCTCAAAGCGGTGGGGCTTCTTTAAACAACATTAAAACTTTCAATGATGATACCAGTAACAATCGCTCACAACTCGATCACACACAGCAGTGTTTTATAACAAAAAAAGCATGACGAATTTGCAATGACTTAGTATCCCTCTTTCATTTGTCATCTTGGTACTTTTGTTAAATAATTTCATTCTGGTTTAACGAATATCCAAAGATCGTCGCGTCTGTAGTATCGGGTAAGTTACCATATCAAATAACCTTCAATACCATATCCTCGATCATAGAGTATATCTCCATTTCTGTTAAGATTATTACCTAGGATTGTCTACTATAACCTAGTTTTTAGACAGTCGTTCGGCTCGACGCTAAATAACTCCCCAATGAAATTACTGCCCTTCGCGAGAGCAGTTCCCTGCTCAGTTAGACATCGGAGTGATGGAGGTGGTGAGGCCACTTCATAAACAAAGCTATGGTTTGTTATCGAGGATGTCAATACGAGTGATGGAGAATAAAGTTCATCCGTTATATTCGGAGCTGACTGCAGCTAGTCAGTTGGCCAGGGGTGAAAAACAAGATTTTCGTTCCCACATTTTCCTGTATACCTTAAACCTTTTCTATTGTATAAAGGAGGTATCTGTACACAATTTTCATTGGGTAGTAAGCTTGCAAGTGTGTGCAGGAATTTTCAGGGGGTCAAAATTTTCATTAAGTCATTAAATTATCCAAATTAAGTCTTTGATTACAGGTAATAGGTTCGGTTATCTGAATTTGGCAAACATTTTGTTTCATTTAACTGTTATTCTAATTCTCAGTGGAAACATTGGTAAAAATCATGTTTTTTTACTTCATTTTCAAATCTTGTGAGTAGGTAAAACACTAATTCCATTGAATTGTGACAACCACTATAACCGGGTATTAAAATCTGCCTTAACCATTGTACTATCCTATACAAAAAACAAAATGAAAATATATTACATAGGGGTTGAGATATTGTATACAATGTTACCCCACCCCCCAAAAACCAATTTTGATGAAAATTGCTTATTGAGTTATGGTGGTAGATGATGTTGCTGTAGTGGATGAGTGGGATAATTGCAACAATGCCTAAACACACCAAAATAGTAAACTCAGAAAGAAAAATTATGTTTCAAGTTTTTCTGTGAGCATTTATGGTGGCCATCTTGAATTTCAAGATGGCCGCTATTTTGACCTGTTTTTAAAAACAAGATCTTATATAGTTCTTCAACATGGTCATGTAATATATCATATGAAAGCTTTTTACATTGTCTTTTCAATGATGTACATTATTCACTGACTCCTGTGGTAAATTGATCCCCAACAATGAAAAAAGGAAATATTGAAAGCTAATTTCTCTCGTGACTTCAACCCATACCCAAATTTAGATTTATATTGAAATGGACATATTTTCACTCAAAATTGTAGATATACAGCACTTTAGTTCTACAACATGGTCATGTAATATATCATATGGAAGCTTTTTTACATTGTCTTTTTAATGATGTACCTTATTCACTGACTTCTGTGGTAATCTTATCCCCCAATAATACAACAAATGATATATCGAAAGCTAATTTCTCTAGCAACACCAACCAACCTCCAAAGTCGTATTTTAATAAAATGGACATCGTTTCACTCACAAATTGTAGATAAACTGCACTTTTGTCTGAGCATTTCACTAGTTTATCGTTTGAGTGAAAAAAAAACATGAGAATACTTGTAGTATTATGAAGTATTAAAGATTACATCACAGAGTCAAGGGCTGTGAAATAATGTCACCTCTAGTCACCGTCAGAGTCCATCTCTTCTGGAAAGGTAGGTACATGTAAGTTGTTTCTGTTTAGGCATGACATAGCACAACTGCATCCAAGGGAACATCCCATGATGTTCTTGGAGCATCTGCCTGTTGTGCATTTACATGTGAGCAATTCTAGACACAGTGCTGGCATTCGTTTCTGGCTCATTGGGATGGTTTCTATGACATCCTCAGTAGATGACCACCTATACTCTTCTGGTGGTGGAATGTCAGCCTTTCCTTTGTGTGCAGAACACCACGTGATGCACTGGTGCTGACATCTGAGTAGAGGTTGTGTGGTGGGAGTTTCTCTAGGTCTCCAACTCTGTGGAACATGTCAGCTGTAAGTGTATTAATGCTAGTTGCAGTCGATGCTGGATTGTACACTTTGACAACAAATGTTTCTGTCTTTTTCATGTTGAAGGCACCAGTTTCTTCTGTTGGTTAGAACAAATCTGATTGTGCGATAAATATGTTCCAGGTCGACTTCTTGCCATTACCACTGAACTGGCTTGTTGTGTCACAACCATGACCGCATGGAATGCTGGTAGAGTTGCTACAACATCTTGAGTGAGAGATTGATGTACATCATCAACTTGTATGAATAGTAGGTCCTTTGCAGTACCTGCACCCACCTATATCTGATTTGGTAGATTTGGTATTGCTGCAGATTGATCTAAGGAAGATATTACATCATCATGGTATGAATCGAGGTGACAAGCTTTTGTCAGAGTTCACTGACAATCGATTGGCGGATAATGCTAAGAGTATTCATGACAAAATATCAAAAGTGTGTCCAACAGTACATGTTCCGCACTGTACATCATGCAGATATCAAAGAAGTCAACTCAAACCAATACCTTTAAGCAAGGAAGACAACGTTTCAGAAGGTTGCTGAGTGCCACCCTCAGTGGAAGAGAAGTAAACGTACCACATCTTCTAACACATGAGCTGTCCCAGACCCCACCTTCCCTGGCAACAACAGATGGCCTACTTTGTACAACAAAGCTGCATTATCACATTTGCTTGCAGATTCTCATGGTACCATCAACTGATGACACATAATGCATTGTTATTTCTGGCATGGCTCTTGTACAGGTTATAGGCAAACCAAGCAAAGCTAGGCCCTTTGGAGATTTGGCTGATGTTTTCAATTGGAATGTGCTGAAGAACTTCGGTGAAACTTGTACTTAAGTCGATGATGTCTTTGACCAATATGTTGCAAAGTCAGTAAAATCTGCAACTCGGACAAAAGGAGGTGATCGATCAAAGAAAACTTGAAGAATAATAGATAAATGAGACATCCTTCTGCTGGCTACATTGTCCAGTTTTATTGAAATGAACAAGCAAAATTTGATACAATTCTCGACCACATAATTGCACACACAGGCACAGCATCTCCATCATAATCATCAAATCATCATCATTGCAGGTGGATTAAGCAGCCCAATTACAGCAGTATCTTCCATAGATCAATCTGAAGCAATGCCAAATCTACTGTCAACACATAAAGAGGCAGCTACACGATTGGTGATCAATGTCATGGATGCCTCCTGCAATGGATACGACCACAGTGTCATTAACAGCTGAGACACTGATGTTAGAGTACAGCTGACGCATCATAAACATCGTTTTCTGCTCAGATATGAATGGGTGCATATCAGTTGATGATGTACATCAATCTCTCATTCTCTCAGATATTGCAGCAGCTCTACCAGCATTCCATGCGGTCACAGGTTGTGGACCTGGAACATATTTATCGCACAACCATATTTGTTGCAACCAACAGAAAAAACTGGTGCCTTCAACATGAAAGAGACAGACTCACTTGTCATCAAAGTGTACAATCCAGCATCGACTGCAAGTAGCATTAATACACTTACAGCTGACATGTTCCACAGAGTTGGAGACCTAGAGGAACTCCCACCACACAACCTCTACTCAGATGTCAACACATTTGCATCACGTGGTGTTCCGCACACAAAGGACATTCCACCACCAGAAGAGTATAGGTGGATGTCTACAGACGATGTCACAGAACCCATCCCAATGACCCAGGAATGAATGCCAGCGCTGTGTCTGGAATTGCTCACCTGTAAATGCACAACAGGCAGATGCTCCTCATTCAGGTGTAGCTGCGCCAAGAACATCATGGGATATTCCCTTGGATGCAGTTGTGCTATGTCATGCCTAAACAGAAACAATTTAACTTACCTACCTCTCCAGATGCGACGGACTCTGACGGTGACATTATTTCACATTTTATTTTTAATACTTAATACTACAAGTATTCTCATGTTTGTTTCTTCACTCAAATTATAAACTAGTGAAATGCTCAGACAAAAGTGCTGTATATCTACAATTTTGAGTGAAAATATGTCCATTTTAATTTAAATCTAAATTTGGGTATGGGTTGAAGTCGTGAGAAAAATCAGCTTTCAATATTTCCTTTTTTCATTGTTGGGGATCAATTTTCCACAGGAGTCAGTGAATAATGTACATCATTGAAAAGACAATGTAAAAAGCTTTCATATGATATATTACATGACCATGTTGAAGAACTGTATAAGATCTTGTTTTTAAAAACAGGTCAAAATGGCGGCCATCTTTAAATTCAAGATGGCCACCATAAATGCTCACAGAAAAACTTGAAACATATTTTTTCTTTCTGAGTTTACTATTTTGGTGTGTTTAGGCATTGTTGCAATTATCCCACTCATCCACTACAGCAACATCATCTACCACCATAACTCAATAAGCAATTTTCATCAAAATTGGTTTTTGGGGGGTGGGGGTAACATTGTATACAATATCTCAACCCCTATGTAATATATTTTCATTTTGTTTTTTTGTATAGGATAGTACAATGGTTAAGGCAGATTTTAATACCCGGTTATAGTGGTTTTATTGTCACAATTCAATGGAATTAGTGTTTTACCTACTCACAAGATTTGAAAATGAAGTAAAAAAACATGATTTTTACCAATGTTTCCACTGAGAATTAGAATAACAGTTAAATGAAACAAAATGTTTGCCAAATTCAGATAACCGAACCTATTACCTGTAATCAAAGACTTAATTTGGATAATTTAATGACTTAATGAAAATGTTACAGCCAATTTTGTCAAAGTATGCATTTTTCCTTCAATTTATGCAATTTTGACCCCCTGAAAATTCCTGCACACACTTGCAAGCTTACTACCCAATGAATATTGTGTACAGATACCTCCTTTATGCAACAGAAAAGGTTTAAGGTATACAGGAAAATGTGGGAACGAAAATCTAAACTAAGCCTCTTTTCTGCTGGTGGCCAACTGACTAAGCGGTCCAATGTGAGACGTAGCACCTACCTGTAGATGATGACAGAGATGAGGATGAGCAACAGCACCGCGCCAACAGACACTCCGATGATGATGGCCTCTGAAGAACAGAAGTGCTTGTGGAACAGCCTGGAAGAGGTACTAGTTCATCCAACAATACATCAATCGTGTACCAGTAAATTTGCTACTTTATTGCTTCTGTGTACATTTATATTAATTTGAATTTGCAAGGATACATGTATTGTATCTTAATTATCATTTGATTTAAGTTATTTGCAGATATGAATCAAATGTCAAAGTTTAACGTGGAGATTAACCTGACTCAAATATATTTGAAAAATTATTTTACAAACGACGGATCAATTCCTTGCAAATCCTATATTCATTTCCACTTTCAATGTCATGACACCTTCGTTTCGCCATGTGGTATTGTTTAAAAACATGTCTTCAGAATATTCATTTCCGGGAAGTTATTCCTTTTCAATTATATGCATTTTTATAAGCCATTCGATTCCATATCAGTGCTGTGTATAAGAAGACAACTTACTTTCATTATCCATCCTTGTGGATGTCTGTTGGGCTACGACTGGAGGGACTGTCGAGGGTGAAGATGTAGTGAAGAGTCTAAGGTTCGCTGTGGGTGACGGTGTGGTGATGAAGGGAGTGGCCGCTGTTTCTTCCGTTGTCGCCGGACCTTCAGTCTGGATGTTGGTGCCTGTCACTAAATATCAACGACAGGAGCTGTACATTATGAAATATCCCTCTTGAGACCAGAGTCACATACTTGTTATTGGCACACCGTTTGTCTCGTACTGTGGATATATATCTATATATTACTATAAAAGTTAAAGAAGACCAGATTCATTCATTACTATAGTTATTGTGTCATAGTAATATGAAAGAATCGGGTATTCTTTAACTTCTTTTGAACAGTGTATTCAGTTTTGATGGTCTATAAGACGTCGAATTATCGAAGTTTTATCTTTTCGGTGTTTCTTCAGTGCACATAAGCACTGAACTAATTATTATATTTATAAAGTACATATTCATATATGAAAAAATGAAAGAGCATTTGTGAAACATTGAATTGGGTGATTCGCTACATGTCAACAGACATGTATTTTCCTGAAGTGAATACCATGCCGCGTAAGTAGCTATAAACCTCGGGACACTATTGCATAGTACGAGTACATGTACAATGGCATATTGTAATGCTAATCTGAACCTTATAAATATCAGCTTAGAGACACAAACGTGCAAATACCACCCCACTGTGTGCACGACACTATCGTTACAGTCCTACCGGTAGTGTTAATGGACGGTTCTTGTGTCACAATCCTCGATGGTACCCGCGTTGTTGGTGTAGTTGGTGTAGTTGTTGGACGTGTCACATCCTTCCCAGTTCCGTCATTCCGACACGCCACCGTCAACACTGAAACACGAACACTCTCTTAATCACCACTGAACGAAACGCGTTGCACCCAAACACACAAACATTTGTATGAATATAATATAATAATCGCAGTATCGCCTATAAATAAAGCCTATTACAGAACACGCATGACAAGATCCGACCACAGGGTGCACAAATAGCATCAGTCTCCATCACAACGTTTTGAATATAAACATCCCTGAAATGAAATATTGAAATACCATTGTATATAAGCCCGCTGTTTTTTAAAGCTAATACTCCCTGTGCTCTAGTCCCGCGTGTTCCTGAGGCGTGTGTCTGATTGTGATATCTAATACTCTATTGGTGTAACGTCGGGTGCAGCTGAGGCATCCTTAAGTAAAGCTTGCCTTGGCTGGATGGGTGTGGGTATGCCGGTAAAGTCCTTCAGTGGTACAGCACTATCTCTGTGTACAATATCCACAAGAATGTGGCCACGGGGCCTATACCACCTCTGGCTGGGACTTCAATGGTGGCTGCACGGGCGTTGATTGTATCAGCTGACTCACGACTCTAATTGTATTATTTGTACACCTTTGGAAATAGGTTGAAGTCAGGTAGAACGACAAGCGCTGTCATATTGTTCATATAACAACAAGCGATATGTCATTTGCTACTTGTTCAGTTAGACACTGACTTCCCCTTGACGTGACATTCGGAAGTATGTCTATACAATGTTAAAACATGCACCGCTGCGGATGCTTGTAATCTATGGGCCCGTGACATTAGAACTGAATCTATAGCAGAGGGACCCGTGTTAGAAGAGGTCCGATGCATTCTACTGTTAACAACTAAATTAGGTCGGGTGGTTGGGCTCGGTTGATTGTGTTTCCTGGGACCCGACTGAGTGGGCTGTTGTTCATAATATCAACCGCTGGTTTGTCGCTGTATGGCTGCGATGTTAAATTGTACCTCACTCTTGTCCAGACTCCGACTGAGTGGGTTGTTGTTCATAATATCAACCACTGGTTTGTCACTGTATGGCTGCGACGTTAAATTGTACCTCACTCCAGGACGCGTCTGTTACGGGCGGCTGTGATATTTCTGACTCTGGCGTTAAACAACATTCACTAACTCATGCATCCTTTTAGACAAAAAAAAACAACAACAGGCGATGTCCAGCGTCTCAAACTAAAACCATTACATATATATTATACATTGTGAGAACTGTTTGAAATCCAATGACGTTACATTGGCTACGCAACGAAAACAGGGATAATATGTTTGTAATCTCTATGCATCCGTTTCAAATAATATTTAGCACTACTTTATCTAAACATAACTTAGTTCTACAGATATTTATCTACCAGAAGATTCCCGAATGGTACATCGTATATTATCCATTCATGATCCGACAATCGTATAAATGTATATGTGAGCTTAGAGAACGTACATGTGTATGCAAAAAATATGAGATATCTTAGCATTCTGTCACTTTCCCCATTTTATACAAAGACACTCTTCGTATACTGTCACTTATTGTATCTTGTACATCCGCAGAGGTTGCATATTATATCTACTTAAAACCACTTACGACTGCTACCACGAACAAGCAGACAATGGCCCGGGTCAGTAGCTGGCGCCGTCGACGATGTCTTCACGACGTCTACAGACCACGGTGTGGCTTTATCCATGACAGCCTCGAACTCCCCCTGTCTGTTACACCAAGCGTAGGCCGAGCCACGGGGTAGTCCGTCGACGACGAGGATGTACGCCTGGCAGATGGATGGTATGACGTCGGCTGAGGGGTTGATGGTGACGCTGTTGTTGTCTTGTGTAGTAGACAAAGTACAGCTGCAGTGACTAAAGCCACCGGACATGCCGGCACTCTGGATGTGGAAGACGTAGTCTGTGAATGGGTCGGTACCGCACAGGTCCACGACTGAAGTGTGAGTGAGATTGTCAATGAGTTAGTGAGTTTTTACACCCTGTGAGAAAATCCCCATTGTTTATAAACGACAGCAACTAATATCCTGACCTTCAGGATGTGGGGCAACGAATTTTTGTCAAAACAGATGCTTGAAGTTATGTTCTACAAACATGGAATAAATGGCCTTTTTATTATGGATATTTGTTAAATCGTCAGTTATTATATTAATAATGGCAACGTGATTTAGCTCAAGCTGATGACAGAACAATTGAGTTCACGAGACCTGTCATATATATCCACGTCACTACCACGTTATTAAAGGTGGATAATTATATGTGTCCTTAGGTGCATCAAGATCATCAACTTTGTTCCTTCCTGCGTGTGCCTCGATGTACTCACCCGACACGGTAGTGGGAGGACATTCTGATACTAATGTCGTTTTTACCTGTGTACTGCATCCTATTACAGTCAACTATGGTTATAACGAACTCAAATGGACCACTAATTTTAGTTCGTTATAACCGTAGTTCGTTATAAGCATTATATACAGCATATATACATCAAATAGCCGGGACTTAAAAATAAGTTCGTTTTATCGGTCAGTTCGTTATAAGCGTGTTCGTTATAACCGTAGTTTACTGTAAATGAAACTAATACTAGTTTTCCATGTATTCCATATTAGTCTTACCCGGAATTCGATCTTGAGGACACTCGGCATAGACCCGGTGCACTGGAAGTAAATACAAATATCATATACAGCACATAATTCTTACCAATCAGAATGTTATTATATCGTATTCGCACTAATGATCTTATTTTTCCTCGGTCGTCAGACTGTATGTGACCGCCGTCATATAGCTGGAATATTGCTGCGTGCAGCGTTAAACAACAAATAAACAAACAACAACAAGACTGTATGTGAACAATAGGTATTAATTATACTATTTATTCACACATCACACCACTGTGAATGCATGTATATCTATATACATATGTACATACATAACATATCAATCATATTTATAAATGAAGGTGATATTAAATCGCATTTATTTAATAATTCATATATATATATATATAACATGTTCCTCGGGGTTTTAAAAATGCGTGATCAGGATTATAATACTTATGTTACTTATATACATCTCATGCCACACGGATACCTGAATCTCTTCAACTTAATGTACATGTACCTACCCGTGTTTACAAGAAACACAGCCAATGGTATGACCCAACCTATATCCATGCTTGTTAGTATCTCTTAATCCATTCTGAGTCTCCCTATGTCTCCCCTATGCCCACATCTGCTGGGGTCATCCCCTTCAAGCTCGCTCATACCTTTTATATTAGTTATGAACATATTCACATCATGTTGTGCACTTGAGCGTTGCGAAATGCTTTCTCCGCCATTATGTCCGCCACAAAAACTACTAGTTGTGATTTCACCTACTACAAGGAATGTGATTCTCCAGTCGTCATATATAGTACGCATTGTGTGGAACGACATTTAGCAATTGTTCGGTCCATTTATACCATAACGTCGCCAGATGGTCCCGCTCTAATACACAGGTCAATTGTGATAGGTAAATAATTTCTTCAATTCAACACTTCTCGTTTCCCACACACAATCTCCCGCCTAGCGCATCCAGAGGACTTGCGGCGAAAGCACATGTCTCTGCTATTGTGTGCTCAGTGATAAATTAGGCTACTTGTAAGGGACGTGAGAGGTACATGTAGGTATTCACTGTTGGGACGTTGACAGTCGCATAGATGCACAGCAACGACTCTCCTCTCTCGTTGATGTTCAAATATACATCCAAGTTTAATATTTGCTGACCTTCAATTCAATTTCGCAAGTGTATTTATCCATTGCTATGTTTGCATAAATTCCCAAAGAAAACAGTGAAAAAAGATATATTTACTCCATCCGCTGACAATATTAGTTAAGTAGAGTATAACTGTATATCATCACTAATATAACGATGTTGATCTAATTTGAGGTTTATTAACTTTATCACTAAAAACGGTAGAGATGTATGTTTATTATAAAGGTGAAGGTGGGGATATGTACATGCAAGGTAACTATAACTGACCCCTGTATCACCTTTGGTGAACATCTGAGCCGAAATAACATCACAAGGGTTCAGTAAATAACTGAAGAAAAGAACGCCAATATTTATGCAACTCTACCTGGATTCGTACTTAGAGGTTAAGAGGTATGTTTCAACTTTTATTGAATTAGTCGAATTTACATCCGATATACAAAATATTAAGCGCTAGATAAACTGGATATAGTTGCGATGTATTATATATATATTTCTATATACTATGTATGATATGTAATTTCAACACAGGGCGCTGCAAAACGGTGTTGCTACAATGTTCGCTGCTCTTTCCGAAGACCTTTCCTTACTCCCATCTGGGAAGAACCCCTTGACCATGGAGATGCACTCGTGGTGACAGTTTCATGGAAACGTAGGGACGCATTTTGTGATTTGGCAATTAGTACTAATTATTCGTGTCATCATGTTGAATATATACCCCCAAATGTGTCATTGTGATGTTATACGTTTACCTTAAATATACCCGATCACCTGTATAAAATATCCTGGTTTCCCTCGTTGTGATGTTGCGGGAATATATATAGCGGCGTCCCTTATACTCACTAAATATATATAAACTATTGGAAATGTATGTTTCAAAAAGGACGGGTTGGGGTACATCCCCCTTCACGACCTCCTGATCCGTGGATATGATGCTGAGTTAATTCGTCAACTGTAGTCACTCACTCACAACAAACTTCTTCTAGAAATTCTTCAGGTATCCACGATCAGGTACTTGGTTGCCCGCCCGTTGTCCGATTTTAGTCCGCTGTGATATCGTTATGATGAAACCCGACCCACTCACTCGCACATCAATAGACCATTAATACGGTCACATTATCCCGGTCAACATGACTGTAAGACCATCGTCTAAGGCGCCGCAATTCGCTATGCAGAGTTGCGTCCCTTGGGAACGCCAGAAACCTATGATTGTGGGTTCGAATCCCGGTTCGCCCCGATTATGTTTCTAGGTTTGTCAGCACCGTACCCGTGCTCGTGGGCTTCACCGAAGTGGTAAACGTCTTAGACCTACATCACTTCGGGCTTTCCTCCCACATTAAGCTGACACGCCGCGATATAACTGGAATACTGTTAAAAGCGGCGTTAAACCCAAATCATTCACTCACTCACTCACTCACTCACTCGCTCACTCACTGTAAGACCATCGGAGGACTGGTGGCTCCATTGTCTGAAAGGTCGCAATTTGCTTGCAGAGCACCGTCCCTTAGGTGTACCAGCAGCCTATGATCATTATTGTACAAGGCGGATCCCTTTGCCACCACGTTTAAGCAATGTCAATACGTTATTGAATTCATCCGTGATCTCATCGTTGCGATATGTGTACAGATCATACACCTTGCTTAATAGCTGCTGTTTCACTACGCATATGTAAATGGCATATGTTACTGGGGTGAATACAGTGTTAGCCCTGGGTAACTCCACCTGTGATTAAACCCGTGAAGATCCGGGGTAGAATAGGTCTTCAGTAACCCATGTTTGCCGTAAAAGGCGTCTATGCTTGTCGAAAGAGGCGACCAACGGGATCGGGTGGTCAGGATCGCTGACTTGATTGATGCATGTAATCTTATCCCAATTGCGTAGTTTGATGTTCTCGATGTCAATCAATGGATTGTCTGGTCCATGTTCGATTATTTACATACCGCCGTAATACATCTGGAATATTGCCGAGTGCGGCGTTAAACAACAAACAAAAAAAACCTGTAATTAAATACCGTTTTCAGATTACGTTTACAGCCTGTCAGTAATACTCTGGTTGTGCAGGAATTTTGCCGGTAGATTTCCATGGTAACTCATAATCGAATCATTGGGGGCCTTAAGAATATGTATATATGTACTCTTGTCTCTGTCAACTACAGAGACTGATAGAAATGCGAAGCTATATGTATTTAAATCATCGAATCTTTTTACATCACATGACCTTCGCGAAACACTCCTTTGTCAGGTAAATCTGTACGTATCTGCAGATCCACGTTCGGTATACGTAACCATCGCCACATTATATACAGCTGAATGCTTAGTGAGTTTGCTTGACGCCGCTTTCAAAATTATTTCAGTTGTATCACGGTGAGTAAGATGTTGGAGGAAAGCCCGAAGTGATGCAGGTGTCAGATGTTTACCACTTTGGTGAAACCCACGAGCACGTGTATGTTACTGTCAAGTTTTCTGGTATGCAAAAGTGATTCATTGTAGTCAGTGAATTGTACCGCCGTACCCCCCATAAACAACTGAATGTACCTCTTCGTGGTCGAAGTTTGCAATAAATTTTAAAAAAACTACCACTGCTACCATATAGCTGTATAATTACCGATGCGATTTGATCAAGCCCTCACGAATTTTACTCTCTTGGTGCAGTCTTGTGCAGCAGGTTACTTGTTGCAGAGACACAACGTGGACGATGCTAAGTGGATGCAAGTTTTATTTTACATTCATATATTATAGACAGATATGTGATAAATACAATTGTTCATGTACAAAAAAGATCACAATGATATAAAAGTATGAAATAACATGTTTAAAAGTTCTTCACAAGAAGTTACTAAATGCTTAGCTGAGTATACGGCTTTACATGTCAGAGTATCAGAGTAGTATATTGTTATCACAATGTGAAACCGTGGACAAAATAGTACATATGTACAAAGACCACTTGATATATACTCTACTAACCCGTAGTATACAATATAATTAACTAATCCATACACAGTACTTATTCAACGATGCGCCATTGGCTGTCTGATATAACTTGATAATTCTATAATGACCAATCAATTATTTACGCAAACATATATGCGTGGAAGTAACATTACAAAATGGGATTTAGAATGTGGTCTACGTGAACAATTCACAGCGTAATGTTCCTGCATACGTACATTTCCCCCCCCAAAAAACATTTCTGAAACAGAATGTACGAAACTTTTATTTTGATAAATATTATATATAAATAAATTCATATCAGGCTATTAATCCATCAGGAGTAATTGCTTTGGAGTATTACAAGATAAGGTCGATGAGGGTATCAGTTAGCAATCTTGAGACTGAATTGTGAACAAAGAAACCGTATGGTAAACCTTGTCCTCGTCCTTGTCTTTCCTCTCATTTTGAATACATGTAAACTGTACATAAATCTGCTTCTTCTGACACCCGGACACATGGACACCCGGAACCTAGGACAACTGGACTTCAGGGCAAGGAACCACGACATCCCATATGCGAACGATAACCCACACAGCCAGTGTCCAGAAGTAAGCCATTTTCGTTTGGCACCAATGGGCCTGACACAGCATCAACACAGCATCAACACATGATGCCGACCATCTTCATCACTGCATGTTCTGGGAGAGTCTCAGACGAGGTCCAACTGTCAGTGCCACGCAGTTCACTCAGTAGACTTTGTACGTGGGCAGGTAGTTGACTGGAGGGAAGAGGATCTCGTGGCTGGGCTTGTACATCAGGGTGGAGGCGTTACTCTTGAGCACCAGAGTACTTCTACTGAACAGCGTCCTGTCCCAACTCCCGTCAGATGTTGAATCAGTTGACGCATCGGACTCTGGATCGCTCTTCCTCCGACTTGCTAAAATACAAAAGCGTTGTCTCGAACATTTAGTGTATCTATAGGTTTAAGATAGTTCCTAACTCAGATTTCTAGGAGGAAATACAAAATAGATGGATGGTGATGATGTATAAGGTGTAAGCGAGGCGGGAATGAAAATACTGAAATTTGACATGATCAAAACGCTCGCCTTCGACTATTCCAGTGTGTTGATTAAGTAATGAGAAACAGTTTTGTACTCGGCCAACGTCTTCAAAGGGATAGTCATACATGTATGGTTGAATGGTTCTCCCGTCATGACACCACACTTGCCGTCAAAGGCGAATATGCTTGTAAGAGGCGACTAACGGGATCGGGTGGTCAGGCTCACTGACTTGGTTGATGCATGTCCTCGTATCCCAATACTCGTGATATCAATCCAGACTCAGTTATTTACAGAAAAACAAACAAAACCATGACACCATAACTTCGTGAGCTTCTTGAGCACGGACTGATGTTGAAGGATATTGTTATTCATCACTCATTGAGCTAAATGTAGCTCGCGAACATCCACATACAATGTTTTATTTTGTGCATAGGCCCCATGACGAAAAAATGGCTATTCAAGCCATACTGACTGTGGAAAATTCAACTATTCGTAATGTTCCATAATGTTGATTCATCAATACCAATTAACACACTCACAGTGATAATATCGACAGACGCCAGCGATGGCTATGAGAAGGACTGTTCCTAGGATACATCCGACCACCAACCCTGAAACAGATGTTAGTAAATCAATATTACATGTGTGTTTAGCCACAATTGATATACTTCATTAAATGAGAACGTGTAGATGCCAAATAAAAAGCCATTTCGATTGTTCCTTACAATCTCAGTGTTTACAATACTGGCCGGAATAGTATGTAAACGTAACGACGACCAACATTTTGCAGAGAATGTGTAAAGGGTACACATAGTACATGTTGGACACACTGTATAAACAAATCATTTTATTATTGACCGCCTTCATGGTCCAGTGGATAGAGTGTATGCCCGGAGAGCTGAATGTCGATCGAGTCATACCAAAAGACATTGAAAGATGGAACTTGTTGTTACCCTGCCTGGCGTTCTGCACTAAGGGGATATAAACAAGGATTCGTCGGGTGGGAGTCAGTATGATGTGTCTCAATGGGGCATCCATGTTAAACTGCGGCATGGTATATCAGTGTGCTAGCACTATAAAACCAGTATTAGTCCTGACCAGTACAAGCAGACACACAAACACAGACGCGCGCGGGCACACGCACACCTTCATGCACGTCGCTATATAAGTTAAGTAATCTTGATGTTAATCGTGAGGATTGATCGGTCCAGAATACATCATTTGCAGACTGTGCGTCACAGGGATTGGATATAACGTTCAATGAAGATCCGGGGGTGACAATCTGTGTTCTGCGTTAGCGCATTGCGATGGCATGGGTTGTGCTGACTGACCCTATTTACAGGCAGGTGTTATACAGCTTGAACCGTTGTCGGCTATTACAAAACAAATGCTTTGTCTTGCATGAAATTAAAATGAGTTCCAAGCTACCTATGCTGCTCGTGTAAGAGGTGACTTATAATTAGTGGCCTGGTGTCCAGGCTCGGTGACTTTTGTTTGTTTGTCATTGTACCCTTACAGTGGGGATCATGGATCAATATATCAGTGACCTGCTGTTTGGTTCAGACTCGATTATTTACAGACCGCTGCCATATAGCTGGAGGGGGCACGGGTGGCCCAGTCGTCTACGGCGCCACAATTCGCTGCTCAGAGTTGCATCCCTTGGGCACGCCAGAAACCTATGATTGTGGGTTCGCCCCAATTATGTTTCCAGGTTTGTCAGCACCATACCCGTGCTCGTGGGTTTCACCGAAGTGGTAAACGTCTACGACCTGCATTACTTGGGCTTTCCTCCCACATTAAGCTGACACGCCGTTATATAACTGGAATAATGTTAAAAGCGGCGTTAAACACAACTTACTCGCTCACTCACTTATATAGCTTGAATATTGCTGAGTGCGACATTAAACGAGAAACAAACAATCAAATCATACAATCATCACATGGTTAAACATACCACTTACCTATAAGTTCCCTGGTGTCGGACACGGCGGCTTGTGGTGGTTTGGGCGTAAGTCCTGTAATATCACCTGTTGTCGTGAGGGTTGAGGTGCTGGACGTATCTTGTCCAGGACTCCCTGTGTTAGTTGTGTGTATAGTGGGAGACACTGTAGACACCCCGGGTACACGGGGAGTTAGTGTAGTGGAGGGTATACTGTTAATAGTGGATACATGTGGTGAGGTAAGCATGGAAGACGGGGTATTGGTTATGACAGAGGTAGAAGAAAATGTGCGGCCTCCAGAACTCGAACCAGATGGTACACTTGATGTGCCTGATGCCGTTGCTCCAGAATCTGTAGCAGAGCCCGTTATCCCGATCGCCGATGTGCTAGTTTTGACTCCACTTTCACTTGTTTCTACAGTTGTACCTGTAGCAGTAGTGTCTGTGACTCCGCCTGTGTTATCAGTTGTGCCTGCGGCAGTGTCGGTAACGCCAGCTGTTTTATCAGTTGTACCTGTGGCAGTGTCTGTGACGCCGTCTGTGTTATGAGTTGTACCTGCGGCAGTGTCGGTAACGCCAGCTGTTTTATCAGTTGTACCTGTGGCAGTGTCTGTGACGCCAGCTGTTTTATCAGTTGTATCTGTTGCAGTGTCGGTAACGCCGTCTGTGTTATGAGTTGTACCTGTGGCAGTGTCTGTAACGCCAGCTGATTTAATAGTTGTACCTGGGGCAGTGTCGGTAACGCCAGCTGTGTTATCAGTTGTACCTGTGGCAGTGTCGGTAACGCCACCTGTTTTATCAGTTGTACCTGTGAAAAATACCATCTGTTTTATCAATCCTTGTAGAGCCAACAGTGCTGACCGTTGATACCATATCAGAAGTATGACCTGTGATCCCTGTACCGCTGTGTGTTGATGTGTTCGGCTCTGGAGATGTTAGTGCAACAGAGTATCATACACGTACTACATGCATAGTTTACGTATTTACAACATATATAACAACATCATGCAGTTAGAATGATACAAACGTTAAATTCATTATCATTATGTAACCCTTCACCATTAAATATTATATATTATCATTTTGCACATTGTGGCAGTGTCTCTGACACCAGCTGTGGTATCAGTTGTACCTGTGGCAGTGTCGGTAACGCCACCCGTGTTATCAGTTGTACCTGTGGCAGTGTCTGTGACGCCAGCTATGTTATCAGTTGTACCTGTGGCAGTGTCGGTAACGCCACCTGTGTTATCAGTTGTACCTGTGGCAGTGTCTGTAACGCCAGCTGTGTTATCAGGTGTACCTGTGACAGTGTCGGTAACGCCACCTGTGTTATCAGTTGTACCTGTGGCAGTGTCTATGACGCCACCTGTGTTATCAGTTGTACCTGTGGCAGTGTCTGTGACTCCGCCTGTTTTATCAGTTGTACCTGTGGCAGTGTCTGTGACACCAGCTGTTTTATCAGTTGTACCTGTGGCAGTGTCTGTGACACCACCTGTGTTATCAGTTGTACCTGTTGCAGTGTCTGTGACACCAGCTGATTTAATAGTTGTACCTGGGGCAGTGTCGGTAACGCCAGCTGTGTTATCAGTTGTACCTGTGGCAGTGTCGGTAACGCCACCTGTGTTATCAGTTGTTCCTGTGAAAAATACCACCTGTTTTATCAATCCTTGTAGAGCCAACAGTGCTGACCGTTGATACCATATCAGAAGTATGACCTGTGATCCCTGTACCGCTGTGTGTTGATGTGTTCGGTTCTGGAGATGTTAGTGCAACGTTACAGAGTATCATACACTACATACATTCGCATTTACAACATATATAACAACATCATGCAGTTAGAATGATAAAAACGTTAAATTCATTATCATTGTGCAACCCTTCACCATTAAATAATATATATTATCATTTTGCACAGTAATATATGTATATTGTGTAAATTAGTGCGTATTAAGTGCGGGATTAAAATATACGTGAGTGATTCTTTTTAAGTAATGACATTCCTCGGCAAATCCATACTTACGGCATAAACAATGTCTTCATATTTCGAATGGGACCACATTAAACATTCCACCTCAGCAACTTCATTAGAAGTCTTTCAGTAAACCCGTTAGTTCTATGAGTAAAAAATATCTGCATATTGTATTTAATGCTTAAAAATTTGTAATTGAACAATTGAGTGAGTGAGTGAGGTTTTACGCCGCTTTTAGCAATATTCCAGCAATATCACGGCGGGGGACACCAGAAATGGGCTTCACACATTGTACCCATGTCGGGAATCGAACCCGAGTCTTCGGCGTGACGAGCTAACGCTTTAACCACTAGGCTACCCGACCGCCCCGTAATTGAACAAGGAATCAATTAGTCCTTGAGACCGTTACCTGAAGAAGTTGGAGTTGATGTCGTCGTTGTACCTGGGGATATGATAGCACATGTCATACAAACACGTCCCATTTTAATTCTGGAAACCCAATAGTCTCGGTCAAAGGTATTTACAAAATTAAACATGCTGTTTTCATGGGAACATACCAAGGAAGAAATATTTTTTTTAAATTGTTCAAAAACTCAATAATTACACTATTTCGCCCATGGGCGACGAGTCGCCCATGGGTAGGCCCATGGGCGAGAATATGTTCCTTTACTTAAAACTCATGTTTTATTTCGCAAATACATAAATGTATTTTTTTCAAGTATCATGACACAAAATTTAACTCATTTTAACTTAATTCAACGATTTTATAGCGTTATTAAAATATTTCGCCCATCGAGGAGAAAAATGTTTTGCCCATGGGTCGTCCCTTTGCTCAAAACTCATGTTTTTGTTTCGCATCATGTTTCTACAAGATTCGGGTCAATGATATACGAAGGTATGACCGAACAAAAATTAAAGGACACTTATGATATATATTGAGTGAGTCGTGTTTCAACTGTCAGTATTTCGCGCTTCAGTCTGTTATGATAATTTTGGAGGAGTCCAATATGATCATTAGTCAGATCGTAAATGTTTTGTTTAAGTGTTTGTTGTTTGTTTGTTTGTTTGTTTGTTTGTTGTTTAACGCCACACTCAGCAATATTCCAAGTATATGACGGCAGTCTGTAAATACTTGAGTCTGGACCAGACAATCAAGTGACTGATATCATGATCATCCATTCACGAAATTGGGATTCGATGACATGCATCAACCAAGTCAGCGGGCTGACCACCCGATCCCGTTAGTCGCCTCCTTCGACAAGCATAATCACACGTCTGTAATACAATGCACTTCACACAATAACGCAAAACCCAGAACCAAGGCTTACTCCCCCACAGCACGTAAACACACAGGGTAGTTACAACTGGGTAAAACAATAGACACACCCTAGTGGTGTAATGCCCGTTAAGAACCTTGAGCCACATTTTGACAGTAAACCACGACAATGTCAGGCCACACATCATGCATTATTCCAAAGTCTCCATGCACCTCGTGAAAGCACCACAAAATATGTGCAAACAAACTAAAATCACAGCCACACCAAAGCTTTCTAGAGTAACTCGCCCTAATCACATCCACCGCCTCTACATTTTGTTCTTTTTCCACAATTCTCATAGTGTGTTAAATATCAAATCTTTGCACATATCCAACAAAAATAAAATTATATCAACTAGAGTGATCTTTATACAAACGAGCCGACTAGACTACAAGCATAAGCTCCAGGAGGTGACCCAACATCTACACCAACTTCGTCCCTCGTATACCTGTAAACACTGGTTGACTTGGCAAGGCGGGGAGTAGCCTCCCCTGTATTTTCGTTGTTGTGATAGTAGTAGCTGTATTGGAAACATGTTTCAAATAGGGGATACATCACAAACAATAAGACGTGGTTCCTATCTTTTCCATATATTCCATACGACCAACAAGGGGTAAGTCCAATGCAATGCGCTGTGCCGCTGTTAGACACTTTCTATTTCAGTTCAATCTCCATGAACCTTTGTTAAACTATTGGAATATGTTAATGTCACTCTCTCAAACAGAGCAATGGTCATGGTGATATTCAGTGAAATGCAGTTATATTCGCAGTAATCAGAGCAAATCAATGCAAATAAGATGTTTCATAAGTCATATTGTCCGAATGGCAAAAGAACTAGAAGCTTTGTAAAAACAGGATCAGATTTTATGAACATTTATATGATAAGTACATCTAACTTAGCACGTCTTTTTGTTTTGTTATATCTTGTTGTTTAGTTATGGGTCATTCCATTATCAATCAAGGTAACAGCATTGCACTTTGTTGTGCACTCAACCAGAAAAGTTGTTATAACTAATGGGAGGACACTAGGATCAGTGTTTCAGTGTTTCTCTGTGATCATTTTATTTGATACTTATTTGCCTTTGTATGTACTTGGTTCTAAAAACCTATCATGCTCCACCACATATCAAAAACAATATAAATTGTAGATTTAACAATATCAATATAGTTTTGTATGAGAAGAAATGAAACTTTTATAAATTGTAACGTCAATTTTGTTTGTAACGGTTGAGGCTACTGTTTTGCCTCGTCATCGATGACATGATGTTATTCACTAAAGTGACATGACTTCACGTTCTTCCAATTTCAAGAAGCCATCCAAAGATGTGGCTGTGTATACATGACAAGCACGTAGGGCAATATTTACCTTTAAAGGGAGGGAAGGGTAGAATCGCTACGGTGGCATTATCCCGCCGGAACGTATTCCTCGCGGTCACAGAGACAGGTGATACCGTATCCCTACTGGATGAGTCTGAGGATGCTGGTTGTGTTGTTGCATCTGTAGTGGATGCAGATGATGAGAATAGCGCGGGTGCAGTTGTTGTTGAACTACTGGATGAGTCAGATGTTGACGTAACGTCAGGCGGCGTCGTATCTCGTTGTAGGGACGTTGTTGGTGATACTGTTTGTTCTGTCGATGCTGAAGTAATGGGCGATGTCGTATCTGCCGTCGTTGTTGTTGTTGTTACCGTTGTCGTTGTCTCTGTCGTTGTGACCGGAGGTGCAGTGGTGGTCCGACGTTTTAATGGAAACGCATCAATCGTGTTCATGCCCCGTCTTGTAGTTGTTGACGTTGTTTGAAGCTGTTCACCGCATATGACATCAACAACTAAAATGTGTAGTTTTAATTGGTATTAATACACAATCCCAATGTTGCATATTAGTACGTGAGAGACGATAATGATGAAACGGCGCATTTTAAGCTATATCACGACGTTTTTCTTAGATTACATCCTGGTCAGTAGGGCTACCACGAGGACACGGGTATGGTGATGACAAACCTAGTATCTTTATCTGGGTGATCAGGGATTCGAACCCAGGATCATATGAGTGCGACGCGTTTGATGACATCATGGCAATCCCCAATGTGTTAAAAAAAACATATGATCAATTTTGTCAATACATAAATTGAATGTCGGTGCTATGATGTGTCATACACGAAACTGATATAAGTATACATTGGTATGACATGTATGACCATACATTGGTAAGGTATAATTTCTTTCTTTTGTATCACTCGCGCAGCATCCGCTGTGATACATAGTTTTTTAACATACACACACATACATGCACACACATACATGTATTGATGTACTTGTGTTTTAAGTAAATTATACTGTCAAAATTACATGTGTGTGTGTGTGTGTGTGTGTGTGTGTGTGTGTGTGTGTGTGTGTGTGTGTGTGTGTGTGTGTGTGTGTGTGTGTGTGTGTGTGTGTGTGTGTGTGTGTGTGTGTGTGTGTGTGTGTGTGTGTGTGTGTGTGTATTTATGTATTTATGATAAAGTACAAGAAATATTAGTAGCAAAAAGAAAACATACCCGTCTGTGCTGTAAGAAGAATGCAGTATCCAGGATCAGGGCTGTTCGTCGTGTCTGTCCTTTTGATAGTAAAACTGAGAGGGCCTCTGTTGTCGACTCGTTCATTTACCGTGGAAAATCCATTTGGGTTATCACAATTCCAGTTATAATTGGCATTACTCAGTCCAGCATTGAAAAACACATCTGTGAACTTGCATGTTGTGGGGTTCAGTGTGCTGCTCGGGGTCACAGTAACAACAACGGGTGAAGAGGACTCTACTCTGCAAGAACACTCGAGGTAGGCATCCGCCATGCCTTTTGAGTCTAGGTAGGCCCCAAACACTTTTAGTGATTCTGCTGTACACATCTGCAGCACTGACGAACAATTGAAACAATTACATACAAGAAGACAGAAAATAATAGAGTTGTAAACATACCTTCTAGTACTGGGAACAATAAAATAAATAGATATAGACACAACCTTAGTATACTGTTTTGTAAGAATAGAATATAAGTACATGTCGTAAATATAATCATTTAATGAAGAGTGCTTTTGAAGTAAATTGGACGTTTAATTCATATTATCAAAACTATACTTCCCCTAAAAGATTAGTTCTGTGACTTCCACATGGCTTTATAAGTGTTACGTGGGACATGTGTGGGTTTCGAAGATCACAAGAACAAGTCAACAAATAAATATACAAAATTGATTATCAACCTTCTATCAAACGACCAGTAGCATCTTACCCGGTGTTCCGTCATCTGGGCAGGCAGAGCGAACAACGTGGCCTGAGAGGAGCAGGGATGAAAGAAGATATCAGACAGTAGGGATCAAGATGGCCTCCAACTAAAACCTCCACAGTGACTTGCAGGTTACGATAGGAACAGGTATTCGAAAAGAAGTAATTAAAGAAAATAAGGCTGGGAATTTTTAGGCTGTTTTTTCATTTTTGACCTGACAACAACACAAATAGCGAGACAGATCAATTCATTTGGTTATCCCAGTTCCAGTTATAAATGGTATTACACAGTTCATGATCAGCATTAAAACACACATTAGTGAATTTCAGTAATTTATGAACAATATGTTTTTTTAATATTACAAGATTTCCCACAGTTATCAATACGAAGTGGAGGTTTTGGTGAGCATAGAAGTACGAATAAAAAAGGGCGAAGCGAACATGCAACAACATGTAAAGAACATATAGAACAGACAAAACATGTACATCTCTAGAAGGGGCAGTTAAGACAAGATAGACATTGATGACTGATACATGTAACTGGCACAATGAAATGAATAAAAATAAGACGTGAAGGCAAGTATATATAGCAATATTATATCTCTGCTAGTTGTGTGTGTGTTAAATCAAAGTTTGAGACTACTGACACGGATGCTCATATTAAGACCACAATAAACTTAGTATATATATTTAAAGTATATATATTTCGTAATTCATGTTCACGTTATTTGTATGTTCACAGACATACTATATCTACATCCACACCCTAAACATGCAGTCCTGAAAAAGCATTCACACTGTGTTTGTCACCCGCACACTTAAAATGTAGTCCTGAATTTTTTTCACATTAAACATGTAATCCTTTCCGCTCAGTAAACACTTAAAACGTACAGTCCTTTCCAAACTGTATCTCTGACACAATAAACATGTAGTCATTTCCACACAGTATTGTTCACATACAAAACGTATAGTCCTTTCCAAACTGTATCTCTGACACAATAAACATGTAGTCATTTCCACACAGTATTGTTCACATACAAAACGTATAGTCCTTTCCAAACTGCATCTCTGACACACTAAACATGTAGTCACTCCCATACAGTATTGTTCACACACAAAACGTACAGTCCTTTCCAAACTGTATCTCTGACACAATAAACATGTAGTCATTTCCACACAGTATTGTTCACATACAAAACGTATAGTCCTTTCCAAACTGTATCTCTGACACACTAAACATGTAGTCATTTCCACACAGTATTGTTCACATACAAAACGTATAGTCCTTTCCAAACTGCATCTCTGACACACTAAACATGTAGTCACTCCCATACAGTATTGTTCACACACAAAACGTACAGTCCTTTCCAAACTGTATCTCTGACACACTAAACATGTAGTCATTCCCACAGAGTATTGTTCACACATTAAACGTGTAGTCGTGTTCACAATGTCTCTCTGACACACTAAACATCCTTTCCGCACAGTATCTATCACACGCTAAACCTATAGTCCCTTCCACACAGTGTTTTCAACACAAAAGCGTGCAGTCATTTCCCCACTGCATGTTCCACACACTAAACACGTAGATTTTTTTTCCACAGTGTATTTTCAACACACTAAACATGTAGTCTCAAGCTCACTATATCTCTCACACAAAAAAGATTGAGTCCTTTTCACATTGGATTTTGCATACACTGAACGTGTATTCCTTTCCAAACTATCTCTCAACGCTTAACGTGTAGTCCTTAAATTTCTAAAAACTGTATCTTTGACACACCAAACGTGTCGTCCTTAAAGTTTCCAAACTGTATGTCTCACACAATAAACGCGGCATGTACACACAAACTGATCATGTAGTCCTATCCACAATATGCATCTACCACACACTAAACATTTCATCTCATAAACACTGCATACCTCAAACACAAATCCCTTAGCCATTTCCATGTTGCAGATCTCACCCATGGATCCTTTCGTACTGCAATCTCATCTCGCACATTATATAATTGTTGTAGTCGCATTCACATTGTATCATTCAAACACATAGCAAAGTTCTATCAATGGTGTATCTCTCAAATATGAAAGTTATGTCCTTGGCCTACATCTCACACACTAAACATTCTTCCCTATCAACAGTTTACCTCAAATACTGATCACCATGCAACATAAAGACTTATCCCTAACACATTCATTATTTCTACAAACCCACACAGTATGTCACACAATATATTGTTTTATAAATATTTTACTTAACTTTCACACTCTAAACATATAGTCTATCCGTGTTGTATTTATCATGCCTGAACACTTAACAATATCCACAATCTATACGTAACCCACTGCAGAATCAGGTCGAAGACATCACAGAGAAAACAATATCTTGAGTATACAGTTCAGAATACATAGCATGTATACCTGGTATGTGAAAAGCCCATACTCACCAACCAGGAACAATGTATTCCCCAGCAGCACAACAAAGGTCAACCCATTACACGTTTTCATCTTGGAATGATCTCTTACAATACGACAAGCAGTGAAGTCAATACTCTTCGATCAGCGTGACGAAACTGTTCCCGATGTACACGAGGAAATACAGTAACATCCATGGTAGATCCCCTCTCACTGGATGTGACATCCGCAACAGATCTCTGGTGGCGAGTTCAGACAGTTGTAGTCAAAAGGTTCCTCAAGTATGTGACGCAATCAACCCCGACAGAAACAACGTAACCTCCATTCAAACGGTGTGAAAGTAACATAAACCTAACGTAGCAGAGTCATTCAGGTGCTGCTACGAAATCGTTTCAGTTTCCATACAACTCTATTCATGCACTCATGTTTTCACAGACCAATGGCGTTAAACCATATAAAAGCAGTTCTGGCTTATTCAAATACACTCGCGAAGATGAGGATTGCTACACAATGTCAACGTCAATATAACGCTATACGTACAGCATCCAATGGAAGCCGCAGGCCTAACATATATATTTAAGCAAACTGACGCTGAGATGACTACCGCGGTATGTTGTCAGAACGGGTGGAGCATTGGTGGACAAAGGCCCACATGTTAGAAACAGTATAGATAAGATGACTGGCATCCAGCTTAGCGGATAGTAAGATTGTGATATATGTTTCTGGATGTTTGATGTCAATTGGAACACGCCCTGTGTACAATACCCTTGTAGTGGATATCGGGGTGGTAATACGGGTGGTGATTAAAGGGGAATCACGTTCCTGGAAGTTGATCTACTCGTGACTACCCTATCACAAGTAAATATTACGACATCAAGAGCTATATATTTACATCGTCTAACATTGACATCATGATGTTTATGAGTAAGCGGTGTGAATGTTTGTGACGGAGTAATCTGTTTGATTATCGTGATTAGTTACTCGGTCATAACGATGTGGTCGTCATGGATACAAGTTCCGTACATGTATCAAGGATGATGGGCGCGGGGGTCATCAGGTCTTGTTATATCCGGGGGGCACGGGGGGCCCAGTCGTCTGAGGCGCCGCGATTCGCTGTGCGTCCCTTGGGCATGCCAGAAACCTATGATTGTGGGTTCGAATCCCGGTTCGCCCCGATTATGTTTCTAGGTTTGTCAGCACCATACCCGTGCTCGTGGGATTCAGTGGTAAACGTCTGAGACCTGCATCACTTCGGGCTTTCCTCCCACATTAAGCTGACACGCCGCAATATAACTGGAATACTGTTAAAAGCGGCGTTAAAACCCAACTCACTCACTCACTTGTTATATCCGAAAGTCTAAGGTGTCCGTATTTATTGAGTTGTGTCCCGCTACCGTGTTGGGATCTCGGCTAAGGTTCGAATCTCGTTCGTTTCGGCGAATATGACCTGGTTTTAACACACATTATTCTGACATACTGTGCTTTAACTGAAATACTGTTCAAAGCGGTTGTAAACCAAACTCACACACTACTCATTTTCATGTTCATTTTGTCATACTTGACTTCGTAATAGGGGTCATTCGATATATCAGACCGTGTGTTAGCTGTAACATCACAATTGACAGGGTAGGGTACTAATAAACTTTATTTATCTTACATTTCAACATTGACCACATGTGGCCTACCTTCATCGCATCATGTTCATAAACTTATGTAAGATAGCTACGCGATAAATCGCAAAGAACAATACAGGGCGAGGCGTGGTTCATTTCACGATAAATCATTGTTCTGTAATGACGTCATTTCTGGAGATTCGAACATACGTTTGCATATGGATGACGTAGTATATTGGACGACGTTATATTTGAGAGGGAAGTGTGTGGTGAGTTGTTCCCCATAGATGTAGCCGGGCAACACAGATAAACGCTATGGTCCAACGATCCCATATAATTGTAGGCGAGATACGACACTCAATATTGGAGTGAGTGAGTGAGTTGGGATTAACGCCGCTTTTAACATTATTCCAGTTATATCGCGGCGTGTCAGCTTAATGTGGGAGGAAAGCCCGAAGTGATGCAGGTCTCAGACGTTTACCACTTCGGTGAAACCCACGAGCACGGGTATGGTGCTGACAAACCTAGAAACATAATCGGGACGAACCGGGATTCGAACCCACAATCATAGGTTTCTGGCGTGCCCAAGGGACGCAACTCTGCACAGCGAATCGCGACGACTGGGCCACCCGTGCCCCCCAAATATTGGAAGAAAAGGTATGGATAATCGACGTGAAAATTATGAGAATATCTGGGAAATACCAAACTTAACCACCCTGTTCATAAAATGGGCTTCTCAGACATAGCCGAGGACGGATTGAATTCAGGGAGTCACAATTATCTAAAACGGATAAATATTTTTAAAGCTTGTACATTTTATAAACATATTTAAACAGTCTGTACATACTGTTGAAATCTCATATAAAAAATAAACGACTCGTGGGCCCGCATGTTTTTTTCCCCGCAATGTTTTATTGCTGAGCTCATCATGGTTTATCTCCCTGCAGTGTTTAACTGAACAATGAACGACTCGCACTCGTCGTTTGTTTCTTAACTCAACATAAGTAAGTGAGTCAGTGAGTGAGTTGAACGCCGCTGTGAAGAGTTATTGAGTCACGTCACGGGTGTCAATTTGAAGTGGTAGGGAGCCTGAGGTGATGCGAGTCTAAGGCGTTTACCACTTTGGTATAGAGCTGGTAGAACCTAGACACATAATCAAGGCGAAACTACTGATTCGAACCCAAGAGCGTCTTAGATAGAGACATGCCAGTCAGTAACGAATTATAGGGGACAACAAAACGTTGTTAATAATAATTGTTTATGCGTACTAGATTTTATTGAAATTGATCTGAAAATGTGTTGCTTCCACGATACTCTCGGTATTTTTATTCCAATACCACCGTCATCACCGAATCGCCATCTAGATACTCAGAAATATCTCTATCAAAGCAAAACTTGAGTTATATTGTGCCTGTACATTTTAACAGACGGCCGATATCAAGGCTTGTAAGCAAATGGAAGAGCCATCACACAGTGGTAGAGGTACATGCTGCTATACTCATCCTCCGGTCTCACTTCATGTATCGGGTTTCTACGATGCCCTGAAATAATGATAAAGGTAGATCTCACTTGTATACGTCATGATTAGGAAGAGCATTTATGGATGTCAATTTCTTTATTAAGAGGAACACAACGTTTCGGAGTATATACTGACTCCTTCATCGGGTGAAAGAATGCTTTGAGGCAGTGAGCATACATATGTACATGTAAGGACAACAAAAGTAATAAGATAACAAAAGGCAATGCTACAAGGGGAGCCAACTGATAATTTGCGCTGATAGGTCATAAGCATAATTACGACATTGTTATTCGTCTAATATCGGTATCGCAATATATCTATAAATACTAAATTGTGGAAACATATAAGGCGGTATCAATATGGATCCGGAGAAGCGTAGGCATAGAATTCCAGTAACATCCACGTCAACTTTAACTATTAAAGGGGAAGTGTACACGCAAAAATCACTTTCTTTCTTTTTCTAAACAAAACGCAATTTTAGAATTAGTTAGTATCTGTGTTTGAAAATATACACTCATTTTTTCTCACAGTGAAAGTAGGAAGCTCACAATAGTGTTAAAATGATATGCCGTTATGAGGCCTTCGTTTTACGTGCAAAATAGGCCTGAGTTATCCCCCTTAGATTATGACGTAATTGGTGCTAATTCAACTGGGTCCCTGTCTATTCTCAACGCAAAAGATATCAAGGACCAGTTTTTATGTAAAACAACATGGTCTACGACACACTCCGGCGCAGTGGTGACTCAGCATAACACTATGCTGGCTGGCATCTGAGACGCTAGAATCACACACCTGGACCTACACCACGTGAAGCGGCTCCAAATAAGCATGATGACGTCATAATGTTTATCAATTGGCACCAATGACGTCATATTGCAAGGGGCATAAGCCCACACTCCGTCGCAGTGGTGACTCAGCATAACACCACTGCCACAGGCTAATTTGCATATCATGTGACCAGACTTTTCTCTTGTTTGTAAACAAACGCGCTTTTTCAGAAATCAGTATAGAACGGACTAATGCAAGTATTTGGGGGCGCTTTACATATTGTTTTGCATAACTATATAGATATGCTACTACAACTGCGACAGTGAGTTGCATGACAATATATATTTATGCATCAAAGTGACAGTGTCGCTAGCCCTCCGTTGGGCTTCGATGACAGCACGTGGAGCCGTACAACCAATGTAAACATAGGATAACTACGCAAAAACAAGTAGATTTTTACGTATTTGCATACTTTCTAAATGAAAGTTAACCATTCTTTGACATTTGTTTATGAAAATGTGTAGACTAGTCAAACACGAAACGGATGAAAAGCATATACAATATCTTGAATGGACTGTGAAAGATGTGACGAATCGTCACATGGCGCTGGCCTGTGGCAGAGGTACTATGCTAGCTGGCTGCCGGCCGCATGGAACTCTGGGTAGGAGAGTGGCATAAGCCATGGTGTTTTTGTTGTGGAAATAGAACACTTGGTAAATGTGAAAAATATAAATCGTTTAATGCGAAAAATATGTTAATTAATTGTGATATTTTTATATTTTTGTCTATGACACTTCTATGTTAACACTTTTAATGTGGAAAAAGTACAAGAAAAATAGGTTCATTTCCGTGTGAACTTGCCCTTTAAGGATCATGAGGGGTGTTCGCTGCTTTTGCGAACACCTGGCATTTTCACTATTTGACAATAATTCATAAAATCGGAATCGTACAATGGACGATTATGGAAATGGTTTATTACTTTTATTTAATCAGCAGTATTTTAAATTATATAACGGCCGCTGATAATATTCTCAGGGGAAAAAAGTGGTTCATAGCATGAGCAACGGCCAAGGCTATATATCCCGGTAAGATGACACTAATACTTTTTACATTGTGTCTACGCAATACACAGTTTAGACGATACGTGTTATCTGTTATCGTACCCCAACGGCGTAGAGCCATGCTCGCAATATAAATGACGCAATCGTGTCTGGTTACCGCCATGTAGCTAAGATATCACCGCTGAATGCGGAGTAAAGCAACAAACAAACAAACAAACGACAATCATGGTTTTGTGGGACCTTTTCTGCGAATTCCAGCGAGATACATGAAATTTGTTTGTTTGTTTGTTTGATCGTTTAACGCCGCACTCATCAATATTCCAGCTATATGACGGTGGTCTGTAAATAACCGAGTCTGGACCAGACAATCCAGTGATTGACGTCATGAGCATCGATCCACATAGTTGGGATACGATGACATGCATCAAACCAAATCAGCGAGCCTGATCATCCGATCCAATAACTCGCCTCTTACGACAAGCATATAACATGAAGTGCTACCGTCCCTACTAATGCTACTCACCAACAAATATAAACACAGCCACGAAGGCAAGCAGGAGGATGAAAGCTCCAACAACGGAACCGGATATAACGCCACCTGTAAGTACATCCATGATACATCCCGCGGGCGGAGTTCCACACAAGAAATCAGTGCTACACTATCGTACAGTTAAACCTCCTTGGTCCCAGTGAAATCCTTCGGGCGTTTCTGGTGCAACGAATTATCATGTCCTGGTTAGTACTATTGATTCCCATCCCGTATACTTGGTATATGTATATGCAAATGAGTTCATCTAGCAGGCACTACTTTCAAGTCCAAACATTAATGACTTCCTTCTCAATAAACTGTCACCTGACGTAACATATATGCTTAGTGTGGGGTTTACAGTTGTGTCTCGGTGTTTCTGAAGACAGGCATGGCTGCTTGTCATTGGCACTATATCATAAATTGGACGGTTCACTCACATATTGTATTCATACTCGGTTTCTAAAGCTACGTCAGTGCGAAAATTACTTCTTAAACATCGACAATTGACAGAATGACATTATGTGATAAATACATTAATACCTTATCAAACGTTAATATTATGTATAAGGATTCGAATAAATACTATACAAAATGCTTGCCAAAGTCTCGCATAAGACAATTATTATTCCTAATACTAGTATCGGATATTAAGTATACGTAAACCCACTCGACTAATACTCTCTAATTATGGGAACGAAGCCGTGAATATATAACATATAGTCCCTGCCAGTGATCCATTTTGCTTGCGATTAACACCATCATCATTGAGTTTTGATCACGTGATTACTATCGGGGTAATCTTCGGCAGCGTACGTACACTAGCAGCACGAACTTAAACAACACATGCATGTAGTATTAAAAACGCTTTTGGTCAAGGTCACTGCTCGCAGTCAACTGTTGGTCGATTCTTACCCGGATGGTAACCACGTGATCAAAACACAATGATGATGTTTGTCGCCAACAAAATGGATATTTCTTAAAAAGCGCACTTTGCAATTAATGTTAGTAATATTCTTTATCTGCGGAATGGCTTGTTTTTCACTTTATAAGTATTAGCACACATGCAGCAATTTTCTTTAATAAATCATCGCAATATTTCGTGATTCTATTTTAAGTGGCAAGGACTATAGGTATTATGTGACATACTACTTAATAGTCAATTATTCTGCAGATGACATTCACTGTTATATCTGGAATAATGATATGAAGTTAACCTTACCTAATGTATTCAGATTGTCCACCTTGTCATTCTGTTGGTTGTCTGGAGACGCATTTTGCACAGTACTCCCCGGAGACGATGTCGTGGACCAAACACTAGTCGAATCTGTACTTGAGCTGTTTCCTTCGTGTTCCAAAGAAGTGTTACGCTGCTGATCAAAATCCGTCGAGTGTGAACTCGGTGTTGAAATTGCCGTGCTTGTTAGAGTCGAAGTCGAAGACGACGTATTGGTGTATGTCAATAGAGTTGTTGCTGCTGTTTTGTTTGTTGTAGTCGTCGTTGGATTTGTCGTCGTGACGGACAGTGTCGACACCACGGGGTCGTCAATAGATATTTGCGTTCCAAATGCTGGTGATGTATACTGAAGTGTTGATGACGCTGTTGGAGTAGACGTTGTTGCCGTAGACGATAACGTCTGCGAGGGAGGTGCTCTTGACGGGCCATAAAACGTATTGAACACGGGTGTTCCGTTTACAGAGATAACTGAAATTCATTTATTCACACTTTGCTCATTGTTGGATATACAATGTATGTATAAACACAATGTCATTCTTTTCGCATATTGAAGCAAATGATATGTTACGGTTATGAGATATGTGTAAGTGTTATTCACCCTATTGTAATTACCAGTATGCCAAGATGCCTGAAACATTGGATTTGTTTGATTAGCAGACTCAGTGAAGAATAACCCACTAACTACTGTGTGAATTATGTCGTCGTTATCTTTAAGTGACATTTTAGAAACTGTATTATCCATAAAGACAAAGTTGAGCTATGGATACCAACTGCTTTACGCTTTCAATGTCCTATCAATGATATAAAGTCCACATGAGCATATGCATGTGTGTGGTTTGTAAAAATAGAAACAGGTGAAGAAATAGCAAGTTCTTTATATTCTTTCGATACCGAAACTTCACGCTGGAAGAATAAAGAAGATGGAATCTTTAAGCCAACTCTTGACATGTCATGTTATGATGTTTCTGGAAAGGACGTTAGCAATTTTACAGGAAGCTAAATAGCCGCCATTACACCTTGCATTAGCACTGATTCCAAATAATTAACATTCTTGTCGCTGGTGCAAACGATTAAGTGATTATGGTGATACTCACGTGACATACAGCCCCCACAGATGAGAGCAATCCAGTACATCAGACCCTCAATACAGAGCATTACGATGTGCGTCTCTTCTGCTCACACTTCGCAGAATGTCAACGACGTTCTTACAGAACACACTGGTTTGACAACACAGTTAAAAAAATTATTCATAACACGAACAAACCTATTTCTGTTTTGTCTCTAAGGTGTGAACACGCTTCCTGAAGCGTCAGCTTTTAAATTAGCTGGTAAAGCTTGTACAGATCCTGCATATGACGGCTTCTTGTACTGAAGATTAATTTCTTACGAGCTCTCTACATATTAACACCGTGCGGCAATTAAGATATGACAGTTGCATGTACATAGGATGTCCACTGCACCTGCTTACGGGATGTGAGATACATTATTGTAAATTTATGTGTCTGTCTGTCAATCTTTAGGAGGAACATTAATACTCATTTCCACCACACACGTAATGTTTAAACGACAGTTCTCTCATACTTATCTCTCTTTTCTGGCGCATCTGGGACTTTCTGCACCTGTTTTAGTGATACAAACCTTGTAAATATCTGTTTGTGTTCATTTTGTATCATTGACAGGACAGCGTGTTTTATTGATCATTCCTAAATCTGTGTATATTACATGACAATCGTCCATGTTCTGTCAAGCTTTATTTGGTGGGTAGCGGTTGAAGCTTTGTCTCCTCACGCCAACATCCTGGTTTCGATTCTCTACATAGATACAATGTGTGAAGTCGATTCTTGATTTCGCAGCCGTGATGTGGTTGTAATATTGCAAAACATAGTGTCAAATTGAAATCAATTCTTGATCTCTTTTGAGTATTTCATTCAAATATCATCTGATGAACATCATGGTTCCGAAAGATGACATAAAATAAGACACGAAGAAGGGGAATTTACAAAAAGCATGAAGAGACAAGGCCATATCCTTGTTTGGAATCATTATTATTTTTATTACCATTCTAATTACACTAAACTACGTTTATAAGGAACACGCTTGTAACAAACTGACCGATATAGCGAACATATTTTTAGTTCCAGCCATTTGTTGTATATATGCTGTATATATTATACTTATAATGAACTACGGTTATTGCAAACTACAATCAGTGATCCATTTGAGTTCGTTATAACCGTAGTTTACTGTACAAAGAAACAACAAATCTTGAATGTCTCCTTTCAGTATGTTACAACTCTAGCCTTAAGTTATAATAATGTGGTTAAGTCGCCGTAGACAGGTGTTCGAATCCCCCTTACAATGTGTGAATACCATTCCTGGGTTCTGAATAATGATCAAACTCACTCACCAACGGATCACGACACCCAAACTCTTTGGGGGAGACACCAATTGACACAAATATTTAAGACGCGCAAGAGCTTTAATCTTATTTCATGGTTCACTTTTATTATGCATTCATGCGTGTGCATCTCTTTATAGTATTGCAGTGATAAACAGACATGTTAAAACTGCCGGGGGTGAGTTTTGATAGCCATCCAAACATTCCTATATGCCACAGATGGTGCTTGTTACTTATCATGCTGTGAGAGTTATGGCTTGTTTTGTGTTCGTGTTATGCATGTTAGTGAGTATTGTGTTTGTATGTATTTTAATGAGCTGCGAGTGGCAAAGTGGTGGCACTGATAATGAATTTCCAGTTTGTTATCTATTCTGTCGTTAGATATCATGGGACACACAAGTATTCATTAGATATTTATTCAAGCTTCAGCACACATCTAGAGGTTCTTATCCAATGGGCGTTCGTCATTTGGGTAACATCTCGTACACTTATGTCCCAATAATGTTCTCCAACCAATACACATCCGACTAAAAAGGTACACTACACATGAGAGTAGAGCAAACTTTATTACTCTTCTAAGATGCGAATTGAAGGCAGACCTTCTGTTTTAGCGAAGATTGTTTTAAAATCAAATCTGTAGTGCGCAGCGCCGTAAATTTAAAATCCTAACTGACGAGCTCTTATTGTCAACACCCTTACGTTAAGATGCAAAAGACTATTTTAAACACAATGAAACAACTCTAAAACAAGGAAGGTCCAGGTTAAATACATGCAGGTCATATTTCATTATCCGTTCACTGTGTGATTATTCATAACCCCATGCAGCAATAAGTGGGATTTAAATAAAATTTTAAATTTAAATTTTATATAAATAGGTTCAGTTAAGCAACGTGACACGAAACATTCGCATTGTAAACAGCCGAATTTCTGTGTCGCTGGGTCCAGGACTGTGTGTTTTCTGTCGTAAAAGTTCAACCACTTATTTCACTGTAGCAACAGCAGCAGAAGCCATGATATGGCGTGCTTACGGAGTCGGTTGCATGTGAGACCGTAAACGACAATTGCAACAGACATCTGTGGGAGGACGAACACAGCGAGAAAAGCAACTGTGAGTGAGTGAGTTGGGTTTAGCGCCGCTTTTAACAGTATTACAGTTATATCGCGGCGTGTCAGCTTAGTGTGGGAGGAAAGCCCGAAGTGATGCAGGTCTCAGACGTTTACCACGTCGTTGAAACCCACGAGTACGGGTATGGTGCTGCCAAACCTAGACACATAATCGGGCCGAACTGGGATTCGAACCAGCGATCATAGGTTTCTGGCTTGCCCAAGGGACGCAACTCTACACAGCGAATCGCGGTGCCTTAGACGACTGGGCCACCCGTACCCCCGATAAAAGCAACTGATCAGCGGTCATTTTGTATGACTGCAGTATGCTGCTAAATGTTCTCCAGTGAGCAACAGGTGCACATGAGGTGTACATGTCACCATAGACACACATAATTCATAGGGCACAAATACAAACAACATGACGTCACCCCAATCCTAAAAGTGTACTCTATTGCAGGACAAACTGCCGTCGGCGCCTTTGACCTTTTGCAAAGCATGTCGCATTTGTGTGTTTGTTTCTTGTTTAACGCCGCACTCAGCAATATTCCAGCTATATCTGTAAATAATCGAGTCTGGACCAGACAATCAAGTGATTGACATCATGAGCATAGATCCCGCATGTTACAAATCTTGATAACATATCATTACGCGTATCCTATCTATGTATGTTACATTATGAGGTATGATATTGCGTGTGTATTTCCACCTAAACGTAACCCCTCGGTTAATGTTGTACCTCCTCATGGTTTATTCGGGGCGGTCGGGTAGCCTAGTGGTTAAAGCGTTTGCTCGTCACGTCGAAGACCCGGGTTCGATTCCCGGCATGCGTACAATGTTTGAAGCCCCTTTCTGGTGTCCCCTGCCGTGATATTGTTGGAATATTGCTAAAAGCGGCGTAAAACCATACTCACTCACTCATGGTTTATTCTCCCTGCAGTATTTCTTATATGCGACATCAACATTATGTACAGTCTACTTAAGGATGATGATAAAATATAAACGATTTAAAAATATTTACTCGTATTAAAATAATGATGACACCCACAATAGAATCCGACCTCGGCAAGGTCGGACAAGTACATTTTCTGCACAAGTGGGTTTTTCCCGCATATTCTCACAATCCTCGCGGCGATTACCTGTACGTACCTTTTCTCCCAATACCGATTGTCATAACTCTTCCGCTTTTGAATGCGATCATTCGGCCATCGCGTTTACCTGCGTTGCCCAGCTACATCTGTGGGGAACAACTCACAAGGCTCTTCCCTCTCCAAAATATTGTCGTCCAATAATACGAGATAATCAAATTGCATGTTCGATTCTCCAGAAATGACGTCATGATAGAACAATGTTTTATCTTGAAATAAACCGCGCTTCGTTCTTCATTGTTCTTTGCGATTTATTGCGTAGCTATCTTATATATATATACGTATATAACATATCCCTGTGTGTCCGCCGTGACATGGCCCGTATATTGCTACAAGCAACGCAAGATCACACTCACTGTCTCATTCAACACAACACTACCGATCTGTGAGGGGTAGGGTTCTCAGAACGAAACTTAATGACCAAAGAATGTTCAAAATATCATTTTAACATATTCTATATAAACTGATAAGGAACAAACAATCCGTTTGCTTTCCGTACATTATTTCGACCGTGGGCCAACAAGTCGACTCAGGCCATCAATTAATCACCTGAAAGTACACTATCCATTTGTATCTGACCTGGAGGGCACTGCTGTGGTCATTATAAACGTAACGTGTTCATCTGCATGACAAGAACACGGCTCCTACTTACAAACCCCATGTAAGCTCTGGGTGGTGACAGCTGTAAATAATACAGACACAGTCCGGACAGAGAATCGACCTGAACTGAGGTTAACTGGGTCAGATGTGGGATGGTGTGATCCTGGGTCCATGCTCCGAGCCTGTGGTAACATCCTTTAGGCGATACATGTTTTGATCTTCGGTTTACGGATGTGACACAATCAGAAGATGAAATATATATAGTATTACAGTAAACTACGGTTATAACGAACTCAAGGGGACCACTAATTTTAGTTTGTAATAGGCATATATACATCATTTTTCAACAAATGGTCGTGACTACAAATAAGCTCGTTATATCGGTCAGATCGTTATAAGCGTTTTCGTTATAAACGTAGTTTACTGTAGTTGAAAGTTTATTAAATTTTTTATTTGAAACAGTTAACCGTTAAACATGTCTAATGATAATTGAATAATTGTATAGTGTCCTGTCACTACAAATCTTTTTCATACTGAACAAGCCTTCAATGGCACATGTAAAAATAACCGTAGATCATACTGTATAAGTATTACATAATAACGATATTGTCCACTGTCTGTATACATGTGTATTGAAAGGGCATCGTGGAGGGAACAACTTTTGCCAAGTCCATCTGACCTTTCTCTGTCACTTAAACATGCTGAGACGACCGTAAAGCCAATTGACTTGCGATGGTTGTGGAGACGGGCCTTGTTGGCTTAACCCCAATCCCCCAAATAGTTTGCCCCTGTTATACAGTGCCAGTTTTTGTTATTCCGTTAATCTGTAAGGCAATGTCTCTCTTTATGTGACGTGTAACACTGCACAGTTCACATACCTCGTTAAATCATCTTGGTGAAGTTAGGTATTGTAATACATCAACTAAACCGTTCCAACCGACTACACTGACTCTCTGTCCTGGCGGCATGAAGTGCGACGCAACAACAGTGATGTACCAGGTCTTACGTTTGTTGAATAAATTTAAATTAAGTAAACTATAATTAGCTGAGAGCTACATGCCGCTGTGAAACAAACACTTTTGACACAGAGACACGCTCCAGTGAACAAGAATGAGTTAAATCCTGAAGAAACCCAGAACAAACCCCATATATGTTTTGACATTGTGATCAATGCTCAGTGTTGATATTCGGTGAAGACTCGGCCAAGTTTCTTGGAGATATACTGCAGCGTATCCAGTCCAGGGAGTCTCCTGTCATACTCGACTAGCATCCATAGTGCGTTGTACCATTGACCACCACACTAATAGTTCATCCAGTGGCAGGATGAGCCACTGTCTATTGGAAACTTCGGATGTACCGAAGTCGGCTATTACGAGCATAGCTGAAATACCTGACGTATTTGAGGTGTGTACTCAGGTGAGTCTCGAGTTTCTAGGATTGTTGAAATGTTCAGTAGTCCTCTGTGACATACACCACATTCTCCACGTCCTTCTTCGTGTAGGTCTTCGTCCTCTGGTGGCCTTGAGAAGGAGTAACACGTCACATTCAATTTGACTGACACCTACCAGTACCATTCAGATTGATGTTTATCATTGCATCATGGCAGTTTGAATCGCCTAATTCAAACACCACTTTATTCATTAGCATCCTCAACTGAATTATTTTAGGGCAGTCAGGTAGAAAATGGTAAAAGCCGTTAAAGTGTACTATGAAGTGTTAATGTCCTACCTCTAATAATGGAGTATTGAATACAGTGGGCCTCAGAACACCCCCCTGTATAAGTATACTGTCACCAGCAGGTACATGATGATAGTTACGATAAACACTAACCCATATTTATACATGTGGCCACCCGCAGGACAAGTAAAATGATGACGGTTACAGTGTGGTATTCACCCATTGTATACATGAAGCCACCTGCAGGACAAACCATTGGTGCCTGTTACAGTAAAACTTTACACCAATAATACTGCCACTAGTGATATAGAAGTGAAGAGCTTACCCATGTGTATGAATACAGCCACCAGCAGGATCAAGAGAAGAAGCCCGGTTACCGAAACGCCAATCGTAACGCTATCTGGAAAACAAACATTATTTTTAATTAGCTTTACGTTCCAGAAATTAGAAAATAAAAGGTTGTATAGGGGATATGGCACAGCCGGTTACATATTAATATGTCCAAATTGAATTTTACAATACATAACATATATCGAAATTTGAACTTAGTTATATTGAAGTATTGTCACATCGTAGGGAACCAGGAACGACAGTAGTATGGGCCACCTCCTTTCATAAAAAAATACATATAGTGAGTGAGTTAGTTTTAACGCCGCTTTTAACAGTATTCCAGTTATATCGCGGCGTGTCAGCTTAATGTGGGAGGAAAGCCCGAAGTGATGCCGGTCTCAGACGTTTACCACTTCGGTGAAACCCACGAGCACGGGTATGGTGCTGACAAACCTAGAAACATAATCGGCGCGAACCGGGATTCGAACCCACAATCATAGGTTTCTGGTGTGCCCAAGGGACGCAACTCTGCACAGTGAATCGCGGCGCCTTAGACGAAGGGACCACCGTGTCCCCAAAAATACAAATAGATTTCCTATGTGATTAAAGACCTTTGCGATTTAATCATTTATGACACTTTATTCATGTGTTTTTGCTTAATCTATGCAAATGGCGTTTGTATTTCAGTTATGATGACGTTTTTTATTGCTCTTGGTCTTCATGTACCCAATGCATTGTGCAATGATCCATGCGAGGCTGGTCGTCTAGCCAGTGCAAACAGGTTTGATGTAGTGGTGGATTTGGATGTAGTCGATGACGATGGGACTGGTGTTGTTGACGTCATCGTTGCAAAGTATAATGGCTCGCTCCCTGAAACAGAGGCAAAAAGCTAACGTCCACCTTTTAGCACAGAGATGATCAGATTCTATACTTATATCATCGATCTACCCTTTATGTTGTCTGTGTACTCACTGTGCACAGTCATGGGGTAAAAGTTGAAGGGACAGATGTTCTGTGCTCTGTGCTCTCAGGTGTACCCTGAGAGAGTGTCAGCTGTGATCACCCTGTCTTAGTGTACGATCAGTCCCGAGGGGTCCTATATGCATACTACATGTCAACACCAGCTTGACAGATTCCTTACGCCTTAGCTGGTATGAAGCTGACTAACCTCGTCCACACACTCATCACTCTACCCCATGACAGCAGCGTCAGCTGAATGAGGCAAGGCTCAATCAGTCTCGGCAAGTTTTGATCGGGTGCTTCTAACAACGCTTTACTCGTCTGCTTGTTCTCGGATCTTCCACAATCAGGAAGAAACTGTTTACTCTCATTGCGAATGAACAATCTTTCAGTTACACTCAGATTAGTAGTTATGGCCCACTCGTCCAAGGCGCCGCGACCGCCTCCGTGGTCTAGTGGTAGAGCGTCCGCCCGGAGAGCGGTCCCCGGTCCCCGGTCGCGTCATACCAAAAGACGTTAAAAGATGGTACTTGTTGTTACCCTGTCTGGCGCTCGGCATTAGGGGCTAAAACAAGGACTGGATGGCTCGAAGTCAGTATACTGTGTCTGAGTGAGGTATCCATGTTAAACTGCGGCATGGTATCTCAGTGAGCTAGCACAATAAATCAGCATCAGTCTGGACTATTGCAAGCAGCCACACAAACACGTGCATGCACGTCGCTATATAAGTGCAATAATCTTGGACGCGACGTTTTCACCTCACCTCACCAAGGCGCCGCAATTGGGTCGTGTCCCTTGGGTTCGCCAGAAGCCTATGATTGTTGCCGTCATAAAGGCTAGAGGGGGCACGGCTGGCCCAGTCGTCTAAGGCGCCGCAATTCGCAGCGCAGAGTTGCGTCCCTTGGGCACGCCAGAAACCTATGATTGTGGGTTTGAATCGCCCCGATTATGTTTCTAGGTTTGTCAGCACCATACTCGTGGGTTTCACTGAAGTGGTAAACGTCTAAGACCTGCATCACTTCGGGCTTTCTAGCCACATTAAGCTGACACGCCGTGATATAACTGGAATACTTTTCAAAGCGGCAATTAACACAAATCACTTACTTTCTCACTAATTACAGTGTTAAGACTTTTCATTAAACAGAGGGAATTTAATGCTTGCGTTGTGGAAGTATATATATGAGGCGTTATGTATTCGACTAACCAAGAACATCGCTGGGTGTTGTAGAAGTTGAAGATGTTGCAGCAGTTGACGTTGCTGTTGCAGCAGTTGAAGCAGATGTTGAAGTAGCTGGCGTGGATTTTGCAGAAGTTGTTCTTAATGTTGATGTTTCAGTTGTTGACGTTGATGGTGTTGTAGCGAATGTGGATGTTGCTGTTGTTGACGTGGCTGTTGCTGACGTTGATGTTGCTGTCGTTGACGTGGATGTTGCTGTCGTTGACGTGGATGTTGCTGTAGTTGACGCGGATGAGGCAGTAGTTGACGTCGATGTTGCTGTAGTTGACGTGGATGTTGAAGAAGTTGCCGACGTCACATCTACCGTAGATGTAGTTGCAACAGCGGTGTGGCCACATTTCACTAAGAACGCTATACAAATAAAGAAAGGCAAATAAGCTATTGTTTCAGGTGTGGAAATACTGACTGAAATTATTCTATTTAACACATGCTATGTGGCCGACTAGAACCAGGAGTGAGAAATGGTATTGATAAAGTTTCAGTGGGAACGATCTTTATTTCAATTCAAATGTGCTGCAATATGAACGTACTTCATCAAGAGGTAACTTAAGGACTATATTCGCTTTTCTTTTGTTTGTTTGTTTGTTTGTTGTTTTTAACGCCGCACTCAGCAATATTCAAGCTATATGACAGCAGTCTGTAAATAATCGAGTCACGACCAGACAATCCAGTGATTGATATCATTAGCATCGATCCACGCAATTGAGATTCGATGACCTGCATCAACAAGGTCAGAGAGCCTGACCACCCGATCCCGTTAGTCGCCTCTTACGACAAGCATAGTCGCCTTTTTACGGCTAGCATGGGTTGCTAAAGACCTATTCTACCCCGGATCTTCACGGGTCTTGCTTTTGTAAACAAACAGGTAACAAAATGATGATAATAAAATGTAGGTGACTGCATTACTATGGATTATCTTATTACATCCAAATGTGCCGAAGCTCCATTGTAATATCTTCTTTGAGAGGCTCCTGATTGTTATAAAGAAGTTGTCCATCCATAAATCCTATCCTTACTTATCCACTGTAATATGTCGTTACGATACCGGCTTTGCGTACCATTCCTATCCGTGCTGAAGACCTGCAGACAGAAGCCCGGGTCTCCCTCCCCCTCCTGGGACAACCCGTCCCCCCGCCTCGTGATGGAGATGGTCCATGGGATGGAACTGTAAGAAAGCTGACCCCAGACGTGGGGAAATTCACACGAGCCGTTATTATATTCATAAGCCAACGTGTCTAAATCCTGCCCCAGGGAGAGTGAAGCATTGTACCAGTACGCCCTACACGTCGTGGGCCTGGTCACCTCAACCATCTGCATGCTGTGGGAGATATACGTCGACAGGGTGCAGCTGCACTGGTGATGACCCTCCGCCATCATGGCGGAGTCGATATAGAAGTCGTTCCCGCTGGAGGCGCGAGGGTCGCACATGTCAATAACTGAAATCAGTATTATTTATCCTCTTTAGGATCTTACGACAATTATGCGATGTAAACATAGGAGTGCTTGTTTGTTGTTTAACGCCGCACACGGCAATATTCCAGCTATATGTCGATGGTCCGTAAATAATCGAGTCTGGACCAGACAATCCAGTGATTGACATCATGAACATTGATCTAGGCAATTGGGATACAACGACATGTATCAATCAAGTCAGCGAGTCTGACCACCCGATCCCGTAAGTCGCCTCTCACGACAAGCATTGTCGCCTCTTAAGGCAAGCATAGGTTTGTAAAGACGTATTCTAACCCGGATCTTCACGGGTCAAGAATGGAGTGAGTGAATAGGGTTTAACACAGCCTTGAACAATTTATCAATTTATTTTAAGCTTACTGTGGAGGAAAGTGTTTCATGATCAGGTTCTTCACGTTAACCACTTTTGTGAAACCCAAGAGCACGGATTTACTGCTGACTAACCAGGAATTACAATCAAAGCGAATCTTGGATTCGATCTCACGATCATTTGATTCAGGCACAACTTTGGGACACCGACAGTTGCATATATCAACTATTTCTTGATTTTAACATGATACGAGAAACTTGGTAATATATACAAATATTGATCATAATGACGAAAATCACGAAATACTTGTTTGAACAGATATTGGTTAGGAAACCCTGATAAAAAAATATTTATTAAACCGTTACGTTATTCACAACGAAAAATATCCCAAACCTTTCAACGACGTGGGGCAGGCTGCATCTATTGATGTAACTGAAACATGACACTTTCATATGTATACCGACCATTGTGTTTTTGTGTCCGATTGGTCAAAAGGCACATGAATGATTTCTGTTGTCAATATTTACTGCTTAAGCATTGCCAGGTTTTGAAGTTCGCATTTACAGGGGTTTTTATAAGGTGGAACACGGGAGCTTAATAATAAAAATAACTCCACTATCAATATTCAGAAATGTGCTTTATAACGAAAACTAACAACAGAACAAAGTTACGTATACACTGTGAAATTGTATGCGTTGACGGAAAACATTACGACAAGCCAAAGTGCTTAGGACCAATTCTGCCCCGGAATCCCACCAGGGTCAAAATATTTAAGATCGTTGGTTTATTTCGACATGAAAACATATTTTGAGAAAACAAAAAACTACAGCATTGTAAAGTCCTTGATCAACTTCCAACCACAGTTGTATCTGTATGATCAGTGCAAGTGAGCTTCACGTGGTGTAGAGAATCATTACGACTGCTTTTAGATGAATCATATGCATAAGCCACATGCCTGGTGTTGTAGCGTTGATAATGCTCGCTCATTGTTTTAACTGGAAGCCTTTCTTCATACTGAGGTAAAAACACATCCACCTCAAGCCACTTACCTAGCACAGTCGCAGCACTGATATAGGACCAGACGAGACGCGACATTTTGAGAGAACTGCAAGAATATTCCAGTACGTTCAATCCTTAGGTGTATGAGTAAAACTTGAAAAGAATCTCTAGCGGCAGACTTCATCAGAGCGCCTGTCCCATGGCCAAGGACGAGGGGATGGTTGGAGATATTTATAGCATGTGGGATACGCTTGTACACTGAACAGATGACATTGGTCCTGTCTCCTGACTTATGCCTTGGACAAAGAACATACAGTCCACAGGACTCGGATGATGTATCCTCTCTTCCCACTGTTTGATGTGACCCAGCTGTCTGATGTGGCGTCACGGCGAGAGCCACGGAAGAGGGACGAGTATGTTCAGAAGGTAACATAAAATAAATTAATATGTTAGGTCCTATTGTTTTGGGTATTGTTTTTTTTGTGGTTTAACGCCGCACTCAGCAATATTCCAGCTATATGACGGCGGTCTGTGAATAATCGAGTCTGGACCAGACAATCTGGTGATTGACATCATAAGCATCGAACCACACACTATTGGGATACGAAGAACTGCATCAATCAAGTCAGCGAGCCTGACCACCCGATCCCGTTAGTCGCCTCTTACGACAAGCATAGTCGCCTTTTATGGCAAGCATGGGTTGCTGAAGACCTATTCTAACGAAGATCTTCACGGGTCTAATGTCCTATTGTGTAATACACTCATGTATACACAGTTTCAACTCATAGAGTCATCTTCAATGGGACAAGTCTCGGGCAAATTGACAGTCCTTGGAAGTCTAAATCAAGTCTTTCAAATGTAACTTTGTTTGGTTTCTAAGTTGAATACAATAATATGAAAGTCAAGGAGTTGATCAGCACCGTACAGACACAGAGAAGAATGTCAATACTTCGCACACGGCACTTAGTGCAACGTATGCATGTTCGCGGACGTGAAATGAAGTAGTTAAACTTCGTCTTCAAAATTATGTGTGTGTGTGTGTGTGTTGGGGGTGGGGGTGGGGGGTGGGGGTGGGGGGGGGTGTGGGGGGGGGGGGGGGGGGGTGTTTGGAAGTGTGAGTATGTGTGTGGAAGTGTGTATGTGTGTGTGTGGAAGTGTGTGTGCTTGTACTAGCTCGTACTGATGCCAATTTTATAGTGCTAGCCAACTGAGATACCTTGTCAGTTAAACATGGATACCTCACTAAAACACCATACTTACGCCAAGCCAACCAGTGCTTGCTTTATCCCCATAATGCCGAGCGCCAGGCAGGTTAACAACAAGTACCATCTTTTAACGTGTTGTTGTATGGCGCGGCCAGGGATCGACCCACCAACCTTCCAGTCTTCGGGCAAGGTCTAAACCTGGAAATATGCACTTTGCGTTTACAGTGGGAGAATATTGACAGATTTATAATCTGTACACATTATATATCTGTTGGGAAGGGGAAACTCGGGTGATACATACATGCATAGCGTGATTCACGTTATTCATATGTCCTTTACACAGACGCGATTCTGGGCAGATGAGCTCCATGCTAGTAATGTTAGTCTTACAACGTGTTTGTTTGTTTGTTGTTTAACGCCACACTCAGCAATATTCCAGCTATATGACGGCGGTCTGTAAAATAATCGAGTCTGGACCGGACAATCCACTGATTGACATCATGATCATCGATCCATGCAATTGGGATCGATGACATGTATCAACCAAGTCAGCGAGCCTGACCACCCGATCCCGTTAGTCGCCTTTTACGACAAGCATAGTCGCCTTTTACGACAAGTAATGGTTGCTGAAGACCTATTCTACCCCGGAGTCTTCATGGGTCGTTACAACGTGTGAACTGATTGTCCGTGAGCAAATCGCACGCCGCCGTTCCTCGTGTGTATTTTTATTGTTCAGAATCGATTGTCCGTGCAACTGTAGCTATACTTTGGCTGACAATTGATTGAATATTAGCAACAATAACTAATTCATACATCTGTGTATTATCCATAAGAATATTGGACAATTAGTAAGGTGGCAAAAATGACCATTAAATAAATGAGAAATATCAATAAAGTACGAGAAAAAATACTAAAACATTTTCATACACAAATAAGCTGGTATAATATTCTAATGAGATAAAGTATATCAAATCCATACAAGATAAACGTATCTGATTAAACTGCAAGAGAATATAAGTGACGGAAATCAAATTCGCTAACCATACCCATTGGAACATAAACACAACGAACTTTGTCGGACTTTGCCGAACGCCGGACAGCGGTAAGAACATTCGTGACCAACTCGTGTTATTCCGGGACAAGCCGAATAGCGAGAAGCATATATCACCACTCGCATGTTTCCGTAATGTACATTCGGCTTGTCCCGGAATGGGACGAGTTGGTCACAAATGCAGTGGGAAGGAGGGGCTACGGTCACCGTGACTAGCTTGGTTTTACAACCCGGTGACACTGTGTCTGAGTTGGGTATTCATGTTAAACTGCGGCATGGTATCCCAGTTGGCTAGCACTATAAAATCAGCATAATTCCGGACCAGTACAAGCACCACAAACACACACAGACAGACACACACACACACGCACACACGCACACGTACGCACGCACACACACTCCATGTAAGTGAAATAATCTTAACGCGACTTTAAACTCCATTTCACCTCACCACCAAACTGGTTATGATATTGCCTGTGCTGACGGCTTCTTTACAGACCGTGTCATACATGCACAATTATGCACAGAATGTACAACGCAATATTCAAAGGCAGGAAAACAGCAGTAAGAGGCAATAGTAAGGGCGGATCCCGGATTCTTGTCAAAGGAATGCGCGTGTGTGTAGTGGGGTGTATCGTTAGATCTACTGTTTGTTTGTTTGCACTCAGCAATATTAATATTCCGGCTGCATGACAGCGGTTTGTAAATAATCGAGTATGGACCAGACAATCTAGTCGCCTCTTACGACAAGCATATTCGCCTTTTACGGCAAGCATGGGTTGCTGAAGACCTATTCTACCCCAATCTTCACCGGTCTTAGATCTACCTGTTATATAGGTGAAGGGATGATTTCGACAGTGTTTTATATCATACAGTGAGTCAACTCTTAATTTCTTAAAATGTCTTCAACTTAAATGTCCCTGAGCCAAAGGTGTTGTCAGAAAGCCGACCATTATCACATCAACAGTGGTATGTATTTAGTGGTTATGGAATAATGTTTATTCATTCGGATCTAGCTGCACTAATTACATCTGACGGATAGTTCTAAGGGCATAGGAAACATACAAGTAGATAACAAACATTAATTTCATACAAGCGCTATACATCACTTGGGCGTGTACAGAATGTCAGACCACGTGAAGTAGAGGTACAAACATCTGTGATATCTTGCACCAGAACGCAAATAATTATTTGTGTTTTAGTTTATTTATAACACTTGTAAATATAATCTAGTATTTGACAAAATCAGTAAATTTCTATGTGAAATGGTTTGGGATTATTATATCACGTCTTATGTTGTATTTTATCCAAAATATGATCCATTTCTCAAATCAATTGATCACGCATAAATATTACATGTCAGGTAAAAAATTATATTATTAATAAAAAAAAGTATTTGCAAATATGCATACTGAAGTAGTATGTTTACGGATGGGGGGAAAATGAGTTTGATGTGGTAAATGTGGTTGTTTGTGGAGAGATCGTGTTCGTTGTACACAAGTGCAGCTCTTCATGATATTAGACCGCCTCCGTGGTCTAGTGGTAGAGCGTCCGCCCGGAGAGCGGAAGGTCCGGGGTTCGATCCCCGGCCGCGTCATACCAAAAGACGTTAAAAGATGGTACTTGTTGTTACCCTGTCTGGCGCTCGGCATTAAGGGGCTAAAATAAAGACTAGTCGGCTCGGAGTCAGTATACTGTGTCTGAGTGTTGTATTCATATTAAACTGCTGCATGGTATCTCAGTGTGCTTACACTATGACTCGGCATCAGTCCGGACTAGTACAAGCAGACACACACACACGTGCATGCACGTCGCTATATAAGTCCAATAATCTTGGACGCGGCGTTTAACCCAATTTCACCTCACGTTTAAGATATGAATTGAAGAAGCAAAGTAGCGAATGTCTACCGTGAATAAACATGTATATTGTCTGGTCTGGTTACGCCCAATATCTTGTGTTGACGTTATCTGGTCAGGTATGATTCCATAGCGACGCGGTGTCCCCTCAGGTCTCGGCAGGCGGACTGCAGGATCACCTGTCGAATAGGATACTGTCGCTAAGTGAGACACGGGTGACTCAAAAGAACAAGCCATTTATCTCTCATGTGTTACGTGCGGTCGCCTGATGAATACACAACGTTGACAGTTTCGTCAATATGTTCTATGATATATGGGGCATATGTTAAACCAACACATGGCTGGAAGCCGATTAGGATTAGGATTAGCCCAGGGAATGCAATATTCAGTTTGTGGATAATGCTAATGACGTTGTGTCAAACGTCTTAGAATCGGTGGTTGAATGCATTACAGGGAGTCCTGCCTCTTTTCCCGACCTTGAGGATACTCATTGAGATTCGGGAGGTAGGTGTCACGGTGTACATATTCCCACATAACGCAAGGGACTAGGGTCACCTGTCGGGTCTCACTGTAGCAGGTAGATTCACGGTCCCGCCTTTATTTAAAGAAACATTCCACGTGCCTATTCACAACGATGACGGTAACCACTCCATAGTGAATGTGTAAGATTAGCGGGGTGTTCTCAAATAGAAGCTGAATAATAGAATAATAAATTTGCGCTGAGCTTCGTTCTCGCTTCGCTCAACACAATCAGTCCAACACTTTGTACCAAAAATACACAGTTAGAGCAATCCGCAGGACATTAACGCTAAGCAATAAGAACAGTGCCATAGCCAGCCGGGGGTGGGGGTGATTTTTTTTTATAGAAAACAGTTTATTTGAATCATGAAAATACAAGTTGGGGACAAGTGATACTTGTACAAATATTTGCTGGAATATTGCTAAAAGCGGCGTAAAACCATACTCACTCACGCAATCCTACCACATTAAACTGGCACGCCGTGATACAGTGAGTGAGTGAGTGAGTGAGTGAGTATGGTTTTACGCCACTTTTAGCAATATTCCAGCAATATCACGGCGGGGGACACCAGAAATGGGCTTCACACATTGTACCCATGTCGGGAATCGTACCCGGGTCTTCGGCGTGACGAGCGAACGCTTTAACCACTAGGCTACCCGAACGCCCAACGCCGTGATACAACTAGAATACTGTCCAAAGCGGTGTTAAACCCAACTCACTCACTCAGTCATGCAGAGAAACTGCACTGTCTCTTAATAAAAGTAATTTTAGAAAACAAAACAAACAGATGAAACAAACAAAAATTCAGAGACAGTTTAGTGACATCAAAATTTGTGTTACAGTACGAGATCCAAAGTCCGTTTTCTTTCGAATTCACAATTTACATTCACCCGCTTGTTCAGACGAGCAGAATTTTGATTTGGAGGGCCGCGACCACAAAGGTAAGTGGACACGTTGAAAGGTGTAAATGACTTTATACCCGTGTAGGGAGCAGAAATGATCAACCAGGAACAGGAAATAACTTCATTTGAGCCGGCTGAACAAAGTTCAAGTCGTCGCATAATATACAGCTATATTTTACGCCCGCTTCAAATAATATCATGAGCTCATATTCCACGAGTAACATTAACAAACAAAAATTCATAGTAAATGAATTGTTTTGATTTTATTGAAAATAGATACAATTTGATTGCTTTTAAAACAATATCCAGTTATTCAATTATTAAACACATGATTTTATTCCAGGGTATGGTTCACACATGTATATCAATTTTCAACAAAAAATATATATATAGCACTTGATTGAATGCATTTTGAACCCACATCCCAGTAAAAACAAATAAGCTGTGTCTAAAGATAATGTATAACAATTAATACTAGTGTCACTACATTGGCACCTCTCCCCTACATTCTGCGAAGTATATGTGACCTCAAATATTATGGGCCAAAGTCTGAGAATACAAAAGTGGAAAGCATGCTAATATAAATACTTATTTAAGAGGATATAGGTAAGTCTAGTGGTCCATGTTCACTTGAGTCTGTCAGTGTTACTTACATTTGTAAACAGTTTGCACAAAGTTAGTTTTGGATAATATTCTACTTTTTACCCGCAAAATGAATCATAATATCTATTTTTATGACATGGGTATTGGATGTTTAATGTGTATCACAATATTTTACAATGCACAAGGGGGTATTGCGATACATACAACGTATTGTATGTTTCAAAATTTTGAAGTCAGAAGCAATTTGAAACATCAATGCAGGAATTGAAGTTCATAAATGGAACAAAACAAGATGCTGGAAAAGCACGATGTTTACTCATTCAATAAATATGCAATGATTTGCGCTCCGGGACAGTGATGACTTGGCGTTACCCACTTCCAAAGAAGAGCTCCAGAATGTGAACTTGCGTTTTGGAATTACGAAAACATTTTGCAGGTAAATGTGTATGGAAAGTGAATATCATTAAACACATGATAAAAATCGCTGTTTAAATCACCCGATGTATCGAGCATTAAAACATGATATTGTGATACGTATCATGGATAGAATGAACCTCAATTTTACCGATATACCGTTAATACTGCACACCCTTACTTCCCACATCATGGCATTGTGTCAGAAAAAAATAATATAAGCAGCAGTTGCATCTTGTATTAAATTATATTTGATATAATATTTACAACACATCACAGTATCATTGTTTTCTTGCTTGTAATTGGTCGATGTTTAGTTTTGGTTTGAATTCTTATCACCCTAAATTTGAATCAATTTTTGTTTGTTTTTGGTATTTGATAGTGAGTGAGTTAAAATGTAACGTAGCATCGGCATTATTTCAGAGATTGGCAACAGCTGCCTAGCCAATCTACTGATGCACAAACTGGGGAGTTTCTGCATATGTCATGACAACTTAAGAGGTTGTATATGCCCTTCTGCCAAATCTTCTTGTATAATATGAACCCAGGGCTACAAATATATTTATATGTGACTTCAACAGAAGTATTTTATATTTTTAACACACTAACATGTCAGGTACATTTCTTATGTTGCCTGCTCAAACAGTTGGCTTTACATTTAGAACATACCAACTGCAATTTTGTATCTCAAATTAATAATGTTAGAAGCCATTCTCTGGATATGGACAATATTTTCTGAATGAAATAGATCTAAGGGAAGTAACTCTAAGTTTGTCTTTTTGTTTTGTCTGCTATAAATGCCTAACTGTGGTATTATTACCAATTCAGACCAAAGCATAAGACATACCTGTAATATAAACAGGTGTGCAGTAATATAAATTTGTTGTCCATCAGTTCCACAGGTGACATTAGTTGATGTACTGTGTTAGGTTTGGGGGCTCAGGGAACATAAACTAACATAGAGGATACATCAACCATTTTCATACCTGCATGTCAGAATAATGAGATCTGATTGGTCCATGTGATTCTGATGAAATACTATATATCCCACCCGGAAATAAATAAATCACCTATATCCCACCACGAGCCAGACTGACTGCACATGGAATTCTGAGATACAGAATAAATCCCTTATACCCCGCTTCCAAGCAAAAAGCTGCACACTTTCTCCGAGTCAGTGAAAGTCATGTGACATAGCACAAGCTAACCTCCGCTCAATCTAACAACTGTTTTCTAACAATATTGAATTTGTTTTCATTCTTTTACAATGTCATATTAAAACATGTCGGTAAGATAAATTTGTTGTAGCAGGATCACTTTGGGATATAATGGGTTTTATGCTTCCCTTGTTAGGTTTTATACCACTCGCCTATAAAACCTAACGCTGGACGCACAAAACCCCATGTACCCCTGCTGATCCTGCTACAACTTTATAATGTCCCCTTCAAGACTGGTGGACAGGCTATATTGCCTTTATCTCCATATATGGTCTTGTCATGAGTGAAATACAAGTCTGATTTAATTGAAAACATGAATAAGGGACTGTTCACTGGGCAATGAAGCAATGAAAAGGTCCCATTTTTTCAAATAAAAGAATGATAAATTTGTTTATTTTGGGGGGAGTGCTCATTAATTATTGGGAAGGGGCATCATGGAAAAATGTTACATGTATTTAGGGCACCATGAAAAAATGTTTCATAAAATGGTGGGGGGGTGGCAAAGTATGATACAGTCTTAAGGTCTTTCTTTATCAAATTCTAGAGAGGCACAGTAAAAATATAATTATGATAATAAGCATGTTTACAAATTGAAAATCTCAGGCATACAACCCTGTCAACCAAAGAAGAAAAAGACAATATATATAAATGCATTTACTTGCATTGCAGTCAAGAATACATGACACTATATATAGGTTGAAGCGTTTGGCCTGTACTTTTTACAACACACACAAAATAAATTGCAAAGGTAATGTATGGAAAAATTCAAGACATGCATAAAGAAACATTCAATTGTATCAGTGATGAGGCCAAAATATATTAATGATTAAATTTTATTCCCAAACAGATGTTTATGTGAACAAACAGTTAAGAGTGTTTTCAGGTGGAGGCAAAATTCCAAATGGTGAATAGTCTCATGTGTTGTGAATATATAGGGTGTTTTAAAATTTTAAATAATCATGGTAATGAGAGGTGTACTGTCTCTGTTTTGATTAATGCTTGGTTGATGAAAACATGTGTACATCTTATAATCGTTCACTCACAACAAGTGTGGTGTAATTGCGAGAATGTTCGAAATTGTCATATCCGTTATTATCGTACATTCTGTTGAGAGATGGGTGTTTCTTGTGACTCGAGGTAACTGCACGATGTAAAAAGTCTTCACTTCTCTCATCAAAACCATTGCCTATACGTTTGTGTCCAAGGTGGCTGTTGTTTCCATTGTCCAAATTACTATTTGCAGGTACACTGAAGCGATTTTTGTGTGCATTCCGTCTTGGTTGTCTCCTGAAAAATATATCTGGTTCAATCTGGTGTAATTTGTCGTTGTTAACGCTGATCACACAATATCCTTCTTTTCAGTTTGGCCATCCCTGGAAAAATTATAAGGGTGGCAGGTAACACATCAAGGGAGATAACTCTAAAATCCCTGTCACCAGTGTGAAGCTTGAAGCAGTTTACAAAGCTGTTACTTTCTGACTCGTCCATCAATTGCAACATCTGGGGTCATTGTAGAAGTAATCTTATGGAATTATTGTGTGGAGAAATGAACCAGGGGAGGACGATCAGATACAGTGGGGAAGAATCATAAAATAATACAAGTAATGTACAAGTAATAAAATAAATAATTGGTGAAATGGACCAAATTGACTGTATTTTCTTTAAGGACATTTTTTCTGTGATTTTGGCATCTTGGGTAGTGTCTTGAAATAAATGGAAAATCATTTTGGTGTTGTCAGCATATTAATAAATTGCTAGGGCTGTCTAATGATACAGATCGTGGAGATCGATAATCGTTAACTAAATATCAATCTATTATTGATAAATATCAGAGAAATAACTTTGAGCAAATACACAAAAAGAAGTCAGAAAGAAAACAACATATTTCACCCCACTGGTGATTGTTGGCACATTTATGCAAAGACTACTTTGTGGAAATTTAAGATATAAAAGAAACAGTTGCTTTACCTCTTCAGCAATTGAAATGATTGACAATAACAAGTCTGTTTTGGTAAATCTAAACTTGTTTTCATCACAATAATTCATTTAAGATATTGTCGATGACACATTTTTCATATCGATAATCCTTAATATTTCTTCCCATCAACGATAATTCTGTTTATTAATGCTTTCGCCAGCCCTATAAATTACACTTTGGAAGACTAATACTAGTACACTCATGGAAAACAGTTACAAATATTCTTGAGATAATTACAGTCATCTATCCCACTCAGACTATATGCATAAGTCAGTAGCTACCAAACAATCCCAATTCTTATCAACCAATAAGCCTTACATGCAGCAAATGAATTCTTCATGCAGGATGTAAGCATTAATTTGGAAGCCTATAATATCACAATGTGACAACTTCAAAATTATTTCTTGAATTATTTTGTAAATTGTATTATTTTCTTCCTGTATCTTAGCAATATTATTGCTGGCAATATTTCCACTTACCGTTTTCCCATGATGGCAGCAACTGCAATGATGATTCCGACTAGAAGACCAGCGCCAACAATAGAGCAGATGATAATAACTGGAAGGACAAATCACATCTGTGTGTGAGCTACTCAGCTCTTGTAAATATCTACAGATTGCAGAACAATGGCAGTGACTTGCAGAAGAGTTTTTAAAGAAATATTGGTTATATAGCTTCATGACAAGCCAATAGATAATAGTGTGTGTCCCAACACAGTAAATTTTCCTAATAATTATAACTCATACCTTAAAAATTGAACTCATTCTCATGTAATTTTAGACTAGAACTAGTTCTGAGATTAGTTGTTTTAAAATAGTAATGTTAATTTTACATGATGCTGCTGAGACACAAGAAGATCATGAATAGATATGTGAATGTGTTATCTTTCAGTTTTCATTAATTCATGTTACATCTCTGGTTGTATTGTGCAGTATATAGACAGTGTGACACATATATACACAAAAGAAGTATACACAAACACCACAGACCACTGAAACTGCTGTCTGACAAAATACATGCTGATGATAATGCTATCCTGAAAACTGATTTTCTTTAAAGCATTTTGGTAAAATCAGTTAGTACTCTCATCATAGTAAATATCCATGGGCAGAATTGAAGACAGGTTATGTCCATGTTTAATCTTGTAGCACTCATGGTGCTCTCTGGTGAAAACATAAAACTCATTGCTGCAGATCTATTTAAACTTATACCTCTGTCACTTTGAGAGTAAAAGTGACAGTTGAGTTTAATTGATTCTCAGCTTGGATAAATTTTCAGCTACACCTGCAAAACCTCATTAAAACTATGAGCCTAAATGTTTGTTTAAATATCTTGCAACAAATGTATTTTTTATGGCAAACACATTCTGTTTTTTTAACAATTACATATGACCTAAACGGTATCTAAAAATTTTTCAAAGCATTTTCTGGAACTATTTATTTTTCAATAAAATCACAGGCCCTCCTCCCCCAAAATATCAAATGGATGGTCTCTTAGTTCCTTCTTAAGTTGTTTGAAAATGTTGTCATTTATGCATTGTTTTTTAAAACTGGTCAGTGTCACCGTTTCAAATATCATATGCAAAAATTGTAATATCCTGTTGCTGGAATAACGCAAATGTGTCTGACATATAGGTTTCTTTTTGTTTTTGTTTTATATAAGGGTTGTTGGATACTTATGAACTATTTTTAAATTCATCAAAGGGTAGACATTGACAGAATGAAGTGATGTGACAGCTTGTAAAGAGTCAGACTCTACCTTCTACGTATACATATATGTATATACATGTACATAACACCATCAATATATGCAGTTGATTAGTATGTTGCATATTGCTTTTAAGCTTGTTAGCAATTATTAGTCTTTGATCCAATACAATAAATATGGCATCCAAAATGTGCTGTTTTTTTTGTGCAAAGTAAACCCTGAAAATATTGTCTGAAATCAATAATGATTGTGTGTCATTGTACCCTGATGGTGTCGGATGTTGCTCATAGTCGTTATTACCTGTCTGTTTGGTCCTGATTGGATTATTAACAGACTGCCATCATAGAGCTAGAAAGTTGCTAAGTGTGTCATAAAACAACAAACCCACAGTTTGGAACCTGTTATAACCCCCATACTGATCTCAGTGAGTTTGACCTCCTCTGTGGTCCTTGGATGGAGCCTCTTCCCGGAGAGCAGAAGGTCAAGGGTGTGATCCCCGCACGTGTCATTCCACAAGACGTGAAAAGATGGTCCTTGTTGTTACCTTACCTGATGCTTGGCACTTAAAGGCTGCTTGGAGGCAGTATACTGTGTCTGAGACAAGTATCCATTTTAAAACCCCTGCATGGTATCTCAATAGGCTAGCACTATAAATGCGACATAAATCTGAACTTGTACAAGCAGCAACACACACACATACACATACGCACATGCATGCATGTCACTAAATATATAAGTGCAATTATCTTGGGACCGACTCTTAATTTCATTTCACTTCACCTCACCTGCCAGTGTGTTAACTCAGGATCAGTTTTCAGGACCAAATTTCTTTCGTCTTGTGTGGTAATATATTAATTACAATTGCCCTATAGCCATTCACATGTTGTTGCAGTAAACTGCTCACTCAGGTTGCACTCTCACATCTCTCACTCACTTGTAGTAAACTGCACTGTTGACAAATGCCTTGGGCTAAGTTTCAGTTATAGCTGTCAGAAGATAACATTGAACAGAACTACAAAGATTTGTTGTGGGAGATTTCTGTGTATCTCCATGCTATGTTTACCCTGATAGTTAGTCTAGATTCTACCATGACACTGAAGAATGCTTGAGTCTGAATAGTCAAAATAAGATTAATATCTAATTTGATTCGATACCTCAATTTTAACTTGCCTTTTCACATGTAAACACTGGGTATGGAAAGATTGATAGTCTGTACATCGATGCATATAACAATGGCTGCCAATAATCCATTACATTAAGATATAAACCAACTGTTTTGAAGTTTGAGGTAGTCTATCTGTAGATTAGATATCTCTTATCTAAATTTGGTTCTAGATGAGAGGTGAGGTGAGGTAAAATGGGGCTTAACATCGTGTCCAAGATTATTGCACTTACATAGTGAGTGAGTGATTGAGTATGGTTTTACGCCGCTTTAAGCAATATTCCAGCAATATCATGGCGGGGGACACCAGAAATGGGCTTCACACATTGTACCCATGTCGGGAATTGAAACCCAGGTCTTCGGCGTGACGAGCGAACGCTTTAACCACTAGGCTACCGGACCGCCCCTTGCACTTATATAGCGATGTGCATGCACATGTGTGTGGCTGCTTGTACTAGTCCAGACTGATGTCGATTTGTAGTGCTAGTCCATTGAGATACCATGCCGCAGTTTAGCATGAATACCCCATTCTGACACAGTATACTGACTCCGAGCTGACCAGTTTTTGTTTTAGCCCTTAATGTCGAATGCCAGACAGGGTAACAACAAGTACCATCTTTTAACGTCTTTTAGTATGACGCAGCTGGGATTGAACCCAGGACCTTACGCTCTCCGGGCGGACGCTCTACTACTAGACCACACAGGCGGTCTCCAGATGAGAAGTAACACAGTCGTTTATCTCTATTCTTACTATGAAAACAGTTCTCTTTATAATGAACTTATGCTGAATTTATTTATTTTTTAACAATCTTTATTGAATTGGATAACAGGATTTTAGTTATTTTTATGTTGTACTTTTGTACCAGTTTGTTTAAAATATCTCCCAAACAGTAAAAGATATTCAGAATGACTATCTTTCCACTCCAAACTTGGACCTGGCTATATTTTACTCTTCACTGTCCAAAACATAGTTGTTCATGGATAAAGTGCTATTTACAAATTGCGTGAAACTATAGGACAATTCCAATCTGTAGTTATGTTCACATCAACCTGATGATTAACAGGTGGAAATGGACCAAATGGCACAACCATTTCCAATGGAACCTATCTTGAAGTTTGTCTGAATACAGCTGCTGTTTGCAGATGTAGACAAGCAGGCACTGTTCGACAAGAGAGACGGTGCTCATTTTCATGAACCAGTGGTTACTGGGTAGTGTATGTTTTACTTCATTGTATGTGTTCTGAAATAGACTTCATCATGTTTAATAAGCTGTCGTGAACAAGAGCATGTGCAGTGTACCAGTTAGTGACAAAGACATCAGATAATGTTCCATTATCGAACGTGTACTGTTCTAATCACCATCTTTTATATGCATCGATATGTAGGCTATCAATAAATTGATGTATTCACACGCATGCTTTTGTACGAATGGCTTGTTAGTTTTGAGTAATCAGTTGGAATTTGATACCTGATTTTAATCTAATTTTGACTAATAAGAATCAAGCATGTTTTAGTGTATAGCCTGGGTTGCAGGTTGCACAAAGCAGCAATCAATGTGTTGACTGTTTTATCAGCCTGAATGTTTATAAAAATATAATGACTGTGAGTTGAGTTGAGTTGAGTCTTCCTGCATTTCACAGTTACATTGTCAGGTCTGGCAATTGGTTTCTATTTCTGTATGGCTTTCTCTTGCCTATTGAATCAGAGGTCATTGTGACTCTCAAGTAGAAATGTCATGGGTGAAGAGGAATTTGAGGCCTAAGAGGCGTATGAGTAATAGTCTGTTTCATGTATGTTTCATGGGGAAGCATTTGCACAGATTCTTGTCGCAGAAACAAATATGAAGAATATGTGCATCGGAAAATCCTTGAAATCAATATTCCTGTTATGGTAATGATGGCAATCTAGAGGTGAAGCAATTGGCCAATCACCCTGAAGACATGGGTTTAACTGATGCATGGGTACATTTATCCCATTCTTTGTTTCCTCTGCCTTAATATAGCTCATATGTCAGTTGTGTCATGTTTGTAGACTGTGTGAATACACACACATAATTGAAATGAATCTTGTAAATATTTTGACGAAGAAGAATATATCCAAAGATCCAGAACAAAGACTACACCATATCCCTGAATATATTACATTAATGCTGTGCTTTAGACTTTCTATTGGCAGCATTTGGGTTTTTTGTTCAGATTAGTCAGGTTTTCTTGCTTTGGCCAGACCTTTGTATTCTTCTTTTACACATGTTTAGGCCAATATGGCAAGATGTAGGAGGCAAAAATTGATAAAAAATGTTGCTTGGGTTAGTTTGAGATGAAATTCTGCAAAGACTGCCAAGTCAGTAACCTAAGAGATTATGATAGGGTTTCGGAAATTTCTCTTGTAAAGTAATTGTTCGTATATAATTATAATTATAAAAGTTCTTGAAAGATGAAATTATTAATAACAAAATATATATATATATATTTAATTATTTCTTTCATCTGAAGAAGTAAGTGAGCCATTGCTTATGTAAAAAACATGAATACACTGGTCTGGCCCTGCTTGTTGAGTGCAGACATTTACTTACTCCCACAGATGGGCGATGTAAGCCAAGCACCAAGCAAGGTATACAGAACAATAAGGACAACATTTACTTTAAACATCGGCTCACTTGCAGTCTGACTGACACTGTTGGGGAAGCCAGTGTACGTGTAGACTGTTGTAGTGCGCGTCGTCTCGGTGGTCGGACCGTAGGTCTTCCTTGTAGTTACCTCCCCTGGCAAAGACGTGACACCTGGGGTGTAGGTCAGTCGGTACGTGGTTGGGTTGTAAGGGGTGCTTGTGGCAATGGGTTTTGGGATAGGGGTGGTAGTGCTGGTGGTCGTAGTTGATGTTGTCGTTGTCGGGATTGTGGTAGTGGTTGCTGAACGGCATACGAGTTGGACTGTGGTTATGGATCCTAGAAATATGCATAAGGAATAGTCATTGTAGATTTCATGCTGATTCTGTATCCTTGAAGAGGATATTAATAATATCACTGTCAGCTATATAATCAGTTGCTATTTGTTATGGAACCTTACTTAGCCATATCTAATCAAGTCTGTTTCTTGAACATGTGTTCTTGATGTCTGCTTGAAGGAGATGCGCTGATGTCAGTACACTATTCTGTCACTAAGATATGCTCGCTCTTTACAGGTGAAGGAGATGCCCTGATGTAAATACACTAATCTGTCACTAAGATAAGACCACTCACCTCCAGGTGAAGGAGATGTCCTGATGTCAATACACTATTTTGTCACTAAGATATGCTCGCTCTTTACAGGTGAAGGAGATGCCCTGATGCCAATACACTGGTCTGTCACTAAGATATGACCACTCACCTCCAGGTGAAGGAGATGCCCTGATGTCAATACACTGGTCTGTCACTAAGATATGACCACTCACCTCCAGGTGAAGGAGATGCCCTGATGTCAATACACTGGTCTGTCACTAAGATATGACCACTCATCTCCAGGTGAAGGAGATGCCCTGATGTCAATACACTGGTCTGCCACTAAGATATGACCACTCACCTCCAGGTGAAGGAGATGCCCTGATGTCAATACACTGGTCTGTCACTAAGATATGACCACTCACCTCCAGGTGAAGGAGATGCCCTGATGTCAATACACTATTTTGTCACTAAGATATGCTCGCTCTTTACAGGTGAAGGAGATGCCCTGATGTCAATTCAATAGTCTGTCACTAAGATATGACCACTCACCTCCAGGTGAAGGAGATGCCCTGATGTCAATACACTATTTTGTCACTAAGATATGCTCGCTCTTTACAGGTGAAGGAGATGCCCTGATGTCAATTCAATAGTCTGTCACTAAGATAGGATCACTCACCGCCAGGTGAAGGATTTGCTTTGATGTCCACACAGTAGTTATTGCTAGCCATCGGCACATCTTTCAGGAAGTTGATGTCAAAGTTCTTCTTTGCAGAAACATCAATTGTTATCCCAGAAAACAGGCATTCAAATGTCAGTGGATTAGATGCTCTGAAGTCAAGTCTGGACAGGCATCCTTGGTAGTTGGGTGCAGCGATGAGGATAACACTTAGAGAATCTGCCGTTGTTTGCAGAGAACAGGTGCAGTTGAGATTCACTTGCGGAGCTCTGGATGTGTCAAGAAATGCTCGAGCTCCAATGACAGAGTCCCCAGAACACATGTCTGCAACTGTTGGAAACATTATAACATAGAAATTACACAAGATCATGAGGGAGATCTATACCATTTGGGGCAATGAATATGATTGTGAAATAGTTTTGTCCATTAATCTTTCCATGGCTCTGTTTTCTGTTCATACTTACTTTAACCTATGACTTTTAAGAACTGTATCTTGTTACCCACAAGAACTGTGTAAAAGGTCAGCAATCAATGTTTAAATTGTAAGAGCTTAAGGAAAAGATATAAAGTGATCAAGAGGAATTCTCCCCAGAGAGCAGTCTGAACTGCTACCTTTATGCTGCTCCAGGCAGGTTCGAACCTTTGCAGTTAGGTACATTTAAACACCATGTATATACTGTATGCTTGTATCAAATCTCCTGAACTTTTTCTCATCATTATCATTGATGTCAACCCAACGGTAAATGAACGTTGATAATATGGCATGGAGTCATCCAACAGATGACATAACTACCTTGTCAGCCTGCTGAGGGGGTTAACCTTTTCAGTCATGCGGACAAGGTGTCTGATCTTGAGTCAGAAAGTCTGTTTGAATCCCATCATGGGACTAAGAATTTGTACGGCCACTATTCAAAGAATAAATGATGATTTGGAGCTGTTAATCATACAATAAAACACTACAGGGAGAAAAACCCATGAGGGGTGCAGATTAAATTGAGATACATCAGTAATTTAGCAATAAACTGAAAAATGCCCTGAAAATGGGAGAAGAAATAATTCTCTGTATTGAACATTTAAAATTTTGGATATACATATGTATCTCATAAAGTTTTGTGTGAAAATAGTCAAAAGATTTTGAGAAATGCTCTAGGTCAAAGTCCAAACTGATACCAAATGAAAATGTCAAAAAAAAGGCTTGACCCAAGCGCAAATGTTTGGAAAATAGGGATTGCCAAGTGAGTTATTCTCCAGAATCTAATTATTACAGGTTGATGCAGTGGCATATGGATGGAAGGACATGCTCAATTCTGTATCCCTATGCATTGTTTCCTGGGATATAAAACTGATTGTTGAGGGCTGTGTTGATCAGAGAGCCTCTGTATTAGCTATCAGTTAGCTGTTGATGTGGGAGATTGATTTGTATGGCAGTACCAGTATATTGTACTGCAAATCATCAATATGTGGTCAATACACCTGTGTGTCTTTGTTGCAGAGAAAACAACCTGTATCTGAAATTTCTATTAACAAAATGGCAGTTATTGAATATTAATGGCCATAAAAAGATTCTGTTATGCACAAACTGTTTTTTTGTTTAATCAAATGAAATACTCTCTTAATGTATTCAGATACAATATAGTGCTATTAATGCCTAAACCACAATAATAGCTCCAGCGATGATCAGATTTGTGATAGGTAGTGTTTAGTATCAACAGCCTTGATCTTTTTCTCTAGAAGGGTGAATGCAGAATATGATTATCTGAGTGCTGAGTAAATAAATTGTATTGATCAGGAAATAAGGAAATGTTGTACTAGTAGGATCCTGTAAACACCAAAATAAACATAAAAGATTTTGAGACAACCCCTGATTACAACTGTTAGTGATTTTCATCAGTTTTTAAGTAGTATCAGTTGATTACTTTTGATATTGCTAAATATATTTATTTTTTTCCATTTTTAACTGTTAACATTCAAGCTATGGTATATGAACACCAACAATTAAAGATTTCATAATTGTGAAATATAAAGGAAGTATATTGTGTGCATGTCTATGTCTGTATTAGGGAAGTGAGTGTACACTAAGTGTTTATTCAGAATTTTATGCCCAGGAGTGTGTTTACTGATATAACAAAGCAAGCTTCAGAATTTCTGCAATTCTTAAAGTCGTTGAAATAGAGTTGAACAGTTGAGCATGTTTATGCCACACAAATTAATGATTATATTTTCGTCCAAATAGTTAAAAAATGTGATGTGAGAAGCATTTTACATTTACTATGATTTTGTTTTTAAGCAGATTGTTAAAGGCATGTGTGAATATTAATTGTTGATGGTTGTGATTCTGTTAATTCTGCCAATATCTGCTGGTGGTGGGGCCCCTTAATTCTGCAAATATCTGCTGGTTGTGGGGCCCCTTAATTGTGCCAATATCTGCTGATTGTGCATCCCCTTAAATCTGCCAATATCTGCTGATTGTGGGCCCCCTGAATTCTTAAACTGAACGAATTTGACCGTGACTACATGTCAGTGTCAAAGTGGTACAGATGACAGTGTGTACATACCTGGTGCTGCTGATGATGGACACCCTTGACCTGGAATAGAAGGAGGAGACATCAGTGTGCTTGGTCATAACAACTGGATACTGGTGGTTAAGCACTACACAAGGAGGGTGTTACATTAGTAAAGGTTTTAACATGCTTTGTGTCACATTGTGACAGTGAAATAAAACACAATTCAGTGTTACTCAATTGTACCTAATATCAGCCAGGGACTTTGCTCAACTGCTAATCTTTGCTTATAATTCACTCTAGGCCACGTCATTGCACCATTCATGCTCATAGCTTATAAAGAAATTATTATTTAGGCCACAATAAATTAATTTTTATTTTTTTATCTAATTTGTTAAAATATGTGATGTTAGGGGGATTTTGTTTTATGCAAACTGTTCAAGGCATCTTGTACATGATGCTGTTGAATGATGAGATTCATTTGACACATGAGTGGTTGGTTGGACTGTGTGCATGGTGTATTCCATTAAGTAAAGAGGAACGCATAGCAATTTTCATCATTGATAGGTATACCTGTGGATAATGAGATAATGTGCCAAGTGGTGCCTGGTAGTTCTATGAGTGTTGATGAACATCTAGTGATTACTTTGTTATAGACATATCATTACTGTACTAGTACTAATGGGATGTTGATTCTGCAATGTTCAATCTCTCTCTCTATGCATGCACAGAAATATTTGTACCACAAATTGAGTGTTTCTGCTTTTTCAAATTATGATTGATGACCTATGAGACTCTCTGAAGTCTTGAATGAATATTAGTTACATGACTATGATCATACAACAAGGATATATTTGCTTTAGTCTTCCTAGTGGTGAACTACACCAGTATGTCGGAGGTGGTCATTAACTTGTGATGGGAAAAGATTACATTGTTTGTTTGTTTGTTTGTTTGTTTGTTTGTTTGTTTGTTTGTTTGTTGTTTAAAGTCACTCCCAGCAATGTTCCAGGTATATCGTTTGTTGTTTATCATTGCAATCTGCACAATTCCAGCTATATGATGGAGGTCTTTTAATAATTGAATCTGGACCCTGACATTCCAGTGATTGTCATGATCAGCATTACGTTACGCAAATGGGATACAATGACAAGCTTACCAAGTCAGTGAGCCTGACCACCTGATCTTATGACAAGCATGGGTTGGTGAATATAAAAGTAATCAATGATCCATTAAAGTTTGATCATGAATGAGAATAGAAACAACCGACATTTAGAGCATTCTTTTACCATAGCCTTCGTGTCATTAATACCAAATAAAACAACAAAAGTCTTGTGTGTTTATTGTATTAACTCCTGAAGAAAGCTTTTGATCTCATCAAAAGCAGGGCAGGGGGGACCATGGGATTTTATTGAACCAAATAAATTGTCCCAGAAAATTGTCGAAAATTGTTGAAAATATGCAATGATCAATCTCTAAAATAAAGGATGTGATACTTTGTTAGGGATCCTCAATCAAAGAAAGGAAGTTTCAGAATAGATTCCTCAGTTGGGTTTTGTCACATTTTTTGTGATCTAACTTGCCAGTTGCTGTCTTTTAGAATATCAGCTCTTTGCTGGACATGTATAACCGTTTCTTGTTGATTGATGTGTCTCTACTTATTCACAACATCACAGCTGGCTATGTTTACGCTTCAAGTTATCATAATACATGTGTCTGTGACTGGCCCATAAATAAATCTAAGGCAAGTAATATTGTCATTGTTTTACAGATGAGCTCGCTTTGAATATTGTGAAAGTTAACAAATTGAAATGCTCTGTTTAGAAGAAAATATGCTTATGTATGCAATTTTTCATTTGTCATAACTTGTTTTAAGAGCTGAATATTTTGTACATATTCAGGAGCACAATTTGTACTTGTAATCCTATACCTATGACACTTGTGACTCATAATATTTGTCATATGCTTAGTCTCAAGAAGAGCTTTTGTTCATTGGGATCATGAACTATTTACAAAGTTATTGACTAGACTACAAGCGTTAGTTCCGCTCTGCTGTCAGTACATTGTCAAGAACCAGCAGAACGCATTGGTATCATTGACTTCAGCTAGTTCTAATGTGTGCACGATGCTTAACATGAAAGAGTCAATTAATGTTTTATACGGTCCGTCTTGTACATGTAGCCTGTGTTGACTGGTTTACAGAGATCTAGGTGGCCAGCTTCAACATGCACAGTTGTAACATGTACTAGTTAGTGGGTTTTCCAGCGTGAATTTCTTTCTTTTTGAAAGGTGAGGAGAGATAGATCGTGTTACGCTGCAAAAGATGAGGACACATGTGTCTTTTGTTCTCTGCAATCACTGCAGAGCAGGTTTGACAGCTTTATAAGGCTTCCTTACATCTCAGATGTTGCTGGATTGTTAATTGTATCAAATTGGACAGTTATGGCTCTCCTGAATAAGAATTAACTCAATTTAAAAACCACTGTATTAAAATTAAGAATATTATTTGGTTACAATTATTCATTGTTTGGCCCTTTCACACAGCAGTCTTTCATGTATAATGTACACCACTTGTGGGTGTGCTGAAGAGATAAAGAGTGTTCACTGAGAAATATCAACTTGGGAATTCATTTGGGAAATATGTCTTCCTTTTCGATATGATTGTTTGATTGGACTTACATTGGACTCTTTCAAACATGTGATCAAGAGGATTAATAATTTCACAATTTCAGCATTATCTCAACAGTCTGATTCTCTGCCTACATGTACATGTCTGTAATCTGCAGCTCTCTCTAAACCAGCATCTCTGTAATCACACAATCACTCTAAACCAGCATAGTAATAATGTCCAAACCAGCATCTCAGAAACCTGACACTCCCTATATGTACATCTCAGTAATCTGCTACTCTCTCTAAACCAGCATCTCTGTAACCACCCAATCACTCTAAACCAGCATAGTAATAATATCACATTATCTTTAAACCAGATTCTATATAATCTGGAACTCTGTCCAAACCAGCATCTCAGACACTCCTTATAATTTGACACTCTATAAACTAGAACCTCTCTTAAATCTGCCTCTCTTTTTGCAACCAGCATATACATGACATCTCAATATATTATTGCTATGATCCAGCATCCATTACATCTGCCACTCACAACACCAGAGTTTCAATAAACCAACACACTCTATAAACTGGCATCTGCATAATATGGCAATTTCTATCAAGAAGCATCTCTCTATATCCCCATATCGGTATAAACGATTGCACTGTACAAAAAATGTTCTTCTAGCACTCTCTATAAACTAGATCCTCATAAATATGGCATTCTCTGTAAACAGGTCCTGAGAGTATGCAGTGTCAAATATATGCTGAGTATCAAATATTGCAGTCTTTTCTGATCCCTGCATGATGATTTGAAGTTTAAATCTGATATTATTCCTCTGTCATACAACACTTATGTCTTACTGCACAGTTTTAACAAGAGAAAAACATATTCTTACTTGTTATATTTGTGGCCATAAACTGGGATTGAAACCAAGGTCTTTCTGATTTGAGGTGCACCTCTGCCATTTGACCAGCAGGCCAACCCCATCATCAGGTGATTGAGTGAGTTGGGTTTAACACCTCTTTTAGCAATATTCCAGTTGTACCTTGGCAGGGGACACACAAATGCCAGGCTTCACACGTTGTACCATGTGGGGAATCGACCCAAAATGCTTTAAACACTAGGCTATCCCACCACCACCCATTATCAGGATGACAAAAATAGATGTGATCTGCCTGAGACTCCACACTCTGGTACCAACACAAGAATAAAGTTCCCTTTCCCTTCATCAAAGACATCTGATTTTATAGCTAATGACCGACTGTTTTCACAATGTTGACGTGCAAGGTGTTACCATGATTACAATATGTGACCTTACAGAAAATAATGTAATTCAATACTTTGCTATTATGTATGCAAACATGAAATATGTATGATAAGAACACAGATTGAAACGGAGACTGAAGGTTAAATGTCAGATGCATGTTTCATTCATTGTTATGGATATCAGATAGTGAAAATCTTTATTAATCAACTTAAACTGGCTACATTTCCCAGACAACCACTAAAGTCTGGGGTAGCCAACTCTGCATGATGCCTGAAGGTGGAACGTCTATGCTTCAACTACCCACAAGTCAGGCTTCATGGCTGTGCAGTCTTACTGCTGATTAGGTGTGTGAATAATACATGACATCCTGATTAGACAAACATGTTTACTGTACTGCATACAGATTAACTGCTCTAATAACATCACTCGCCTCTGATATTTGACATACCTATGATCTTCTATGGCAAATTGAAATAGTTTTGCAAAAGAGTTTTGTTGTTGAGAAATAACGTTTCTGTTCCATTCCACAGTTGTCAATAGCTGATCACATTCAATAGCATAGAACAGAGAAGGGGGGCATATCGGCAACACTTAAGGTTTCAGCTAATCTTATTTTTAATCCAGTGATTTATAAAGACTTCACTGTTTAACATAAGGTTTAGGATAAAGATCCTTTGATTTTCGGCTCTATGTTGTGAAGTCAGGCATTAGGATTTTAGAAATCAAACATACCCAACTATATCTTTTACTATTAGATCTTTCATGACATGGTCATACACCACATGCGCAAAGGCAACTGTTACTGTGATCATATATGTTAAGTTATGATTTAAACTTGTAACTACAAGATGAGACCAACTCTGTGGTGTGGTGGAAAGAGTGTCTGCCTGGATAGCCGAAGGGCATTTTGATCCCATGGCCGCATCATACCAAAAGATGTTAAAAGGTTGTACTTGTTGTTACCCTGCCTGGGGTTCGGCATGAAGGAGATAATGCTCTGAGTCAGTATACTGTGTCTGAGTAGGGTATCCGTGTAAAACTGCAGCATGGTATCTCAGTGGGCCAGCACTATAGGGCCAGCATAAGGACTAGTGGGCAAGCAGATGCACACACACACACATTGATGCATGTTGCTATGTAAGTGCAATAATCTTGAAGATGACATCAATGCATTACTTGAACACTGCACAGGATGACATGACTATAAAATAAATGCTGCTGATTTGTGCCTCTTATGTCATTTACTAAACATGTACATCCAAGAATAAGTGACATATTAGTGTGTGCGAACATTACATAAACATATGCATGATGGATATTTTAATTTAATATTTGAATCAGTCAAATACACATCTACCTGGTAGACAACAGAATTATCTTGGAAAAGATTTCAATATTTGTTCATTAAAGGATACCAATACATTATTAACTTAATAAGAATTATATCTAAGAAAAGGTGTACTAACCATTTACTTGATATGTCCAGGTAATCAACATCACAAGAAACATCAAACTCTTTGCACTGCAACATGAAGTCATTTTTCTATCAAGTGTAGATCTTCTTGTTTCAGAAAGTATTTCTTCAGTGTGATGTCGGATGGTAATATAAGCACTATATATCCTTGTCACTGAACTCTGCAATCCTCATGAGCAATAATGAGGCAACACTGTCAACTGTCACTGACGTCTTCAAATCAGTTTCTCCCCTCGGATGCAGAGAACCTCAACTGCGTAGGTACCACCTTGTCCGGAGGTTGATGCAGGCTGGATTAGGGTGGGGTGTTATGCAAAATGGCGTGATGTGATGATGAGGGATGCCATTAATCCACTTGACCGATCACAAGGGTCTGGGAAACAAAAAACTCTGTGTAAGGAAAGCCAATTATTGCAAATTGGGGTGTGGTGTGGCTCAATCCATGCAGGAAATTTAACAATAGAGATTTGTTAATATTTTAAAAGAATTTTATGAGTGAGTCAAAATTTGAAATTTAGCATGCACTGAGTTAGAATATGATTTATGTAACCGTGAGATGACATGATGTCTTCCACAGCCAACTACAACAGTTGGTTCATTCTGATGCATTTCTCATTTGCTTACTTTGTATGTTATAGGATTTCTACAATTGTCCATTGTATCATAGCTAAAAGTAAATGTTTTCATGTAGGCTTAACAAATAACTGTGTACAGCTTTTACCTTTTTTCTTAGATATACCAATTGTTTTACTTTTTTTTTAAATCTCAAGAAGAAATTGTGACAAAGCCTTTTTAAAACTTAGGCGTGTCTGTGTTGCATTCTAAACCAATTACTCACGTTTGACAGATCCGGAAAATCATGTTCAGTCAAGGGTTTTTAAGCATAACAAGACCAGTCCTTTTGCAAATAATGATCCAGTTGGCGTATGTTCACAATGAACCCTTGTTTGTTCCGAGTTTGTTGTATCAATTTAGGGAGTAAAACCCCTATTCCCACAGAAACACAAATGATCAGTTTTTTGTGAGTGGCGATATTTGGTGTAGATAATTGATAAAACAGTTGCCACCCTATAGCCTGGGGGCGTATGCCGATGTCAACATGAGAAGTCCCACACTGGCTGATGTATATTTCATGTCGCTGTGTTACATACACCTGTCAGTTGAAGAATAAAGTTGTCAGTCATTACCACATTTCAATCTGTTCACTCCTTGGTCATGATGTCTATGATATTTGTATTCAATTATGATTGATGCAGCAGTTACATTCCTATACTATGTCTATATTTATCATTGTCAGCATGGATAAATTTACCGGTCTTTTGAGGAGAACATTGTCATAATCAGCTGTACAAAAATTCTGCTTTCTCAGACAGCAAATCCATAACCTGTACCTAAAACAGTCGATTCTTGTTAGCTTATTTCTTCATGCAAAACCAGTATCTTGAATCAATAATATTGCACCTGAATGATCCTAAAAGATGTAGCATATGGAATGCTCTGAACAGGAAAATAATATTTCTAATTTGTAATATTTTTCATTTTCAAACATACGTTATAAATATGAAAATAGGTTCGTGAGAAAAATATATGAATTGAAACTTGATTAATCCATATCCAAGTGGTCGACAATGCAAATGCTGTGTATCCAGCTTATCTTATTGAGGATGTCTATATAAGACACAAAGGACTTCACTCAATACCAAGAAAATATTTGTGAGTCTAGTAATTTGTTAATCCAGACAATTTCCCAGCAGATGATACCGTCCAGTCTAAGAAGGTTTCTCTCTATACTTATTTTCCTGTCTTTTATTCCTTTTCTTCTGTAAGTTGTACAAAGTTCCAGTGACACTTTTAATACCAATGACAGGGACCATATTTTGTGAGAACTCGTATCCAGTCATTTTATGTGAATAAAATATGATTAAACAAATTTCACTCAAAAAGTGTGAATTTTTTTAGAGATTTTGGAGAAGTGTTCTCATAGAAGTGACGTAAGTTATAAACTGATTTGCATGTTTCATGAAAAATACATTTTGCATGTTTAGATGTTACAGTTCTATCTGCATGAGGAAGCCGACAAGAACCAGTGCAACTAGGGAAACAGCATGGAAGCTAACAAACGCTACTTTAGCTGTTATCAGTGATGATAACAGCATTGACATTCTTGACAATGACAAATTTAATGTTTGCTGTAAAGGATTCATCTGTTATATATAAGGAAACACACACTGCATAAAACTTGCTTAATTACTAGTTGGCGACCCTACTTTTGAAAGCAGATTTATATCAGAGGTCCATAAATTTGCATAATCAGATTTATGATTAGTAACCTAAGGTGAATGATTTCCCAGACATTTTTTTCTGAATCCTCCAATATATTGTTGTTGAGAGTGTTCCATTTATCTTAAAATTCAAAGATGTTACTCACCAAGTGTTTGGCTACTTGTATAATCCTGAAAATATGCCACCTGTAAATCCTGATGCCATTCTTCCTGTATGATCCTGATGAGATGCCACCTGTATTTTTGAGGAATGATATCACCTGTATAATACTGATTAAATTTATCTGTGATGTGACTCTATTGTTTAAATGCTTCATTATCTGTCTGGAATGGAGAGTTGGTTGTAAATTATTAATGCCTACATAAATCTTGAACCCACATTCCAATTAATGCACTTTGAAATTTATGGAACTGTTATTTATTTTGCCACTCAAGTGAATGATCATAAATTTTGTATTAAAACATGGGTCAATCTCCACAAGAGAGCTTAGTAGCCTGCGTTGTAAAGATCAACATGTGACAGAACGTCGCACACAAGCAGCAGAGAACACATTCCATTTACCTCATGCTAACTTATTTCACTGGACCCGTGAAGATCCGGGGTAAAATAGGTCTTCAGCAAACAATGCATGCCATAAAAGGTGACTATCCTTGTCGTAAGAGGTGACTAACAGGATCTGGTGGTCAGGCTCGCTGACTTGGTTGATGCATGTCATCATATCCCAATTGTGTGGACCAATGCTCATGACATCAATCACTCGACTGTCTGGTCCAGACTCGATTATTTACAAATTGCTGTCATATAGCTGTAATATTGCTGAATGCAGCGTTAAACGACATGAAACAAACGAACAAACCAAAACAAATATGGACTAGAAAGAGTTCTGTGGGTTGTTTTTTTCAAATATTTTCCACAACAGAAAGCTTTGTCAATTTCTAGAAGTAGGGATGTATTTTAAGTTGGAGAACATCCCATAACTGTCTGCTCGTGGAAGTATCTTCCATGAACCAACATTTACTTATATGGTTTCCTCAAACCCTACCTGTGTAATCCTGACGAGATCCTACCTGTGTAATCCTGATGAGATCCTACCTGTGTAATCCTGACGAGATCCTACCTGTTTAATCCTGACGAGGTCCTACCTGTATCAACTTGATGACATTGTACCTGTGTGTGTGGTGTCTTCCTATGCCTCTGACTGGAATTTTCAACCACTAGGATCAATAATTCATCTCTGTATAGGTCAAACAGCTTCCATGTTTCTCCACAAGAGATTCAAACAAGCATCAGTCAGTTGAGGAATCGCACCTGCTAATCACCTATACCATGTGTATGAAACATGCCGTTAGTATACCTACATGTGTTTATGTCTGAGAATCTGGACTGTTTGATCTGTGCTTATAGCAACATACCTGAGATTAATTTTTAATAACAGACCCTCAGGAACTGTGGTGTTATTGTACAGAATTAGTGGATGTGACTTTCTTTTGAGTTGAATCATTTATATCTTGTAGTAAATATAGCTGGGATCCAGTTAAATGGATTTGTTCCTCTACACCCTGACCTGACAGTAGTGATATACAGCACCGACTTGGCTGTAAACATCCTTTGTCGGGCTCTGTATCAGCTCAAATCAGCCTGCCATTATTGTAATGTTCTGCTTGCTGGATTTTCTGATTTGAGTGTAATATTTTAGTTGCGATCATAATTACATGAGGGCTATGTTACCGCTGTGTTGATTGGCATAGATTACTTCAGTTAAGTACTGTTAACATGCCCCTGGAGTGAGTTTGTGAGTTACACTTAATTCTGCTTTGAATAGTATTTCAGTTGTGTCAGCTGAATATGGGTAGAAAATTTCGGAAAGTTATAGGCATTTATCACTTTGGTGAAACCCATGATCCTGGGTATGGTCCAGCCTTAAGAGGATCATTATTGTGGGAAATCTAGGACTCAAACCCATGACTCGCAGGACGGGGTCGCTTATTTAAGGGGCTCAAATTAACTCTTTGTTTGGAACAGGTCAATCAGAGTAGTGATAGCTTGTGCCCTATCCTTTTCAAATGAATAAAATATGTTCAAAAACTGAAGTCCAATACATGTGCTACCCCATTTTTGAAGATTAGAAAGGAATTAATTTGGTAATATGTCAATAGGCTTTTGTTATTTGGTGCTGTAAAACATTCTATCCAAAGAAAAAGTTTGAATAGCGTAGCTGTCAACCCCTGGATGTCTAAATGAGTGAGAAGCCAGGGTGCAGGGGTTGCAAGCCCCGCTGGGTCCAGGGCTAAGCCCTGGTGGGGGGCACAGGGGAGCTAAGCATCCCCAGCGAAAACTGGTTTTAAATGATTTTAAGACAATTTTAATGGCCTTAGAGAGCATGTATTCTGAAATAACAACAAAGAGAAAAGTGTTTCAAAATATTTTTATCTACATTTTATATAAATGAGTGAGAATTTCCCAACCTTGCGTGTGAGCGTGATATAGGTGATAAATGGGTGAGACTCACGTGAGATGCGTGAGAGTTGACAGGTATGGAATAGTGTAATATCCAGTATTTTAAGTGCTAGTTATTCAAGTTGTTCAAACACCTCTGTGTATGTCTATCAACTCAAATGTTAATTTACTTATCAATCTATGAGCTAATAGTTACTCTGCTTACTCAGAATCAATGTCTCAGTTTCACATTTATTATTAATGTTCAGACCTAGTGGTCACCGGGCAGTGGAGCAGACTTCATAATTAACCATGCCCCTGGGTTTCATCCAGCAGGTAAACATCTCAGACCTCCATCACTTTGATCTTTACCGCCACATTAAGATGACATGCAGTGATAAAACTGGAATACTGTTCAAAGCAGTTTAAAACTCTAATGACTCACTCACCAAGTCACAAGATTGTTCGATCAATAAGCCCAGGAATGACCTATTCAGACACACAACAGTGTATTATGTGTAGACGCACCTTTGTCTGTTGTGTTTGTTGCCCTACAACAATAAGAATGTGTCCGATACCTGCTGATCTTGAAATCTGCTGTTAATCTGATTCATGTAGGTGATTGGTCCAAAATCAATGAATCAATGAATCAATACCAGTGTTAAGTCTAGATCAAGGAGTTCCATCAGTATAACAGAGAAATTGTGTACTGCTTAATGGTATACATTACTTTACAATAACAGTTTTTGTAAATAGAATTTGTTTTTTAAGGAAGCTGCAAGCTCATTTCCACTTGTCAAATGCATTAAACTGCTCAGTGTCTACCGAGATTGCTCCGACATGATTAATGTGATATGCATGTCTTGGAGATTGATTGCTTATGAATGTTTAGAGGATACATATTAAAATGTGATCAATTACAGATATTTTTTTCCGATTATGACAATAGTTATTTAGACATAATGCATTTATGTTTCTTCCAGTGCCCAAAATACAACATATTGCATAAATATATCAACCGTTTATCCATCAGAAGAAAGTGAGGAAATGGCTTTTTGTCTACTCATAGGGATTCTGGGTAAGACTAGGTCCCAGCATCCTATGTTGGTCATGGAGCTTTGGGGTGTGTGGTTAAAGTGTTTTTGCTCATCCTGCCGAAGGCCTGAGTTTGATTCCCATCATGGATGCAATTTGTGAAGCCCTTTTCTAGTGACTGTGCAATGACATTAAAGGTGGTGCAAAACCTCACTCACTCACTCACTCACTCAAACACCCACCCACCCACCCACCCACCCACTCTCACTCTCACTCACTCACTCACTCACTCACTCACTCACTCACTCACTCACTCACCCACTCACTCACTCCATTAAGTCGATGTTTATGACCAGCAGAGTGAGTGTGTGAGTCAATGAGTGACTGAGTGTGTTTTATCATTTCACGTCTTGACTTGTGAAGTTCCAGGGTAGAATAGGTCTTCAGCAACCCATTCTTGCTTATAAAGGTGAATATGCTTGTCGTAAGAGGCGACTAACGGGTTCTTGTGGTCAGGCTGACTTGGTTGATGCATGTCATCATGTCCCATTTGTGCGGATTGTTGCTCATAATATCAATCACTGGATTGTCTGGTCCAGACTCGATTATTTACAGACTGCCATCATATAGCTAGAATATTGCTGAGTGCGGCACTAAACAACAAACCAGAACCTGAACGGCATGGATCATTGCTAATAATATCAACAAGTGGATTGTTTTGTCCTGATTCAATGATTTAGAGGTTTCCATCATATGCTGAGTGCAACATTAAACAACAAAGCTTGTCATAATCAGTAAAATTATTACCCTGTCTAAATGAGTCAACCAGATTACATAACAGTGTTCAATATGAATCATGTAGTGGATATCCTGGCTATTAATTGTTATTGGTGCAACCTAATCAGGCAGTTATCCTACACGTCAGGGTAGTAGGTTGATATTTCCAGGTGGTCACCACTCTATGAAATGTTCATGGTAAGCAGCCATTGTAACCATCCAATCCATTTATTATTCACCCTCAACGTCATGCAAGTGGCATTGGGACCAATGTTACCCTCAATTTCCTCAGGATTCATGTACATGTATTAAATTGATGCAGTATATCTTTGGAAATTGAGACTGAACTGAAGTGAATCAGTTGTACTGGATCAATATTGTGTGGCATTTCTTCATCACTTTGAAACTGGAACAAACCATTTCAGCTCACTGAGTTTTTGCAAATGCATCCTAGAAAGACTATAAGGCTACACATTATTTATTTTTCATTTCATGGGCCTGCCACCTCTATTGAAAAGAAGCAAGAAAAGAAACAAATTAAGCATAATAATAGCGTAGGAATATAGACCCTCAAAAAACAATATTATATATAAATTCCATTTCTACATCACTATCAATTATTCAAGAAGCCAGCTGCAGTTTTAACTCCACTGCCGAATCAATAAATCAATCAATCAATCAATCAATCAATCAATCCTGGAAATATAACTTATGTCACTTTTTGTAATATTCCAGCAATATCATTGCAGGCTTCAAACATTGTACCCATGTGGGGAATTGAACCCAGGCCTTTGGCATGAGAGCGAACACATTAACCACTAGGCTACACCAACACCCTTTGTGAACATAAGAAGAATTGTCCTGGAAAGCATTCTGACTATACCATGTGCATGTGTTTATGAGTCTCTATGCAATAGTGATTATAGCAGATGTTTGCAAAAAGGTGAGCAATATCCATTAAGGGCACCTGTCCCATTAAAATGGTCGCATATAGCCTTCATCTCCAAATTTAGAATATGACAGTTTTGTAGGTGTACATACTTCAACGCTGCAAGTAGAATGCACCTGGGGCAGTTATATCCAGCAGTGTGTCAGCCAAGATGGATATCTGAGCCCTATTCTATTATGGTTATTGCTGATACAGATCAGTTCATGCATGAACGACCACAGTGATTAATCTCTCCTCCCTTTTTCTGAATAAAAGGAACTTAATAAGGATTTGAATGGATGTGTGAAAGTAGAGTCAGCACAGTTACTGACACAGGTTTGTAAGAGACAAGACGCAAGAAATTTTATACTGCATCCCGATGGACGCACAAAAATATATTCATTGTACCTATAGCACATCAAATGCAGATGTGGGTGTTTGTCATTCCATCCTTCAAACATGACAACTGTCCACTTGATCACTGATTTATTCCAGGCTCTTAACAAAATTATCAAAACATACAGTACACGACACCATTTCATTACTTTACAGGACCCAACGCATATTGCCTGCAAGGACCCTTAAAATTATTGGGGTTCCCGAGGCCTGGACCCGGCTTTTGTAAGACAAGATAAAACCTAGACATTCATAATGTCAGATATTGGATTGGTGAGGGCTTCCTAAGTTTTTCAAATACCATTGTTTTATTATTTGTTTTGTTCATGTCGTCTGCATGTGTACTGGTAACCTTAACATTAGATTTTATATAATATATATTTAATAATTACTTGATTTCTTTTCAACGAAAACTGACTTTAAGCAAAAGTTATGAATTTGTGTTTGTTTACAGAAATTTGTTTTTTAGTATTTAAACTTTTAGCAAAATGAAGAGTGTTCACAACATCGGAGGTCAGACATTTAAGGCTTAATGCAAAAGATTTGAATGGTTAAATATTTTTTGTATTGTAATTTGCATTATGGTAACTATGGCATGTCAGATTGAATGTCTGTTACCTGCAGTTGTGAAACAACACATCTTTAACAAAGGAACGACACAACACTTTCTAGTCAAAGGAGACTTTATTATCAAAACCTGATTATCAAATAGAATGATGGTAGTTCAGGATGTGAGTGATAAAAGCACTTTCGGTTGCATGTTTTCGAAATATCAAAGCTAATCAATAACAAATACTCAATATTTTATGTACATAAGGATCATAAAAAAATAGTCCATTGTATCGGATCCAATCATTGCATCTCAGAATTCTATCACATTAAATGTGTTAATGTTTGCATTGATGCTATTTTATTTACACAATAAAGATTGTTTTTAACAGTACAACATGCAATTATTCAATGTATTTATTTTACGCTCCAAGAGAAACAGCAAACAATGATAAAACTGATACTGACACACACAAAACATTGATGTCAGGGAGGTGACTAAACATAATATCGGTACACAATTTCAGAATTTCTCCAGAAGGGAGACAACTCCTCATTGCAAGGCTGGTAGATTGAAATAAGTTATTTATTTGACAAAATTATAAGCGTGAAAAAAATGTCAAGATAAATGTCCCCTGGTATAATAAAAATCCTGTTCAATCACCTGGATTGAGTTTCATATCTATTCTTTGGGATGTTCAATCCGGCCAGAGACCATATAATATCTATTATATGGTCTCTGATCCGGCGCAGTCCTGTTTCCTAACTTAAACAGTGACATTTCTCCATTGGTTATGAAATACTCACTGTCTTTACATGAATCAAACATTTGTACTGCATATGATAACATGCAATCCTCAGTACTCGAATACAATTCTGTGGTCATATAAATATAACATCAACATTACAGAGCTGTTAAAATGAGGAAATGTGTTTGAAATTAAAAACTTGTGTAGCATCCATTACGCAATCAGTCAACTGGCAGTCAATACCAACTGATAACATTTCAGATTTCATGATAAAAACAGTTATGACAACACGTATTTAATGTTCTTTTTCCCTATCCGTCTATACAAGGTGAGGAAAGAGTTGATTTAGGCTATTTGCAATGATGCATGCGATAGCGTGATGATTGTATAGCCCTGTAATGTTCAGCTTTCCAGCAGACTGCTCACAGAACAATGCAACACTATGATATAGCCTTCTTGTTGTGTTGCTTGCTTTACAGAATTGTATTCCACAACTATAGGGTCAGATTGATTTTTAAAACAATGTCTTTTTTTAATCAATTTCTTAAGAGAATTGTCCATACAGTTTAGATTAATAAACAGTGTTTTAGGGAAATACCTGTTGCAGCATTATTTTGTAGTTTACTTTTGTATAGATTGACGTTGTCAACATTAGTTAAAACAACACTTAATGTTATTCCACATTTGTAATATTTTTAGTGAACAGATCAGTACCAAGCAATGAAGGAAGGCTGTCTAAGTTACGAATATATACACTCTTTTTACACTAAATAAAGGCTAGTCTTTGGCAAGAGTTTTTTGGGAAACAGTACTATGAAATAAATATAAGCTACAATGTAGTTGCAAGGACTCCTTATGGTGGCTAATCTGATAAGGACTCGGACTGGTTGATGTATCCATTCTCTGTCAACTAATGTTTGTTTCAAGGCGTCAATAGCGGTAATCTGACCGTGGTTGCTGTTAATAACGATGAGTTGTGCGATCTTCCGATCACACGATTTCGCCGAAATTTATTAAAACAATATTAAAAGGAATTTTGAATAAAATTAATGAAATAAGTTATATACATAAGTCAAGATATACAAAGAACACTTTTTGTAGTCAGTGAAATTACATGATGATTTTGCGTACTTCAGTATGGATTTGTTGACATGGTATTTCCGGTGTTACGTGCTCACGGTAAAATCTATCAATGGGGAAAAAACATCAAAACTCATTATTTCATATATAATGCGCACCCCCTTCTACACAGCTGTGTTTTTTTTTAAAAAAAGTGCGCACTATACGCAAGAAAATACGGTAGCTAACCAATACTGAGTACAACACATCATTGATACAGGTGTAAAATTATCACTAAATTTACATTAACCTCTGATGGTGAGGTCATTTATATTTGTATGACAGTGATATTGTAAGTCAGCTCTTGAATGAAATGTATCATTACTTGTGACTATGAAATGTCAATCACATTTTATGAATTCACCAGAAATTACAATTATGTTGTTTTGTAAAGTTAAGGGACTATTTTGCAGTAACTGAAGACTAAATACACTGCTAGAGAACTCTGTTGAGCTAAACCTAGCAGCCACAAACCAGATACCCATATGGCACTCTACATAGACAGTGGTTAGTGTTGCTCTAGTAAATCATTTGATTAACCATATGTTACATAGATACACAAAAGTGTTCAAACCAATATGGATTTTTTAGAAAAAGAATTCACTGGAATAGAAGTATATTATGATAAAACATAATTTAATTATGCATAGTGAATATAGTTTCTGTTGATAAGCATTGCAAGCCAGGCAAAAATAGCATACATACAGAAACATTGATGACTCTCTAGATCCATTACATCTCACGATATACACATTTGTTTAGGTGCGGCATTAGATTATCAACTGTAGTGAAACAATACATTGGCTACATTTGTCTCAACTCAGTTCATTTTTATGTTTATGTTTAAGGAATCACTCAGCAATATTCTTGATTTATGACTGCAGCTTGTAAATGATCAATTCTGGACCATATAAGTCTGCACTAATAATGAGTCCTATCCAACAATGTTGGGCATTATGATGGTCAATGAAACAAGTCATCGGGCTTGACCCTTTGATCCATTTAAGATATAACAAGCATAGGTTGTTAGGGACCATTTCTTGTCTGAAATCCCAGACTTTAATTAAAAAAAGAAATATTGGTCTAATTTTGGCAGATAGCTACATTTCAATTGATCCCAAACTGTCGGTATTTTCTATGCAGATTGATAAAGCTGTGGTGTGTTGTATATGGTTGGAATTACGCTGGTGTACATTTAACTATTTGGGGGTGATCCTTTGGTATAGACAAGTTTTACTTATCACAAGTATTGGTATGTACAATCAGACTGCTTGAAAATAAAGCAAGCTTTTTTTAGCTATAAATCAAAAGCTCCTTGATAAAATAAACAAAAACACTTATGCAGGATCAACTCTCTTTGATAAAGACATTCCTCACAAAATATTACTTTATCATAAAATTCACATTTTGGTTGACCAAGTTTATTATGTCTCGAGGGCCCCATCCCACAAAGTGAACTTAGCGCTAAGATAATTGAAATCCAATGCTTAAACATAAGATCACTCCGTGAAACAAGGCCCTGTTTGTTCAACTGAAGCAACACAATGTACATTTTGACTGCACACAATATATCAAAAAGCAATTTCCCCAACACTTTTACCCATGGTATGCGTTATACTCAAGTGCACATAATTATTCACAAGAAAATATAGTACTGTGATGCTGAATTTCTGCTAGATTTCTTTGACAAATTACATTACTTATCTAATAAGTTACACTTAGAAGTCCCCATTATAAGTGTCTCACTCCTGTAACAATATTGTGTTGCCTTATACACTGTTTGAATCAAGATCTATTCATATGTCCTGGCTCCAGCTGCAGACACATATATCATCAACAGAATGCAACAGGCTGCATCTATAATGTTCCTGGTGTTCACACCTGATTATTGTCTCCTGTCAAGCATATCGAGGATAATTACCATGTGGCAGGAGCTCAACCTATCTATCCCATATGTATCACCTGGCTCAGTCATACATCTATTGTAGGCCATCACAACATTATCACATGGCAATCACAATGTAAGCTTATTTCTAGTGTAGATGTATCCCTTTGCTGCAAATACTGCTTTACTTTACTTGCCTATAACTTAGAATTGAAAGTTAAGTGTAACATTTTTAATTCAATTTAAATTCATTGTGATGTAAATGGCAATTGAGTTTGTCAGGATAGTCTTCTGTATCTATTGTAGAGTATGCTGTGAATATATTTATGAATTATCTAGACAGTGTTATTTGCTTTCAATTATTCTGGGATGTTTTCTTTTTACAGAACTGAATAATTTTGCATTACATAATGTTTGATGTTTGGCCTACACATGATCTCATATCTGTCAATGATTTTCCCCTTCTGGCATATTCACAACTGTGTGGCCAGTTTCTTTCCAGACACATCCTACATACATGGAATTTGGAAGGTGACTTTTGTCATGGTGACCATATATTTCAAACTTAAACAGATTATCAAGCTTAAGTTCATATATGAGAACATTTGCTTTATGTAATTCAACCAGGAAGTTCTTTTTTCTACAAAGCAGCTATGTGTCTACCTTCATTCTAAGGACTCAGTGGGCTATCACAATGACTTGTCGAACTTTCAAGCTGACAAATGGGAGGTAACCATTCAAAATATATCCATTGGGGTACACTAATGTAATCTAACTTTTCAAAGTCAGCCAATGTGTTGGGTTCACAATCTTTTGGAATGGTAGCTCAGTGTCAGTTTAATGTGCAGGGTAGACATTTATGGCTTAGGTGAAACCCACAGTAATGGGTATGTTGTGAACAAATGAAAGGTCATAAATAGACGAATTTGAATTTCTAAACCCACAACCATGAGATACTGGCATCTAGTAAGGGGACACAACTCTTTACAGCGAGTTGTACCATGGCATATGAACCCCCTTTTCTAAGTAAGTCACATGACATTACGCATTTTCAGATGCACTAACCTTCAGGGATTGTAGTACATTGCTAATAGTGTCATTTGTAAACCAACATAATATTTCTACATTATAAGGGTAACCAACTTGATTGATTTAATAATGTGTTTTCAAATGTTACCAACTGTTCATGGGAACAGCCTGCTCCATCTTCATGGATCTTGTAGCACGAAAAACACATATCAGGGCATTTCAGCTTTTGAATGTCCCTAGAGGTCAGTGGACTGGACTGTTGGATATGCTGGTGGTGTAGTATCATCCAACCCATCCTCTAATGCAGAGTTCATCATGCTGAGAGCTGCTTCCTGGTCATCAGCTGATAAATCATCTCCCTGACCAGAACCATTGTGATCCTTGATTTGCTTTCTGGATTTGTCTACTACAGCATACACGTCACCATCAGTAGCAGAATCCTCAACTGGCTTTGACTTGTCCACAACAGCGTAGATGTCTCCAGATGGACTGACTATGCCGTCCGGTGAACCTGGTTCATCTGTTGCTGTAGGTTGTCCTCCAGGCTTGTTCACAACTGCATACAGGTCATCGGTGCCAGGTAATCCATTTGATGCTTGTTCACCGTGAATGTCATCACCAGTATCTTGCAGGTCACTGTCTACGACCATAGGATTTCCTGCCTGAACTTCATCCACAGCTGCATACATGTCACTGTCTACGACCACAGGATTTCCTGCTTGAACTTCATCCACAGGTGCATACATGTCAGAGATATCACTGGACATTGGGGCAGGTCCTGGAACAGCCACATCATCTGAAGGTTTCATCCCACCACCAGATTCAGCTGAAGGAGCTCCTGAGACTGTAGATGTGTCTTGTTTCTGGATTGTGTCTTCCTCTTTGTCCAGCTTCTGTTCTTCTGGGTGCTTGTTATATGCTCCACTAGAATGGTAGAGATCATTTTCGTGGGATAAAGGTTCCTCATTTTCATAGGAATGGTTCACACAGCCACTGTGTTGTTTGCTTGTATTTGGGACAACTTCTAGAATCCTTTGATCATTATCCCGACTTCTCCTGTCAAGACAGATACATTCCACATATGATGGAGGGATAAAAAATAAGATTTGGATAAAAGGTTTTATTCTGATACATAACCAGTGGAACAATGCAAATTTTTAATTTATTTTGTGAATGACATATGGCCAACTACTTTCATAGATACAGTTTCATGCAGGAACAAATTATTAACTTAAATATGAGATGAAGGCTCCACTGGATGTAATCTGAACTGACAATGATGCTTTCCATTGAGTAAAAATGATCCAAATTCTAAATGGATACACACAATTGAAATAAAGGTAATAACATAAAAAATTGCAGTAAACAGTATGATTCTTCTGACCTGTAGCATGTGACAGCGATGACGATGATCAGGATGAGCAGCAGACCTCCTCCAATACCACCTGCTACTGCTGCCGCTGTAAGGTAAACATCCATGCTTTAGAAATATTTATACCTTTGTTGCATGAAATGAACACAATTCAAACAAGAAAATGTGGGTGTGAATACTCTTGCCATCTATTCTACACAAAAGAATTTAAAGAACATGTGATCTTTAACTTCTTTGAGTAGTATACATTGTAATGTGCCACATACGTTAAAACAATAGATTTTTGCCACTTTTACAAATACAGATTATTTGATATATATATATTATAGATGACTTTGAAATGCTTATGTACAGGACATAATATTTTGATACAGATTTCAAAGATCAAGATTCCTTTGCGTAACTCTGAGATTGGCTTATCTACAGTCATATACAATAGTCAAACCAGTGCTGAAGTGGTGACTTCATATGTGCTTTTAGATATATACTCTGTTTCAAAGTAGGACACAGAAACCATAATTGAAACACTGTTTGAAGATCAGTGTACACAATGTTCAAAACATTAATTGTGTCACCTAGACAGACACAGGTACACGATACAGTTAATGTCCCCGGGGTACAGAAAATGTCAGTATCTGTTGTGCCCACCACGTGCATCAATCACTGCTTGACACCGACGACCCATAGATGCAATCAAGTTGTCAATAACACGCTGTTGGATGTGCTACCATTCATGCTGAAGTGCATCAAGAAGCGCCGGAAGTGTTTGGGGCGGTGGATATCTTCTGCGAACGCGTTGATCCAACTCGTCCCACAGATGCTCAATCGGGGACAAATCTGGTGACCGGGCTGGCCAAGGTAATGTCTGGATGTTGTTGTGCTGTAGAAAGTCCTGACAAACACGTGCAATATGCGGTTGAGAGTTGTCCTGCTGGAACTGTCCGCCATGAATGTTGACGTGAGGAAGAACATAAGGCTGTAGGATCAAGTCTCTGTAACGCACACCTGTAAATGCACCTGCCACGTGCACGAGAGGCGTCCTACCACCGTGATGAATTCCGGGCCATACCATGACACTCCCGCCGCCAAATGGGACAACCTGCTGCAGACATTTGGGGGCGTAAGGTTCACCCCGACGTCTGTAGACACGTGCGTGCCCATCAGCACGTGTGAGTAGGAAACGGGACTCGTCAGTAAACAGTACATTTCTCCACCTTGCACGTGCCCATCTAACCCTCTGTTGGCACCAAAGCAGACGGTCCGTCAGATGACGTGGGGTCAGTGCATGACGTCGGACAGGTCTTCGTGCAAAAGTCCAGCCTCCCTCAGTCTGTTGCGTACCGTTTGAACTGATATTCTGTGTACCCCAGGGATCTGTGTGGTTGTAGACGTGGCAGTGGTAGTGCGGTCTCGGAGGTGTCGCAGCCGGATGTATCGATCTTGTGCTTGGGTTGTCACCCTTGGTCTTCCTGACCTTGGTCTGTCGTCAACTCTGTTGGTGTTGTTGTATCGGGTCCACAGTGCGGAGATTGTCTGTCTGGATATGCCAAAGTGCCTGGCCACTTCTTGCTGAGTTGCTCCAGCTTGTAATCTCCCAATGGCATTGTTCCATTGAGCTGCATTCAGTCTTGGCATTCTGTCACCGCCTCTACTGCCTTTATAAGGACTGTATGAACAGCCGTTGATGTGGATTTTTATACCCATTCAGCAGGGGGGCCTGCATGCCTAAATGAAGGACCTGTGCTGCACGTTTTTTACAGGCGGTTGCGTTTGGATGAAGCTGTAAAATTGATCCCCAAACACTACGTTTATGTGCTTTGCATGTGTTTTCATGAATTATAGATTATCTTTCTGTTTGACTTATTTGGTTCTCATTTAATGTAATTATTTTAGATATTTGGCAAAAAGTGGTTTTACATCTATGTCAAGTTTCTTTTTTTGAAGAATATATATGTATAAACAATATCAGGCTTACTGATTGCTCTTTTCGTCACTGAATAGAGTTGGTTTGTGAATATGTAAGGCATTAATACCTGGGAAGTTAATTGATGAATCCTTTTTATTGCTGTCTGGTGAAGGAGGAGCTTGAGTAGATTTTCCTGCTGACCCTGTAGATGCTCCAGGAGATCCTCCTGACCATGTAGATGATCCAGAAGTTCTTACAGTAGCAGCACTGGGAGAAGTGGTCTGTCTTTGAGGTGTGCTGTTTGTTGGTCTTGGAATCTCTGTGACAGTGGTAGGCTGGGATGAAGATGTTGGTTTCTCTGTAGTTACAGTTGTTGTTGATGTTGTTGAAGGAGCTGTTGTTGTAGAACTGTTCATGTTTAGCTCAAAGCACTCAATGTTCAGCTTGCCTGCTGCAATGGAGAAAGAAATACTCTTATGTATTATTTCACACAGATATTTGATGACAAAATGTCAATGTTCCATGGATTCTGATATTACCAGTACTGATTCTTATATACCGCCATGTTGACACCATAGTGTAACAATTTTCTGTTAAGCATATTGAAGAAGATTCTTAGTCTTAGTGAGGTAGTGCCAGAAACATTGTTACATTTCATCTTGAAAATATAGACCATAACTCAGTGGCTATCAAAATGATGGATAATCTTTATTAATGAATGTAATTGTTTTCCAGTCTACACACGCCATCTACTGGTCATTAGGTAGGGCAAACGTACACATTCTTGACTAATGTCTTCAACATTTGTTTTATCATTTGGTTTTTTTTAATATCTTGTCAGGTGAAAACCTGTGGGTGACCATTTGGTAAAAAAATACATCTATTGAAAGAAAAATCACCAGTGCACAATAATAGTTAAATATAGCTGATAAAGGTGCATATGAATCATGATACTGCTGTGTGTATGACACAAGCATACAATGCACTAAACAATGCTGATATGTACAACATTAGGTCTTGGGGTCTTCGGGGAATAAAGGACAAAATCGATATCACTGTCCCGGAACGCTTTATGCACAACGTGTAAACAATAAACAACAATTGCACAATGAGCGGAATACCTGCTCTGACAACACAAACACAGCAATGAGTGGGCCTTCCAGCTCAGGCGTACAAGAGGTGAGCAGAGCTCCAGCTCATCTCAGGGCCTTTCCTACAAGCGGCACACCCTGCTCGAGGTCGTCCCTACACCAGCACTCGGAATACCAAGCTTGACTAACACCCAAGTAACAGTGTAATTGTAGCACATATATACTAATGAACAACAATGGAAAGGCAATGACTTAGATCTGGACATGGGACTTCTGGGGGGGATGAACAGTTAAGGCAATAGATGTCATACTATAAATAACAGTAATTAACGGGAAGTGATAAAGTAGCCCAGGTTGGCTGTCAGTCAATATACAATGAAATGTTGGTGAGGATTAGCAACAGGGATTAGCGCCTAAAACGTAATGACAATTAAGTTATGGAGACATGGCTACAGGGTAATTTGCCTTTGGAGTCAAATATACTTCAGACAATGGTAGTCATAAATCAGTCGCTATGACATTTCATTCGCTAATATTTTGCTTGTGTCCCAGACTGGCAATCTAATTTGCATACAGTTACACCAGTCAATGGGATTCGATAGCTTGTTTCATCAATATATAGGAGTAACACTTCCATATATGGCACAAGCTTCTTGGATAAATGACAGTTGACTACATTACTTGGAAATTGTAATGCGTGGTAGGTCTAGTGCTGACTTTTGAAACTTCGTTAGGTGTAGCTTAATTGATGAAATATTTTATTTGAATACACCAGTCACCATCGAGAATCACACTATGGATCGTGGAAACTTTGTTGACACATAAGTCTAACTACAACAAATATGACTTTTAACAAGTCAAAGTATGCCATTTATGATATATACTGAACAACAAAAGTTCATGTGACATTGAATAAGATTTAATGCAAAATTATGTTTTTTACCAAATCTGAAACAACTTCGGTTTGCACCAGATAAATGACTCCTGTAAGTGTTCAAATGGTTTAGTTTGCCATACTGACTTCAGAAAATGTGTGATTTCATAAAAAAAACCTGAACATGCCAAAATGTCAAATTACAAATCAATAGCGTGTGTGTCCACCTCTGGTTGCGATGCAAGCAACACATCTTCGTCTCATGGAATGGACCAGGCTTCGCACAAAGTCCTGTGGGATATCTGTCCATATCTGCTGGAGCATGTTCTGAAGTTCCTGGAGCGTCTGTGGAACACGTGGTTGTCGTCGTAGGCGCCGATCCATCTGATCCCACATGTGCTCGATTGGTGAGAGATCAGGGGAGCCAACCATCCAGTGGATGACATTCACATTCTTTTGTTCAAGCGAATCCTGAACATTTCGAGCAATATGAGGCCGGGCGTTGTCATGTTGAAAGGTAATGCCTGGGCCATGACGGCGCAATAACGGTAGAACAACAGGTCCGATGATCTTGTCGCGGTAGGGCTGTCCATCGATTTTTCCCTCTACCACTATCAAACGGTTCCTCTGTCTTGCTGTAATCCCACCCCATACCATAACACTGCCGCCCCCAAACCGATCTTCCATGACAATGATTGACGTAATGTTCACCCCGACGCCGGCCCTCTCGAATCCATCCATTGCTGTGGCTGAGGTGAAAACAAGACTCGTCAGTGAATAGGAACTTGTCCCCACTGCATGGCCGTCCAGCGTAGATGCAGTCTGCGCCGCTGTAGACGTGCTTGATGGTGGTTTCCTGTCAAAATGGGACGTCTGGCGGGTCTTCTGGTGACAATCCCTGCACATCTGAGGCGACGACATACGGTTTGTGAAGATATTTGTCGAGGGCCAGGGATGCTTCTTGCAGTCACTGTTGCTGGCTGGAATCGATTTCGTAGGTGTGTTGTTCGAATCCAGTTGTCTTGTCGATTATTGGTTACATGTGGCCTGCCAGTCCAAGTATGATCTCTGACTTCATTCGTCTGTTGCCAACGTTGCCATAAACACCAAATGGTGTTTTTGTGGACATTAAATTGTCTTGCAACATCATGTTGACTCGATCCTGCTTCAAGCATACCAATGGCTCGCAGACGCTCATTTTCGGATGGGCGTGGCGTTTCGTAATGTTGAAAAACTTTGTTGTTTTTCTGAGTGTTTGTTGTCAGCAAGATGCTAAACAATGCGTATGGTATTCTGTTAACGCACATTTTTATAGCCATTCTTGGGTAGTGAAATGCATTTCACCAAAATGAATGTTAACAAATATTGAATGAAAGTTTGAATAAAATAAGTAATATATATCACAAACATAAGTAGAGATAAACAATGAACACCTTTTTTATAACCAGATAGTATAATAATGGGATTAAACTGCATATTTCAGTTCGGATATGGTCTCTGTTGACTGGTATTTCCCGTGTTACGTGCATGCGGTGATCAGCTGATAGTGTTTTTTTAGATGGGAAAAAAAATTGTGTCAGTGTAGAGCTTGCAAATATTTAATATGTAAGTAAATTTTGTGGGCCATGTGTTACTGTGTGCTGTAACCGAGTTAGCGCTATATTGAGGGAAGCAATAGCGACAGAACACTGTATCTCTCATTCTCGGTTCTGTAGATGTAACATTTTAAAATGGGGCAAATAAGAATGTTGGTCACACTTGCCCTTGGTCAAGTAGTATTTTTCTTAAATGTTCAACCTCTGCTGTTCCATATCTTGTGCCTTATTTGAAACATTTAGTACCTTCTTGCAATGGTTAATGCATTACCTGGATGACTTCCTTATGGGGCGCACAGTTGGCTCCAGCCACTCCTCAGACAACTCAACGGATGTGTACATATGCAAAAGGGCCCTACATTCTTTCATAGGCCAGCTTAACTATGTGCACTGCTTCCCCAAAGGTAATGGCCTTCAGCCTTAGGCTAATCAACCTGCCTAGCAAAGGCAAGCAACCATTTCACCACATTAGGATTACCAACTGGGTCAAGGAAGATTAACAAATGTGGTTAACATTTCTCACCGGTTATAATGGCATTTCAGTGTTTCAGGATCAACTGTGGATTGACAGCGATTTTCTTCAGCTGTTTACAGACACAGCCGGTTGGGGTGGCTTCGGGACCTACCAGCAGGTTTAGCGGCTGATGGCCAAACCAGTCGGTTACAGATGGAACTACATGCGACTTGACTCTACTACAGCTGTTCCCATCACGTTGGCCATCCAACTTTGGGGGCAAGCAACTAGCAAACAAAAAGGCCCTCTTCTACTGCGACAACCAAGCCGTCGTAGCAATAATAAACAAACAGTCTACCAAGGCCCCCAGAGTGATGAGCCTACTCCGCCGCCAAATCCTGCAGTGCCTCCTATATAATATTCTGTTCAAGACAAAGTATGTTTGTATCACTGCTAACACTATTGCCGATGCTCTCGAGGTTTCAGCTCAAATGCTTGCAGGCAGTAGCACCATACGCGTACCAGAACCCCATACCTATATCGTGCAACATATGGCTTATCTGAGGCAAGAAGCTGCTAGACTCCTGTAACAATCCCTGTCTGCAAACACATGGTCCACATACCAAACAGGCATCAATGCTTTACAATGATTGTTACAATGCCTACAATTAACAACAAATGTAATGCAACACAACTAATTTACATATTGTATACATGGTATTTACTACCCTTATTGTTTACAGTTTGGATGGTGGGCTCCAGCTACATGGCCTGAGCACGTCAGTACTTGCATTTGAAGGGCAGCAGTCCGGACCAACCGAGGATGCTATGGCTGGTGCAAGGTGGAATTAGGTGGAAGGGGAGCAGGATGCCATCTTATATGCACAGGTCAAAGAGACTCAGTGCAGCCCCAGAGTGCTCATCATTCACAGGGGCTCTAATGACCTGTGCACGGTCAAGGGCAGCCAACTCTACCTTGACGTGGTAACCCATCCTCCGGATACAACTCCAACTTCCCGACACCAGGATCATCATATCCTCAATGCTGCCAAGGCAAGATCGGGGGGATGCGAAAGAACATTAACTGCAGGCTTGCTAACTGAGTGAAAGAGCTTGGGCGGAACAATGGAGCCACATCCCCAGATTCTCAGACCTGTCAACCCTCCCGCATTTTGCGGGAGACTCAATTTGATGAAATCTCCCAGTCTCCCGCATTAGAGACGATTTCTCCCGCAAAACAGCATTTTTCAATAACTAAGAATGCGCATGCATTGTTCCGCGGGTTAAAAAAAACAACAGGAAGTTGACGAATACGGAAATCTACGAGAAAGTTTTCAGATGAAAGTTGATTGCAATCGCCTTTCTCCGTGTAACACTCAGAGCTTTTCGTAACACCCGATGATTACTGAAAGCTTTTCAGTGTTTATTGCCAAACAAACACACGTGTACGTGTGCTTTATAAAGGCGTTTCGTTAAGAAATTCGTATTGTCTTAATTATGGCAACCAAACGCCCAATGGATACAACACCAGGATCGACTTTGAAAAAGAAGGAATACGCCTGCAAGTTTCAAGAAAGTTGGAAGAAAGACCATCCGTTCCTTGCTCGAGGGAAATGTGAGTCAGAAGTCCTGTGTACGCTTTGCAAAGTTTATATCAACATTTGTTCTGGAGGATATTATGACGTGAAGCGACATATTAAGAGTGCAAAAACATTGTCAGGTTGCAAAGGAGATTTCATCCTTTCAACTGATAACGTCCTTCACACGTGTGGAAAACCCAGCCGCATCCAAAGTGGTTGAATCAGAAACCTTGTTTGCTATGATGGTCACAGAACACATCTTGTCATTTAGTTTCGCCGACCACTTTACCATGATGGTACCTAAGATGTTTCCGGACAGCGATATTGCGAAACAATTCAAGTGGGGAAAGACAAAAACGACCATGATCGTAAAGAATGCCCTTGCCCCCACCTTTGACACTGAAGTTACGGATATGTGCCAAGGATCGTTCAGTTTGCTTGTGGATGAGTCTAATTATCGCGGCGACAATAAGAACTTGGCAACTGCTTTTGTGTTCTATAAATAACAAACAATGAGGAGAAACTGATCATGGCGCAATGTTTGTTTTGAAATTAGTTTGGACTTTGCTTTGATTTTGAGTTAATCCTAATTGAATGACACCTGCTACTAATTGCTACTTACAGAGACCGTGGTCTTGATTGGAAGAACCTGATAGCCTACTGTTCAGACAATGCAAGTGTGATAATTGGACGACACAACTCTGTTCTGTCAAGGATTAGGGAGAGGCAGCCGGCAGTTTTTGACCTTGGCTGTATTTGCCACCTGGCAAACCTTGTAATCAAGTCTGGTCTCAAGAAACTACCGCTCTCTCTGGACCACATGCTTATTGAGATTCACTTTCATTTTCACCTAAGGTACTATACTTGCTTATGATACACTATTCTTGTTAAACATCAACTTTCATAAATCATTGATGTGTATTAAATCAATAAGACATTAACACATTGTCATCAAATATTGGATGAATATCACTGCAGTGTGTTTTATTGTTTGTAGTACAAAGAGGACAGAGCTCTACAAGTCCTTTCAGGAGTTCTGCGATGTGGAGCCAGACAGGATCCTGAAACACGTTCAGACAAGATGGCTCAGCTTGGAGAGATGTGTCAAGCGGACCCTTGAGCAGTGGCCAGCACTTAAATCATACTTCACAAGCCATGAAGACGTTGAGAAACCTGGAAGGGTAAAGACCTGCTGCAGCTACCTTAACAATGATGAGATGACAAAGCTGTACTTCCTCTTCATGGAGTTCATTCTGCCACCACTGAATGAATTCAACACAACATTCCAGGTACATTTCTTTTATAATAAATAATGTGTATATCCCTGTAAAGTGATGTTGGTGAGAAATGAAATATGTGATAATAAAACTGGATGAGGTGGGTAATCATTGATAGTAATTTAATTAATTTCCTTAATGTCATTAATTAGCTAAAAATCTATTATCTTTTTGAGGCTGATGAAGTCAAGGTGTGCTTCATGTACACAGAAATGCACAATCTTCTCAGGAAGTATCTGGCAAAGTTTGTCAAGATTGACATCATAAAGACACACCCACTAACAGAAGTAACCTTCACTGAAAAAGACAACCAGCATCATGGCAGCATCATGGCAGTAGGCATAAGAACAAGGGAGTTCATTTCCAGATTGGATGATCTTGATCTGATCAACAGGTTCATGAAATAAGTTTATTATTTTTTAATATTCTGAAATATGGAGCATATGTTATTATGTCTGCATTATATCACATAAAATGTGTATTAAAAACTAATTAGTGCAACCTCTTTATTTCAGAAACATCAGGCTCTTCTATCAGGAAACTGTGACAACAATGTTGAAGTCCTGAACATATTGAATGGATCAACGCAGACCCTGAAAAAAAGCAGGCTTTCACATCAGACTCAGGTATAGCCATGTACAATTAATATTTCATCTATTTATTAATTTTCATAGTTATTTTACAATGCATATGTAATTTAAATATTACATGATGTAGCCATTAAGATATTTATATAATATACATATGTTCCTAATGTTTCAGTCCTGGCCTGTGCTTCTGCCATAGCATTTCCGTTGACAGATGAACTGACAGAAGAGTTCCTGGAGTACAGCCTGACACCAGAAGAGGTGCTGCCTTCAATCACACTAAAGCCAGAGCAGTACTGGATTAAGCTGCAGAAACAGAAGACTCTTGATGGCACCAGAAGATTTAAGTATCTGTCTGCCCTGGCCATCAAGCTCTGTCTCATTCCAAATTCCAATGCTGACACCGAGAGATTGTTTTCCATGGTCAGGAAAATAAACACAGAGGGCTGATCAGAACTGGATAATTCTCACGGTCTGTGCTCTGCTGAGTTGTAAAGTGAACTGCAGAGACCCATGCTACAGCTGCACATTCAGCAAAGACCTCTTGTGCAAAGCTAAATGTGCTACAAAACTGTACAATTCACAGCACATTTGAGACAGTTAAATGTTTATTTGAGCACTGCCATATGGAATTTTGCTATTGTTTCTTTTATTTGTTAAATGACCTTTTTCCAGTGTGATATGATGTGATATGATGCCTTTATCTGAGCTATAATTAAACTTGTACATTATCTTTGTCAAGTGTTATTGCCCTTTTTTAATAATCTCCCCCTTTGGAGTCATATCTCCCACATTTTGAAGGCAAATCTCCCAAATTGTCATGATGAGGGGTTGACAGGTCTGGATTCTGGCATCAGACAGGACATACACCTCAGCCACAATTTATGGCATGCCCTGGCACTTGTTTTGCACTAATTGGGGGATGGTATCTCCAAAGGTCAGTGTTTTCCCCATCTAGGCAAGCTGGGCGGCTATGCTATGTCTGTGTAGCAGTTTGATGCTTTGTGGCATGGTTCTTGTGGGTGACCCTGCTTGTAACAAATTAACTTGCTTCTAAACTAATACCTGGGGCCGGGCAGTGGTAGCTTCCTTTGGCCAGCAGCGGATACAGCTTTTGGCAGCGTGGTAGTTGCCAAGCAACAGTAGCATTTCTTATAATTAAATATGCTATCAGGGCTGGGCAGCGGTATCAGCTAATCACCACTGCTAACGGTAAATTTTTCGTGTAGTTTTGTAGCCCACTACCACATGCACACCCTCTGCCATTTAATCCACTCTCATCTTGTGTTGTTATTATGGGCTCGAGTAGACACAGTTTGGTAGCCAATGCCTCACCTTTGGCATAACATGTGATAATATCTGTGTATCTTATTTGTGTTTCAGTTAAAGGCTACCTGTTTAGTTTAAAATTGGACTTTGTTTTCCATCTTAATCTTTGAGTTCATTTACTTTTGAAGATCCAAGTTAACATTGGTCTTCAGCAACCAATGCTTGTCATCAGAGGCGACTAACGTGATCAGGTGGTCAGGCTCACAGACTTGGTTGGTGCATGTCATCCTATCGTTTTGTATAGATCAATGCTCATGATGTCAATCACTTGATTTCCTTACAGACCACCATCATGTAGCTTGAATATTTCTGAGCACAGCGTTCAACAATAAACAAGCAAACAAAATCATTTTAGCCCTTGAATGTGATCTATGAAATCATGTTGCTAATGCCCAAACATGAGTTACAAATCCTCTGGCTACAACATGATACTTTAAATGTGAATTTTGAAACTTCATTCAATGTCATTTTTCTTATTGTGTAGCTAGTTCATGGTTGTTTGTTTAATCATACCTCATACTTTCTTACCTTGTGGTTGCTTAAATTTGAACTGCAGCTTTCCAAACAGTTTTTTGGTCTCAGCACTTGAACCCACTAGTAGTATCCAGATTTCATCACTTCTGGTGACGTTCTTAACCAGTGCAGGTGGAGGTTGCACAGGAGTATTCCCTCTACACTGTGTATCAGTTTTCCACTTCTGTATAGTCATGTACGTTGAACAATCTTGAGACCAGCTCCTATCCACAAGGAACATCTCCACCTGTAATGTCTGTGACACTGTCAGTCTACAGGAACACATCCATCCCTCAGTGTTGGTCTGTGTTGAAGACACACCCAAAATGATTTGGTTTGTGGTGGTCTCTGTCCCAGAGGAACATGTCTGGAGATCTTGGAGAGTAGAAAAGTAATTTTATCATAAACCTCATAGGGACATATTAATAAATTATCCAATCTTTGCTGTGTTGTACCAGTCATATATGATATTGTTTTTACTTCTGTTTGTGGATGAAATAGTCACATTCTCAAGGACAGTACTTTATAATAGAAGCAAATAAAGTTACTGGAGGACTTTTATGAATTGTCAAAACTATCTCTCAATTTAGTATAGTTTAAATAAAGTATAGTAATAGGTTTGAAGACATTTTAAGCATGAACAGATAGCTAGAACACAGCTGGAATGCAACTTGCATTGGAGAGAAAACGTAAGTATAACATAGCATGTGCAAAACGATGCAAATTGGACTCACTTGAGGTAAGGACAGATTTGCATGATATGTCCTCGTGATAAGACCTACACTAAACAGATTTATTTTATAGCTTGTCAAGGTCGGACGTAGGTAGAACACATTTATTGAAATCATTCATTAGGTCATCGCAATAGGGTGCAACCATAGCGAGCTACAGTAGAGCGCTAGACTATATTGATAGACAGATAGGTTTGATAGCACCAAATAGATCTGAAAACATATTTAGTTAATTTTGTCACATTTATGTTTCTTCATTTTTTTTAGCAGATATTCACATTTTATTCCCCACATTTATTTTCTGAATTACTTCATCAATATCAAGAGAGTTAAGTTCCCCACATACAACAGTAATTTTAAGGGATGTTCACATTTTAGTTACGGTTACAGTTTATATACCACTGTGCAACAGTAGTAGATACAAATAGTGTACCCTGTCTAGAATAGATAAATAAATCCAACTGGTCATTACATAACAGTCAAGAGCAACAAACCAAGACCGTTTTATTTGGGATATCCTGAATTTGGAAGGTTTGGGGTAATGTTTGACATGTTTTTTTAGATATTTGATAAAAACATCAGGCTTATTTTATTGTATGGCTCTGAAACCTTTCAATTGGGACATTTTGATGTCACTGAAAGTCATATTTGTATGCATGTAGATCGTTTTTGTGTGTAAAATCTAGCTTATGAAATCCAGTGGTTTATGGTGAATGTTAAGGTTTCAGTTTATTAAGGGTAATAACATAATATATATTGGGTTGAAATATTAAATGGCAAGAGCAAGATACCCTAGAAAATATTTACATGTTGATGTTTGTCTATGAAAAGAATAGGAAACATAACTGGGCATCAAAGGCTAAAATGTGCTGTATAAATGTGGATATGGGTATATCTGGTTACAATAACATGTAGACACGGCTGGTCATATTTAGTCTCTTGGCAGAACCTCAAATACATGTACATTTAATCACAGCACGGTTCACTGTCCAAGTCTCAAAAAGCCAATTATTTCTTTACAATCAAATTTGGCTTTACTGTTAGGCACTATCTGTTAAATGTACCTTTTTGTAAGTTCATTCTCAATCTTTCTCATCTTGAGAACTGTTTGTGATATCAAACAATGGAAGATATGTCATTCATTATTTGTCATCACCAACATCAGGTTGAACAAATATATTATCTAATTCCTAACATCATCAGTGATGCAAGGGAATAGTGGTGACAAACCATGAAATATAAGAATGAGGGTGAATCTCAGATTCAAACCCATAAACATAAGTTCCTGGCCCAACTTAGAGATGCAACTCTGCACACCAAATTGCAGTGCCTAAGATAAATCATCCACCCATGCCCATAATAATGTCAAAATATAATGTATGACATCATAGACTTCAAACAAAATAGAATCACCAGGTTACAACAATGAAGAGGAAAATCTGACTGAATGTATAATGAACACAATATGCATGTTGCATAATGCCGAATCATATGTCTTGAAGACATATCTATTTGGCTTTAGGATAAGTTTGAAAATGGGGATGGAAATATTTAGAGGTGAGTTTCAAAGGTTTTATTCATGTGGACATGTTTAATTATTCTTGAAATGAGAAAAAGATTAATAAGATTGCCTGAACTCCACCAAACTGTATCATTCAATAGGTGCTCATGGGTTTCACCAAAGTGGTAAATGTTTAAGACTGAACAGGCTTTTCTCCAGCATCAATCTGACATGCTGTGATATAACTGAAATACTGTGTAAAGCACTGTTAAACCAAACTCATTCTGTCTCTAGTTCATAATAGATGGCTAATGGTATCCTGACATTGTCACCTGGCCCAATAACATGATGGAGATAGAAACCATCAAAAGATACTGCCTGTAATGTTATTGTTATACACAGATCTGAATGTATCTGTTCATCTAATGATCTGAACATGCCAAGAAGGGCAATAGACTTAACCATGATGTTCTTGCATTAAACATAAAGAATATAGTGTTACAATTCCTGGCTACCTCCCTCTCCTATCTGAGTTGTTGAACAAATCTTTCAAGTGTCAGTAATAGGTTACGAGTAAGGATGGTGATTTTTCTGTCAATTATCTATTTTAAACAAATTTTGTGTATATATGTGTGTATTGAAACGGGGGAGATTTTTTATTGTTATGTTATTACTATTATTATGATTGTAGGGAGATTTTTCATTAAAATGTGTTAGTCCACAGGATACAAGTTGATTTGGAACTCTGTATATAATGTGTATACTATAGAATATAAAAGCTGCTTCCTTTGACGATATGGTTTATAGAAAGTATAATATAAATATACGCCATTACAATATCTATATGAAACATTCATCACCTTAAACTGATATCAATAATTATAATTGGGTATATGCTTTAAATAACCAACATTTCAACATCACCAGATACATAGAGATGTACTTTTATGTATGTCTATTATATCCTTACAGAAGTAAATAAAATAATCATTTTTGTATTTACAAATCACATCTGTGAAGTGTGTTTTTCCTACCTGATGTGACATCCCTAAAGATGTACATAAGCAGCAGAATCAGCCAAGTGACACCCTGCCCTCCTCCACAGTGAGAGATCCCCATGCTGTCTATGTAACCATCCACGGAGCAGTCCGCTCACACGACTACAACATGGGACCAGTGATGTCTAGATTATAGCACCTGTCTCCTCCACTCCTGGACAGGCTAGGAGACTACAGGCCAGCCATCATAGGCATTCATGGACTACTGAGTGTGTAATCTGGCAGTCAAGTGAGCACCACTACCACATGCAGGGCTCATACACACACTTACATGCTCACTGAAAGGGTACACCACTACCGCATTGTATGCAATAAATGCATCTGTGGTTGTCAAAGAACACAATTCTATACTTGTCTCCTTGTCGGGTGGAGTTTTGTATAACTTGGTTTAGAAGTCTTATAACCTAAATTTTCCTTGTTCCTCTCTGCCAAACCTGTCAAGACAATTCAGTATACAATGTAGAAGATCAATATGGGAAGGGAAGTAACTCTGTTATAACTTAACATTCAAAGAAACACTAAAAAAAACCTGTTTACTTCTTTAAAATTATTTTTTTAAATCCAAAAGATGTATTTTTACAAGTTATTGGTAGTTTTATTCATATTTTGTGTGTGTTTGTATCTGCTTGTACTAGTCCAGACTAATGCTAGTTTTATAGTGCAAGATACCATGCTGCAGTTTTAACAGGAATACCGCACACACAGTATACTGACTCCGAGGTGACCAGTACTTGTTTTGTTCCCTTATACCCAAGGGCCAGGCAGGGCAACAACAAGTACCATCTTTTGGTTTGAATCAGTCGGTATGAAACCCACCTGAACTCTCGACTCTCCGGAAACAAAGTAGATCCTATATGTACATAAAACTCCCAAGGTCCAAGTTAGCTAACATGCATGTATCAAAACCCAATATGATCATTCTATAGTATATTATCATATTACAAATTTGCTGGTGGTTTATATATTTTGTTTGCTATACATTTTAGTATGGAAGGTATGCAAAATTAGCCATAGCACATTATCAGATTACCAACTGAACATAATAAAGAAATTGTCCTCATTAGAATTATGGGGTAGAAAGGTCCCCAGTAACCTATGTCTGTTGTAAGAGTCAAATGAACCTATGGATTAGGTTGTCAGGCATGGTAGGATGGTATCATGCACATGCAAAATATCAGATGTAAAAAGGGGTGTGTGGCCACACCCAGAACACCCTCCACTTCCTCTCCTCCCTGGATGACTCACTGCATGTCATTTTGACCAAGTGTCATGGATCCTTGCTCATGCTTTCATGGTCAAGATCTGATTATTATTTTCTGGATGTAGTCCTATACCTGGAGTGTTGCTGACAGCAACAATCACTCACTCACTCGCTCAACACATGAAAACATTTCCATGTGACAAGAAGGTTTCTCTGTTGTAGTCTGACATATGACAATGTTTATGACTGTACATATGTATTGTATTGTAAATATCTTGGAACGGAAGATCACTTTCACACAATCAAAGTGAAAATATTACTGATTAGAGTGCCAAAAATAGATACAGTGCAATTACGGGGTAATTAAAAATGATACATATATCTCAAGTACAAAAAAATTACAGAGCATTTTTTATTCAAAAGAAATACAGTTGAAAGAGTAGAATACTGTGTTGATATTTCCCTCCAGTATACGGTAAGTAAGTATCAAGTTGTGTCTCTCACTGGGATCAGGAAGTTTATTGGTATTGATTATACCGGGCGGGTAGAAACATTATTATTAGAAACTTGCAGAACAGGTCTGTATAGCTGATGTCTCTACTGTGTTTTACCCAACTCGACCATCTCAACACTTGATATCTCACAGAAGCACTCATATAGGCCCTGCAAACAGCAGAGAAAATATTTACACAAGTCAATGTGATAATCACTTATTTGCTCTTTATATTTGGTGTGATGATGCATTAAATTGTATCATTCATGCTTCCTCCTGACTATCAGCATGTGAACAGCTTTGAATGGTGCATAAGGAGACAGCATTGGCTGATAGAGGCTGATACTTTGTGTATAGCTTTATGGTGACTTCTGGCAAGTGGGCTATTCAAGTCGGTGATGCATTGAACTCATTTATGCATATTTCACTGTACATTGATTTGCTTTTTATTTCATTAGGTCCATAGCAAAACGTTGTTATTGTAAGTATCCTGTGCTATGATGTATACTGTACTGATAATTGATGTTTTTTCTCATCAATTTTCATAAATGTTAGGACTCTCCCCAAAACAAGATGAAAATATTGTGGTTTGTTAGTTACTGAGTGAGTGAGTGAGTATGGTTTTACGCCGCTTTTAGCAATATTCCAGCAATATCATGGCAGGGGACACCAGGAATGGGCTTCACACATTGTACCCATGTCGGGAATCGAACCCGGGTCTTTGGCGTGACAAGCGAACGCTTTAACCACTAGGCTACCCGACTGCTCCTGTAAGTTATTGATTGTATTAACAAGTTTAAGGGCGTCTTAACAACCCCTGTACTGTGTCAGTCTATAATACATGATATTATCAGTGTTCACATAGGTTGTCATTCAAAATGTTTATTGCTCAGGTTACACACATTACAGCCACCAGCTAGTATTGTATGACTGATACGGGTTTCAATTGAGGTAGGTTGACCATAGTAGTTATTCATCATCTTTAAACAATTTGATAAGTTTTGTCAATGCCTTTAATGTATCGAAAATTACCATTCTATATCACTGTGTCCTAAGTATTAATTGTGTATTCAGTGTATTACATTTTCCATAGGTTCAAAGGTGTTCAGCTCTGGCATTGTATGCTTATGAGGAGTTTGCACTCATATGGTTTGTAGGCATTTTACAACTTCTTCAATATGTTTTGTTGTGGATGAACTCACTAGTGGGCTGCTGCTGTGGTAGTAGTGGATAGAGCATTGTGCCCAGACAGCAGAATGTTGATGGTTCATTGCCTGGCCTTGTCATACTAAAATACATTAAATTATGGTAGTTATTGTTATTGTGCCTGACACTTGGCATTAAATTGTTAAAACAAATACTGGTCAACTCCATACTGTATCTCAGCAGGCTAGCACCCTACTACCAGCATTTGATAAGACCAGACTGCTACAAGCAGCCCCCACCACACCACACATGCACATGCATGCATGCAACAATTTTGAATGTGATATCATACCTCACCTCACTTCACCTCACCTATAAGCATTTATTAATGAATGATGTTTGAGTGTGTTTGAGATAACCATCCACCCACTATCCCAAGGCCAGTTATTTTTATGTTTGATTTGTGTGGTGACCAACCCACATATTTCGATCCTTCTGAAAACCAAAATATGTTTGCTTCATCCTAAAGATAATTATTGTTATTACAGATTAGTTTATGGATATTGTTTTGTCCATGGGGATTGTGGGTAAGAATTGGTGCCTAACTATGCCTGTCATGCAAGGCAACTAGATGGATCATGTGGTCCGAGGTTTGGTGACGTGATTGATTGTGTATCGTGAATCACTGATTTGTAACTAAATTAATTCTGGGTAGCCATCATATGGCTAGAGCTTTGTTGAGAGCAGTCACCAAACAAGCCATATAGTTTCTGTTATAGCACTCATAGTATTCAGTAGTTAAACAAGAAGACTGAAGATGTTGATGGTTGCACTGTCAAAACAGCTGAATGGATGCTAGAGACAGGCTTAAACATCACACTAAGCATCATGTCTGAGTCAGCAGGTATGTACTGTCCTGTGATCCTGAATAAGAAATATTGGTGAAATATCTTACACTACCGCTGTCACAACTAGACAGGTACATGTACACTTTGACTGGACAGTCATCAGCTTCGTGGCAACTCTTAAATGCTCAGGCTAAACTGAACACATATGTGCTTGTTATCAAGACATGGGATATCTCAGTCACTTCTTTGTGGTTTAAAATTCACTATTTGAACAAATACAATTCAAGATTGGCCCTTAACCTTGACATATTTTCAGCCAGGGTGGCTGAAAGTGACACTTGACTACAGGGGCATGTAGGGAAAGCAACTATCTGATAAATATTGATCATATGACAGTATTGTAATCAGGTCACTCACAGCATTCATAATCATATAAATCAACTCACAAGTTGTTGCTACACTGTATTCTTGTTGCATCATTTTCTAGTGATTTATTATGATGTTTCCTTGGTTACCTTATCTGTTTTGTAAGCCTACTTTGTTTGTAGTCTAGCTAGGTAACCAAGGTAAACCTGGTGTAGGCAGTGTAAGAATGCACCACACAGGTTTAAAAAAGCTTGCTGAGTCTGTGAAAAAAAGTAAAATAGAATGGACTCTTCACATTGTTATTTTTGTTCTGAAGATGTTGCAATGTGTATACTATTAGTTGTTTTATTTGTTTTGTTTGCTATTTAGTGCCGCTCTCAGCAATTTTTCTAGTTATATGACAGCATTCTGTAAATCATTGAGTCTAGACCAGACAGTCCAGTGATTGACTTCACGAGCATCAATCTACACAAATGGGAAGAGGATGATGTGCAATCAACCAGGTCACCAAGTCTGACCATTCAATCCAGTTAGTCACCCCTTAGAACATAGCTTGCCTGGAGACATCTATCCTTACCTGTAGTCATAACAGATGTTATGTCAGTTTAGCTTATCATGTCACCTATTGTAAACTATGGTCTTGTAGTATGACACATATCACTCATTTGCTTTTTGTGGTGAATTCAAAAATTTGCAGAAGGAATAATATAATTTATGTTTTTGGCTGTGATCATTTTTTAGTGTCAGCAGAATCTTTACATCAGAAGTCTCATCTGTATGGAACTGGTGTGGACCCAGTGCACTATGGTATGGTCGTCATGAAGCTGACATGACAAACAACATATCCATGACAAGGAAACATTGTAACACTTTAAGTATCAAAGAAATATGAATTATTGATTTGTAATTTAGATAGTATTTTTAAAAACAAAAGAACAAAAGATGTTTGTTTTATCCAGTTTCTTTCTGTTTTAGGTCACACAGATAGAAGACTGTACAGCAGTGTATTAGTGGTCAGAAGTGTCTTACATGCCTCTGAATTTATTATGATGATTCCGCACATGTTCCTGCTTAGATGTCGTATGAGAAAAGATGTGAAACATTAAAGTGAAATAGAAATATGAGTAATTTGGGCAAAGAATGTAAAAACTAGTTTGCTGGTTGTTTATTTTCATTTATTTTTCATAACAGGTTTTGAATATAATATCACTACAAATGAAATGTTGTAGAAACTATGCATAGGAAATCTCACAAAAATATCTTTCTTAAGTTTGTTCACAATTTTTGTTTCAAATTATATGAATAAATATTTGTTCCAATTGTTTGGATGTTTTTATCTGATTCTACAATACAATCAGTCTGTAGGTAAGCTCCAGGATGCACAATTCAGCAACTGTTATTAGGGTTATAATATGTAGCATATTGGTAATATTTATTGAAAGCTGAATCTTGCATATGGATGAACATCAACTCTTTGAATTGAAGCAGTGTGTACCATGCTACACTCATTATTATCCCTGTCTTGGCACAGGCACCATGTTATTAGTGATAATCCCATACCCTCCACTCCCTATCAGGCACTGACTTCAATCCGAGTCTACCACAGACACCACTCTTTTAGCTGTGTGTCCACCTGACAGTGTACTGGTATTTCATTTGACATTCATTGACATGACAAGGTGTATGTTTATGTGCACACATGTCTTTTTCCATTCTATATATATATATTAAACATGGATTCTGCAAAACATTTTGTGAAGGCTCAAAACTATATTATGATCTGGATGAGTGTCTTAATGTATCTTTATCACATTTGTTCTTGTGCAGCATATACAACACAATGTGTTTTAACTAATATGTACTGTGTCTGTTCACACATCTGTTTATCAACACAAGTACCACCCTCGTGTACAGGCTAAACACTAATAAGAATTAACTTGAACATGAGGAGAATGTCAGTAGTAGTTTGGAACAGGAAGTGAGAGTTAATAGTAACAGCACACACTGCAGATTGTATCTATTGTTCATTCGTGTAGGGGTTGGTGATGACCTGTGCAGGACTAAGTACATCATAGTTGTTGCCTGTATCCACAGCTCTGTTGCTGAAGCCAGCATACGTGGGATGGTCCTCAGACACAGGGAAGTCAGCAGGACTCTTACGGCAGGATGTCCTGCATCTTGGTCTGGAATATGTCAGAGTTATACGCATGATGTGAGACAAAGGAACCTTCACTAGTATTGACATAGAATTATTGTTTTCATCTATAGCACATTTCACAAAATGAACACGACAGGAATGATGTTTGTGAAATGTACACATATATCTTACATACATCATATTGCTAGTAAATGACATATACAATGAATATTTTTTGTAACACCCTTTTGTGGATGTATTGAGAATAAATGGAAAATCTGTGAATGGTCCATACTTTATGATGAAGAAGTAGATGACTTGAACTATAATGGCCACTCCGCCACCAGTGGCTATTCCTGCAGCAAATATGTCACCTGTAATTATAAACAAAATGATTGTCAAGACCAAAATGTTGTGTACCATCAGCTGGGCATTGACAGATATTTTCCAAATCTTTTCCAAATCTTTTTATGATTTTAATCAAGGTGCTCACATTATTTGATGCACCTCGAGAGAAAAAAACCGTTTGATTACAATATAGATTTTGATTATCGATCAGATCGTCTTGACTAGGCGCCTTCTTTTTATTTGAAGCAAGTGCAGGTAATAAGAGAAGTGGAATCTGATTGATTAATATAAGGGACATAGAAAGCTTCGATTGAAACCATAAATTCCATCATAGTGTTAAAGAGTGGTCAGGTAGCCTAGTGGTTAAAGCGTTCACTCGTCACGCCCGAGTTCGATTCCTGACATGGGTACAATGTGTGAACCACATTTCTGGTGTCCCCCGCCTTGATATTGTTGGAATATTGCTGAAAGCAGCGTAATATCAAACAGACTCACTCACTCACTCATGTGTTAAATGTCATACTTGGGAAAACATCCTGACTGCCATCAGATAGGCCAACTGCACCACATGGTTGAACACTCTTGCAAGTACAGTTAGCCATATTAGGTCTATTACTGAAAGAATCAGGAGACGTTTCACTTTGACGTTGACTGTGACTTTCGTATGGAATAGCTGTGAATGATTCTGTGCGCCTGTTAGGTTTTAGTCTGGTCCATCCCTTTGCAGTTGTAAATAAGGATGTAATTAATTGCCTCAGCAGTTGTTGTCATTGGCTGGGTTGTTTGGGTTGTTGAGGGAGTATTGATTGTATTCGGCTTAGGTCTGGTCCATCCCTTTGTAGTTGTTAATAAGGATGTAATTGCATCAGCAGTCATTGTCATTGGCTGGGTTGTTTGGATGGTTGTTGAGGGAGTATTGGTTGTAGAACCGTTGGTGTTTGGCTCAAAGCACTCTAAAGAAAGCTTGTCTGTTTAAAACCAAATGTAGTATGTTGTAGGCAGAAATTTATCTGAGAGCGTTTTGATATTTTGGAACCCTCCCTTTTAAAAATGCTGGATCCGCCCTTGATTCCCCAGCCAAACTGCTATTTATGTCACAATAACTTTAGTTTAATTGAGGCACACATGTTCTACATTGCATTTGGGTCTTGTCATATTACTTTGTTTAGCTATACTTTGTTGATGCCATACCTCAACCCCATACCGAGTATCTTCATTGAGCATGTTACTTGACTTAATAAAAGCTTCAGGACACAAACTACTCCTCAATATTTAAGTGCTGTCATTGAATCATGATTATTATATTTCAAGTGATGGGATCTGAATATAACATACATGGAAGTAAACACATGTCATGATCAGATGTCTATTTGATTGATGATGATAGAACCATTTTTATTTAATCTGAGGTGTGTGTGTACATACCTGATGATGACTTAAGCTTGAGCAGCAGCTGCCCCAACAGTCTGGCTCCAGGTCTTGCAGCCACCACCAGTATCCAAATCTCCTCACCCGTGGGGACAGTTTTAGACAGTGTTAGAGTTTGAACAACACCATTTGTACACTGTGTACTCGTTTTCCACCTCTGTATAGTCATGTATGTATCACACTGTTGTGACCAGCCAATAGGGAACATCTCCACCTGTGCTGTCTGTGAAACAGTCAGCCTACAGGAACACATCCTTCCCCCCTGTGTTGATCTGAGCTGAAGACACATCCAGTATGACTTGGTTAGAGCTGGTCTCGGTCCCAGAAGAGCTGTTCTCGGTCCCAGAAGAGCAGGTCTGTAGACCTTGACAGTAAATCAACCGTTATGATTTAATTACCACACCCAACAGTTACATGGAGGTACATTACTTCAAGTACACATAAAACAGAAACCCAGATACACATTTTTGGATTATTGTCCCAAGCCTCTTCACATATAAATGTACTTACAAAACCACATACAATTCATACGTCCCGAGTTCTAAAACCTCTAGTGCTTATATCGTAAAACAATTCAGTTGATATAAGATGAGCATTCTCTTGAGTGGACATACGATATTTACGAATGCCGTTATTTCTAACCCGTTGGGTAAAAATATACTGATGTCAAACACAGTGGCTTATGGTCCTCGTTGACTGCTTGACTGAGCGCCCATTACACATTTTATTAGATCTTATTATGTTCTCTGACTAACAACACATAGAGTCTCAAATTTTATAGAACACTTAGCATATGTACTGCAATGAACTCGTTCAACAAATAAAAACGTGTAAACTATCAGGGGTCTTTATAAGCAACTCGGACATCTACTCACTTGTAGATAGTTTACACACCGATAGATAACCTAATGTCTGGGTGGCATACGTACAAAACCAGTATATATAGATCACTGACACATGACGAGCAATGTTGACTGAGCGCCTGTTACACAGTGTATAAGTTGCTAGTATATGGCTGAAATCTTACCTGAGCTTACTGACGGCAGTGTGAGGACAACGAGAGTCAACAATACGTCCATGATAATCTAATTTTAGATGTTCTTCTCTGTAGTGAATTTCTCAGGGTGATATTGACTTACAATCAGGGAGTAGATGGTTCTATGATACTGAATACCATTCTTGTACATGTATAGCAGCCTTCGAGTTATGCCAAGTAGGGTTTGTTACAAATGCTAATAACTCTTTGCATGATAACCAATCTGTCCTTTGTGTATAGTCTGATATCCCACAAACATATACAGTGAAGCCTCGATATGCAGACTATATTTCCTAATAAATCGCCCGGGTAGGCGTTTCCAGCGTTAACTAATATTGATCAGAGTGTAATGTTTTAGGGGCCTTGATTTCCGGACCAGTCGGGTCTCGACTAAAGAGGGTTTTCTGTATTCTACTCAACCATTTGTATGGATATTGAGATATGTCTCGCTATCTTCATTTGAAGTAATCAGTTTGGTGTATGGTGCAATAATAGAAATATCTTCAGTTAGGTTTCGGCAGTACAATATTCCCGTAATTCTTTTGTAGATGTCCACTGCCAAGTATTTCCATACGGAAAGGTAAAGAAAGACGTATTTTGATTGTGGTACTTAGCGTTGATGGATATTTCAAGCAAATGTATCCAATATTAAACATTGTTAGACTTATCTTAGTATAAAGCATAAATATATGTAACATATAGACGTTTTTCTTAGTTGTTTAATATGTTTACCCAGTTCGAGTCATATTTGCAACGAAATTATTTTAAACTATACCAATTGCTCTTAATCATGCCAAGACTGATATTTGCCAATGTCTATTCTAATTTTACTGACACAAATCTGTTTAGCGTTAAGTTCAAGCAGGTTCTCTAACCATGGATTATCGCTCAGTAACTCTACTCATGTGACAGAAATATTCTGAAATGTGTTATGTGATCTAGTGCAAGCTGTATTTGATAACCAGGGACACTGCAGTGAATAAGTGCACCACTGAATGACATGTATATTCTCGTACAATTAAAAGTCCCGTGTCAGGATGAACTCCAACAACACCCATCCCGTGTGACTGATTCTACTCGCATCCTTCTCTGGGACCTGACACTCACTGTATAACAAGACAACACTGACAATCTTGGGTCATAGCTTCAAAACATACTAAATAATGCAACGAAAGGAGAAGCCGAACACAGTTGATTTCCGAGAATACCAGCATCTCCAGCGTAAAGAAACTCTACTGTCTAAAATCTGAGGCCAATTTCTTTGTTTCAAGTATCTACTGGAACAACTTATTTTTTTTAAATGACAGGAAGACACGAAGTGGCCCAGTCGTTATTCGCTGTGTAGAGTTGTGTCATTAGTGTCATGATCGATGATCGTTGGTTCGAATCCCAAATATTCCCTGATTATGATCATTTGTCAATGAGGTTTGTACCAAAGTGATGAAAGTCCAAGACCTGTGTCACTTTGGGCTTTCTTCCCATATTAGGCTTATACACCGTCACATAACTGGAATACTGAGCATAAACACTCCACATCTGCGTAATTGTCAGAAATACAAGGAATTCTTTAAGTGTATATGTTTATAGGCATGCATGCATATGTCCACATCGGACAAGATTCTTATCTCTTCGTCAAGAATTATCTATTCCATAAAGCTGAATTCTACCTTGACAAAGAATAGATAACACGCCTGGATATTTAGTCAGTGTATATATACATTGTAAATGTAAGAGAATAAATAACCTGTCAGATTCCATTTGGCCTAAATGGCAAAACAGGGTAAAATAGCTGTTATAGAAATAGCTGCAAAGAACATCTGATCGAAATGACTTGCCATTTATTATTGCACAGAAAGGGGTACAATGACATGACAATTTAAACTGGGGATAAAAACGATAAGGCCTGCTGATGATTGTGACCTTTCCTTCGAAACACAAATGACACACGTATATCTAACTCCATGCATCTCTATTACAGTTATGGTTCTTACAATATCGACGATTCTTACACTTTTGCAATATGTTATTACGCCGACTAAGTACATGCACATAAACATTACCTACAGTTTTATGTCACACAGGGTGACTTCTCTGTCTCATCCATGTATCTTTACACTATCAGGAGAAGCGAACACTGTGTATAAGTATATATGTTTGTTGTACCGTTTAATTCCACCCAACACTGAATTTAAACCAGCACGTACACAATCCAAGTCTTTGCATATATAATATAATTTATGGGGGCATGGGTGGCCAAGTCGTCTAAGGCGCCGCGATTCCCTTGGGCACGCCAGAAACCTATGATTGTGGGTTCGAATCCCGGTTCGCCTCGATTATGTTTCTAGGTTTGTCAGCACCATACCCGTGCTCGTGTGTTTCACCGAAGTGGTAAACGTGTGAGACCTGCATCACTTCGGGCTTTCCTCCCACATTAAGCTGACACGCCGTGATATAACTGGAATACTGTTAAAAGCGCCGTTAAACCCAACTCACTCACTCACTATATACTTTATATGAATATCGATATAGCTTCGTTTAAATGAAATACCCAAGACCTATTTGTTTTTTTGTTTTTTTTCTGACAGTCTGAAAGGAGCAATCTTTCAATTCATTTTTAGCGGCATTGTAAAATACACACGATCGCGAGTGAGTGAGATTATCACAGTGTTGTATGTTTTGTTTTCTTTGTTTGTTGTTGAATGCCGCCCTCGGCAATATTCATACTATATGACGGCGGTCTGTAAATAATCGAGTCTGGACCAGACAATCCAGTGATTGACATCATGAACATCGATCCACGCAATTGGGATCGATGACTTGCATCAACCAAGTCAGCAAGTCTCACCACCCGATCCTGTTAGTCTTACGACAAGCATAGTCGCCACTTACGACAAGCATAGTCGCCACTTACGACAAGCATAGTCGCCACTTACGACAAGCATAGTCGCCACTTACGATAAGCATAGTCGCCACTTACGACAAGCATAGTCGCCACTTACGACAAGCATAGTCGCCACTTACGACAAGCATAGTCGCCACTTACGATAAGCATAGTCGCCACTTACGATAAGCATAGTAAAGGCAAAAAGTTGTGACTATACATGACAATACAACCAAACTTAGGCTTTAGTTCGAGGATGATGGGAAAGGAAAGCTAATATTTTCATTTCTGAGCATTATGTCTTGTAGTCGTCCGGCGTGATATTTCAGGAATATTGAAATGTGGCGTAAAACAAACAAAGTGGCGTAAAACCATACTCACTCACTCTTGTAATCGTTTTCAAACATCTGCTTCCCTAAATATTTTCCTTGAGGCATTTATTAACCGCAGGCAAACGACATGTGTACATTGTAACAATAACATGTAGAATTGCACGAAGTGAAGGTCTTGTGAGGTAACATGATCGAACAGGTACATTATAACATACGAGATAACACAAGAAATTAGGAACTGAATGGTAAGCACTCAAATAATGCATACTTAGCCAATTCAGATTTAATCATTCCATTTTATTGTTCAGTATATGACATTACTTGTTCCATGTCTGTGATAGCAATCTTAGTCAAATTTAGTAGTTGTGATGTTTATTAATATTCATTTATGTTCCGTCATTTCAAAAGTAATTACGTGTGAGGGAGCAGTATAATTGTTTCTCGGTTTTCAGTATATATGTATCTCCATGTATGTGCTCATTCAGTCCAACATTTCTGGGTGAATCTCAAGATCTAGTTGCGCATCAAAGTAAGTATTTGAATTATTTCTATAATACATGTCAACACATCGTTTAAGCATGATGCAGTTAATGTGTGTAGCTATAGCATGGACATATCTGTATTTTCATTAGCAGCACAAAATCATTTAATCCATATTAACATTGTACAACACACATGTGTGTTGTGTGAGAGATTTTTGATAATGTATGTTGTTGTAATATTTGTTCTATACGAGATGCGTGCGACTGTCAGTGACTCCTGTAAAAGATTAGTGAGGTGAGGTGAAATGGGGTTTAACGTCGCGTTCAAGATTATGGCACTTTTGTAGCGACGTGCATGCACATGTGCATGTATCTGTTTGGCTGCTTGTACTAGTCCGGACTGATGCTGATGTTATAGTGCTAGCCAATTGAGATACCATGCCGCAGCTTAACAGGATTACCCAACTCAGACTCCGAGCAAACCAGTCCTTGTTTTAGCCCATGAATACCGAGCGCCCGGCAGGGTAACAACAAGTTTCATAATTTAACGTCTTTTTGTATGAAGAGTCCGGGGATCGAACCCACGACCTTCCGCTGCCTGGGCAGACACTCTATCCGCTAGACCACGGAGGCAATGTAGAGGATTAGTTTTTGTTGACTTAGCAATATCCCAGTTATATATAAGCAACAAGTACATCACCTTAGCTATATGAGCAGCGATCAACAAAGTCAACAGTCAAAGTCAATAGTCAGTCAACAGAAACGCCCAGCCAGACTCCCTCTTACGACCAACATAGGTCAACGTGGACTTTTTCTTACCCTGTATACGACGGGGCTTTGCACTGCAGGGATTGGGGACATAAACTGTACAAAGCTTGTGTCTAGTGAGTGAATACGTTGGGCTTAAACGACGCTTTGAATCGTATTTCGTTTGAGCACGACGTGTTAGCTTGATGAAAACTGACGAAGATCCCAGATGTTTGCGGATGTGGTGAACTCCGCGATCGCGAGTATGTTACACGAACCGAGAACATCGGGGCGAATATGGGATTACAGTGAGTGATTTCACATTTAAAGTCGTAACTGTAATATCTTTGCTGTAAATGAAAGCAACGCGAGCAATAACATTTTTTGTATTATTTGATCATAAAGTACATGTACAGTAATACGGGAGGGCAATTATCACAGATCCATTCAAAAGGACGCCCGAAAGATACAAGCAAAATATGTCTGGACAAACACATGAACTACAATGAAAGCATGTGATTCACGCAGATTTTCACATTTAATGATGAAGAAAATCACTGTGACATGTGTACAATCAGATTCCCGCTTAAATGGTTAAAACATCTTTTAGATTTGATGCCTAACGTTATGAAGAGATGGGATTAGAATCCATGATAATTGAAAACTGGTAGGCATATGGGATGCTTCTGCAAAGCTGAATGTGGTGGCTTAGCTCATGGTCACTTGTATATAACAATGGTCAAACACTCAAGACATTGTCAACTCTATCTTGTATATAAATTAATTCCTTTTTAAGATGAGAAGCTTCATCTTTGCTCTCCTGCTG